CCGCGGAGCTAATTTAACCTATTTTTTATACGGTTGAGTGGTTAAATCTAGAGTGTAATGATGCATCATATTTAACATATATATCATAGTTTTTTTTTTAACCTCATTAGCAAAATAACTGAAGCTTCCAGATAAAGTAAACAGCACTATAATCCCCTCTGAAATCAAATGTATAGAAGTAGAAAGTAGCACACTGAAGTAAAGTAGTAACCTGAATTGTAGTTAGAACTTAAAAAGAGTGTGCTTAGCCGACATGAAATTATCAGTAAATACTGTGAAACATGTCAGACGATGTCTTTTTGAACTTGAAAACTTTTGAATCTTCAAATCAAATCTGCCACAAATAAGTTCCTTCCTGAAACACGGCTCAAGTTTTAAATTGTCATCACACCAGAAATAAAATCGTATAACTTAAGATTCTCGCCTGAAATTATCATAAAACTTGCAGTGAAATGGACATAACAAACAAAGCCTTGTTTCTTGTCTGCGGGGAGACCATTAGACCTGCCTGTTTATGGCTAATGGTAATTAGTAACCTAAATATAACAGAGCACGCAGAGATCTTTGACTCTTCCTTAAACTCTCCTTCTACACTCTAGCTGTTTTCATGAGACACTTTAATGTAGGGGATGTACAAACATCAACAGACCATCTCTCCTTATGCATAAGGAACTTCTAATCAGTCCAGTCTAATTATTTTCTAAATCCATTGCGCACACCTGGACTGCAATCTTTCACTTTTAAATGAGACTGCCCTCATTTATCAGAAAAATAATCGTCGGCCTGGATAATTATCAGACATACAAACATAAACACCTTTAGAAGTTCAGATGCGAGGACCTGCTTGCCTCTTAAGTTAATACAGTCATGTGACCTGACCAGTGGCCTAGTTGAACACCTCTTAGATGTTTATGCATATTTGGACGCTAATCTCTCAGTCAGGACTATGGGATTTGAGAATATTTTGTTTAATAGAGATCAAAGTAGCCGGCTAGGATCAGGAGAAACCCTTCAAACACATCAAACAGAGAGCAATGCATCCTGAATCCCACGCCCACAGTAGCCAATCAACCATGCATAACTCTTTGTAAAAAATAAAAAGGATTCTCAAGGTGGGTCCACCTCCATCAACATCTCCTGCAGCTCACCCCCCACGGAGGCCAGGGGTTGTTCAGGCTCACGAGCTATCAAGGAGAGCCACTGCGCCGTATCTGTATGCCTCTCATACTTGGCTAACACGATGCTGGTATTGAGGAACAGAGAGACACTGTGTTAAGAGATCAAAGCAGCGGTACAGAGATTTAGACTCACGGCCTGTCAGTCAAGATGGCGAGACAAAGCAGAAGAAGACAGAAATGCTTACACACACACACCCTCTCCGGCTCACTCGCTGGCTTTCTCCATAGTGTGCCTGTGAGGGGTGAGGCGTGACTGTCAGATGGCTTAGGGGCTTCTCATTTGTAGACATCTACAGCACTGCGTGAACACCTAAACTCTCACACACACACACACATTCAAAAACCTACTGATTCAAGCCCTTTTGGATGAGAGGTCGCTCCTCGCCTGTATATTGGCCTGTGGAGGAATGTTCTGTGCTCTCAGCATTTTCCCTCGTCTCGAAGATGAATAGAGCTATTTCACAGACGCTGGAGAAAGAAAACAATGCTCTGTGTGGTTAGACACATGATGTAGAGGCTTCATTTCTGGTTGATCAAAGACGCATTTTTTTGTCAAGTTTGCAATAAATCTGAAATACGTTTTGGTACGTATAGAATGCGGACATAAAGGGGGTAAGATTTCAGTTCAACAGGACATCCTGCTGTTAAGAATGACCCTTGTTCATTTCTTCTCTTTTGTACATGTTGATGTGATCACCCCTGCACAGTTGGTGTTTGTATCTTTGTCCCTTTCACCTAGTGTGACAGGAAGGAACATTTCCTTTGTAAAATCCTTCAGAAAAATTCAGGTCCAATTTGAAAGCTTGTAAGACTTGCATCACTGGGGGAAAAAAGCTTAGCAATATCCTACAATGGGATTTAGGCAACATAGAAAGAGACAACCATGTCATGGTTAATAAAAAGGGAAAAATAAAAAGCACCTTATAAATTCAATAAATTGCTTTAAACATTGTGAAACTACGAGTTAGGAAACTTTCACAGTTGCAACCCAACACCAAATGATCAACTGTGCCTCAGATAAGAAAAATAATGACATCACACCACCTTGTGGCCGTTGACTGTAACAATTTAATTTAGACTTTGTTCCATCATTGATGGTTTAACGGACAATGGAAATAACAAAAGGTTACGTTGAAAATGCATTATGGGCTTACATACAATTAAAAAACATTCATAACAAATTAGATATTTCAAAACGTTAAAAACATTTCATCATGAAAAGTGCAAGTTGACTGTCAGAAATTAGAAGAGTGCTCTTAAATTAAGGCAGGATGTCAATGCTAATACCATCTCGATCTTCCACTTGCAAGCAAATCTGAGGCAGAGCATGGCCTCATGTCGGGGGATGACTTGTGTTTAGGCAGAGGACTGGGGTTGATACCTCCACAGAAATACTCAGACACAAGTCAAAGCAGGGAACAGGATCAGACAGTCACTGAGGAGGCGCAGAGGACTGAGGGCCAACTCACAGACAGGTCTGAGTGGCTGGAGCCTGTTGTAGCTACAGATCCAGGAACAGGGCTTCCTCCACTTAAAGTTCATACTGAGGCTGCAACATCAGTTAGTGGAGTTTTCAGAAGCCTGAAAGAAAAAAGAGTGGTAGTGAAGTGATGCATCGTGATGATTTGATTTTGATAATAATCAAATTACCCAGGCTTTATGGGAGGGCTACACCTCCACAGGACACAATTCTGAAGTATGTGAGGAATTTTCCTCTTGCATGGAGGACATGACATTTCCCGTTTCTTATTTGTCTTATGATTGAGTCACTCAGAAGATGAAAGCCATACATTAAAAATATTATCGGGCAAATTAGTTTAGCATGAAAACAGATAGTTCACAATGCATATGGTCACATAAAAACATTTAACCAACAGTGAGATGTGAAAAAGGTGGCAAGGTTTCTGTCCAGCCAAAACAAAAGTTGGGCAGTATGCTACAAAGATATGCATGTACAATTTTGTATTGTGTTGAAATACCCTTTTCTGGGAAATCAAGAATTAGTTTATGGCTAGACTAGTCAGATATGAATGTCTATATAGTCAACCAAATACCTTACACATCCAAAAACCTCTTCAGATTTGTGTAAAATGCAATATTGCAGGCGACAATGCTCATTAATATCCAACACTGCACACAATGGCCTGTATTTTTGCATTTCTTTTTTATTGCAAATCTTTGATATTTGTTCTTTTTTGCATTATCATGTACAGCACATTAAACTACACAATAGAGTTGCTTTGCCTGATACACCTAAGATACTCAAGAGGGATACCTTAGTATCCATGGCATGGAAGAATATCATATGGCTGACCCATTTTCTTTTGTCATATCAACTTATCCTGTACCATCTAACAGGAAACATTCACATTTAACAGCTTTGTAAAACGTTTTCCATTAGAGAAGAAAACTAGGTTGAGATGCCATAACAATTATTATTACAGCAGCTGTAGGCATCTCAACTTTCAGTCTCACAATACACTAGTTTCACTGCTGGTGCCAGCTGTTGTTTTGAAAGAGATGAATCATCTGAACAAGAGCTGAAACTGATAGTTGAATGAATAAAAAGCTGCCCAGTAAAAATAAATGACAGTTTTGATAATCTATCAAATGTACATAATGTTATTAATAAAACGTTCCCTCATTCATATTGCAAATTGAGTATGTTCTGGTTAGACAGTGAGAGATATTATACAACACCACATTGAGGTCTGGTTATTTCACATTGGCGGGACTCAACCTTAATCCATTCGTAATATGTAGAAGTTAGCTGCTCAATTGGAGCCTGTTTCTGTACCTTGAGGGTTTCAGAAGCTTTACGTAGTTCTTTGATGACTGCAGACAAAGCTTCTGGGTTGATGCCCTGCTCACACAGTCTCACACATATGGACAGAGACTCCATGTCCAAACCTGTGTTCAGCAACCTGGAGATCTCCAGTAGCACTGTTTGAGGAAGAAAGTGACAAGTTAGCCTATATAATAAGATGCAATATGGATTTTACATTATCAGCACTGTGATTTTACTAGGTGAAATGTCCCATGTATGTTTCCATGGTCAATATGATGAAGACACCTACAGCTAATAGTCTTTAGGTGACTTATTGATGTTACACGCCTTAAAAAATACGTACTCTAATTTGCGCGGAAGCCCGTTTTCTTTACTTTTAGACATTTGTTTTTAACCATTCAGACTGCAATTGAAAGATATATCTCTCTTCGTTATTTTGCATATCGAAGTTCGAAGATATCCTTCACCAATACCTTTCATTGTTAGTTTATATAAAGAAAACAGGGAAACATAGGGATGGATGCCCTATTATACACCAATGCCATTACAAACGAGCAAGGAGTTATTATGAAAGCCACTTTATTTGCCACTGAATTTAAAGCCATCTAATACATGTAATATATATTTACCGTCCATTGTCTCCCGGACTGCATTTAAGTTTGCACTTGCTGCACTTGCCATAGTGTTAGAGTGAAGTTAGCCAATGACTGCTATCAGGAAGCTAACAAATACGACTGAGAGAAGAGGTATTTGACGGGAAATAAGACAACGTTTTCAAAACAGTTCAGTCAGACTTTAAACGTTTCGCTGTCATTTGAGATACGTCCTCCAAAAATAGACACGGTCAATTGTTTTTAATAAGAAATTGTAATATTGGGAGCTAGTTAGCTTGCTTGCATGCTATGGCTATGATGCTAACTCGCGGAACTGGAGGAGGAAGTGACGACAATCGATCATTGATTGGTTCCCAGCAAGTTCCTGCGACGTTTCTATTGGCTAGCGGACCCTATGGCGAAATTGAAATAAACGTTTGAACGCTGTTGCTGCTGATTGTTTGTCGAGTCCTCAATGAAGATTGTTTTTTAGCTGTTTGTTCAACATTCTGGATCGTTAACAGTTGTAAGTGACAACGGCAGATCTTTATCTTGCTCATATTTCAATATCCCTTTCATATTTTAGTATAGTGTTTTGTTAAGAAAGAGGAGGGAGGAAATGTGCGACCAAATTCCGTGTACGCTAACGTTAATTAATGCTATAGAAACAGGGAAATGTAGCTAACGTTAATTTAACGATGTTAACTCATCATAATCATACATAGAGGCAGTTATTTTAATGGGTTTGATCATGTTAATGTAATGTCTGTTTTTTGCTTTATGCCGACTGGAATATTTCAGGTAAGATGGGGGACCAAGTTGAGCTACAGATCACTCCTGAGACTCCAGGCAGGCCTTCAGTAAGAAACCCCTTTGAAAGTCCCAATGACTACCACCACCTCCGTGAAGCCCTGGTGCCAAGCCCATCTGTCTTCAAATCCAGGACTTGTTGTAAAGCTGTAAGTTTAACACACCTACCCCATCACCTCAAACCATTTGGACTTAGTACTTGCCTATTTGACACATCTCTCACTGCAAATATCCACATACTGTATTATGTCCACACATTTTGCTCCACTGGTATGTAGTCTTTTATTCACTTCCTCATCTGTCTCTCTCTTAGACTCCACCCAAGTTTAACTGGTCAATAGATGAAATGGCCAGTCTTCTCCCAGTGCACATAGATGCAGAGGAAATTCAGCGACAGTCTTTATACCTCAGCCAGACAAGGTATGTACTTGAACACAGCAGGTGCCAACGTTTGTATGTAGGTTATAATGATGACACAACTAAAATAGTTTTTAAAGGGTTAAAACATCCTAATTGAACCCATGTTGTTGTACAAAATGCAAAAAGCAAGCAGGGAGTACTTGCCTACCCTCCCCCACATCGACAGGTAACTGCAATTGTTAGTTAATTGCTTCCTGTTCTCGCCTGCATTGGGTATAAAATCCACAAGTTAACTTACTAAGCTGTTCATGGATATCTCTCAGACCAATGTCAGACACATACAGTACACTGTCCTACCCTCTTTGCTTTAGTAACCTTCCCATTCTTCACCAATACTGCTGCAGGCTGAAAAAAACTAGCAAAACCTTCTGCTGCAGTTTCTCCAACAATCTAAGTACAATGTATTTTAACAAATGTATTAATTCATTGTCAAATCTTTTATTCTAGGATGGATACTGACATTGAAGAAAAGCGTCAGAATGCTATTGAACAGGTACGGGACTATAATTAAATTGCTAATATTTTTAAATGATACTTCATATATTGATGATTTCTTGACACATTCATTTTTCTGTCTTCCAATAAAGTTTTTTACCAAAGGAGCAATCGTGCCTTCGCCCTGGGCCGCACCAGACACCCGTAAAGGCCCTCAGATGTATACCAAAAGTAGGTTTATTATTGATTTGAACTGCACAAAGTATTTTTATGATCAATATCCTTCTCCCTGTTTTTGCCTTGGGTTTGGTTTATTACAGAAATGATGTTCAACTTACTGTATTGTGTCTTCTTCTTGTAGGTTCTAAGTCTGCAATGATTGAAGAGGAGCCGGAAAAAATCTCAGGTTTGTTTCTTCTTTAAGAGGGTTCAAAAAGACTTTCAACAAACAAACAGTGCCACATCTCTCTGTCTTTTCTGCAGTATCTATCTACTAACTTTTTTCAATCTTCCCTATGTTTCTTTTACAGTTGCTTGTCAGACAACTCTTTCATTACCTTTGGCTTTTGATTTGGAGAAAATACTAGGTAAACCTCTAATAAATGCATGCACAGTCATATCAGACCGTGTTATGAGAGAGTATTTCACCATCAAGTCACCGTGTGTTTCTTCCTTCTCCTCAGGGGATTATTACCGCATCGAGGAACCATGTGACGCCGTGCACGAGAGTCTCAGTTCCTCCTCCTTAAGAAGGAAACTCTTCCTCGATGGCCAGGGTGCTTTCAGCGGCTCTGACAGCTCCTGCCCAGCGAGCCCGGAGAGAATCCACACAACGCAGGGGAGGCTCTTTCTGAACCGAGGAGGGGGATCTGCAGGAGGGGCAGTAGGCTCTGCGGGGGAACCTGTTTCCTCCATCTTTGCCTCCCCTTTGTCCTGTGGGGTGTCAGCTCCTACTCCCTCTACGGTGAGTCAGTGCAGAAGTTAAGTGATGCAAATGTTAATATTTTAAATAATGAGCTTTTGCTTATTTACTTACTGCAAAAGAGTACTGCAGATGTTGTTCATGCTCAATACAAAAGTCTAACATCACAACTAACAAGTGTTTTTTAGCAAAAAGTTTTTTTTATATTTCGATCAAACAGTCAATTTAAAGGCAGAATGAGTAAGATTTGTCCGCTGCAGTTTTGTAAACGCAACAATTTTCTAGCGTCATTTTGAATTCATGCTTCACATCCGGCACCTGGTTGCTATGTTTTTAAAGTTGACGCCCAGAGACGTCCCGAACTCAGCAAATTTAAGAAAATGCACTCCAAATGTAGAGTCTCTGCAGATACAGTCGAACACTTCTAGTGAGACATAAGTATTGATTAAGAAGGATTCTTTTTTTCAGAAAATTAAGTAAAATTTACACTGTTTTCTTTACTACAGGGTCAGTTCTCGTCGAGTCCCATTCATAATGGCCGCTTCCGGGACTGCAGCCTCGGAAGCATCACCAGTCCTCTGTTCCCGGACAGGTCTTCTCCTGCCTGCCTGGTCTCCCCCACAATTTCTCCCATCGTTTCCCACGCAGTTTGCTCACCCATTTCTTCAGGTAGGGAATCTGAATTTGTGACTCGTACCGAATATAAACTTTGTATGATTGGGTTTTACTACTTGAGACACTGGGGTAATGTTTACTAAGTTTCTCTTCAAACTGTGTTCTTTCTTAAGTTGAGAGGAAGAAGCTGAGCACTTTGACTCCACTTGGCGTTTCCCTGGACATAAATCTCCCTCCCTGCAATGTGAGTCCATTCGTGGAGGGTTGCTCTCCCATTCGTAGCTGCTCTCCCCACCAGCTCCTCTGCCACAATGAGTCTCAGCACAATGCCAGACCTAAGCCCCGACCCAGGGTCCGCTGCTGGGCGTCCCCTCCCCTCATCTCTCCGATCCTCAACCCTAAGCTCCAAGACAATCAGGAGGCTGAGGACCAACTCTCTCTGTCCCCCCCCTCCTTTGCCTCGTCTTCCTCTTCTCTCCCCATTATGGAGCTAGATCCATCTTCACCGCTTGCCCACCACGCTCACTCCGCTGCCGCTGAGAGGGTAAACCTGGATCCTATGGAACCTGTGAAAATGGACGAGAGCAAGGACTCAGAGATGGAAGGGAGGCTGGAGGATGAAGAGGAGGAAGGTGGATTGCTTTCGGGACAGCTGACCAGCTCTCGTATGGGCAATGTGTCGCCAATAGAAGGCTCTCGTATGTTTGTATCTATTCTGGCAGAGGGGAGCAGCATACCCTTCGATTCCAGCATGCAGGTACGAGGGTGCAATTTCAACTGTGAGCTACTGTCTTCCCTTTTTTGTTTGACATTTTAAAAGACATTTGAACCCATTTTTTTCCTCTTACAAGTTTTGCTTTTTATGGATCTACATTGTTTTGGTGTGAGTTGTCTGCCTTTCAAGAAATCATGACCCAATATCTCCAACATTTGGCAACTTGCACCTAATAGCTAAAAACTCTACAGGTTTTAAGTGATCTGTCCCTGATCTGTAAACAAATGATTTTATATAGACTGCTTTTTTGTGTGTTCAGGTAGACAGTGGGTACAACACTACCTCAGCGGGCACTGCCAGTCTTATAGATGGACTCGGCTCAGACTGTCATGGCAGAGAGTCCTTCAGTTCGACCATGGCAGAAGAAGCCTTCCAACCCCCTCGATACATTAAAGTAAAGGTAAGTTAACCCATGAGCTTTTCAGTGCCTGCCTCAAGGGTTTATAAGTGTCTTTTAAGTTACCCTTTTCACTTCACTAAATGAATGTTTCTTCTTTTCCAGGCATTTTATCCTCACCACTGAGCCATTTAAAGGTTCGCCTCTTCCAGTGGAAACAAAGTTCACACTATATTTTGAAGCATTTATGTGTTTTAAGGTGAATTGGGTCAACTAATCAATGCAGTATAAACTGAGGGGTTTCACAAGTGAATGTTAGACTAGTTAATAGACTAAACGTTTTCCAGTTCTTTGGGACCTGGTATTGTATAATGTTGTGGTAAGGGGGAAGAGAAATAAGTAAATGCTGTATCAAACTTGCACAAATACCTCTGTTATGCTGGATTTATGCTGAAGTCATAATTTCAGTTTTGTTTGGTGCCAACATGATCTCCCAGATTGATCCTGAGTTTCAGATGACATCAGATTTGTACTGTACTTATCTTTTTTTTATTTAAACAATTTACCATGTTTTTATACAAGCTTTTTCTTGTTTTGAACTAATTGTTTAAATTCAGGTTACCTGTGCATCTTATTTGGATTGTCAGAGTATTTATTTCTGAATAAGACACATAATGCCACTAATTCAAAGCCTATTGAGCCATACTTAAAGCATGGGCTGTATCGCTGTCACATAAATAAATTAACTTGAATTCTTTGTCTGCCTTAACGAGTTTGAGTTGTGTGTTTCTATTTATTTTGAGTTAAAGAGATCGTCCAAAAAAGACATACAATTCTATACTACCAACAATATTAATTACAAAATGCATTTTAACTGATCTAAAAATTGTAGTTCCAAATTTGTTAGACTTTAAAAAGTGGAGGAAAAAAAAGAAATTGGAGAAAAGTGGAGAATATAAGTTTTATATTCTTTATTTTGATAGGGTAAGACTAAAATATGAAATGTAAAATACTTAAAATCTGTCACATTGATAAAGAATGCTTCAAGGCTGCAATAACTTGATTTTGTCAGTGTTGTAAAGCTCTTTCAGAACAAAAATATTTCGGTTTAAAAAGCAATAAAAACTGATATAAAAACAAAACAAAGCACTTTAATGATGAACTCACTATAATTTTGACAAGTTACATTGCATTTGACTTGCAGTGCCCTTCCACGAACTGTTGTTTCACATCATATAACGAATAGCAGAGTGGAATATGTAAGGTTTGAGCTGTGGCTACACAAGTTTTTGTTAAAATGGACGCACTTGCCAAAAAATAAAACAGTTAATTGTGTCTACGCATCAAACAGTCCAAACTGCTTTTATAGATGTTTCCTCTTGATCTAGAGGACAAGTTGGTGACACTTCTTCTTTCTGCATCAGCGATCCAGTCTGGGTTTCTTGGCCAGTGGTTCAATCTCTGGAGCTGAAACACTCACACCAGGGATCTAAAATAAAGACAAATAATTCACAAAATTAGTCGTTTTCCTATTGAGACATCCTGGAAACATGTTAACCTTCGTAAATAAACCTTTAATACTGCTGGTAGAAAAGAGGTTTGCGCTAAAGTTGAAGATCTAAAAAATGTCGCCTTAATCGTGTGCTCCTGCTTTTTTGATAGTGAAATTGTACTCAGTCCTTACCACAGGTTCAATGAGAGACATGCGGATCTTCTGGTGCTGGATATTGGAGGCGTCCAGGCTGATGGTGACCATCACTCTATCAAAAATGTGGAAGGTGTGCTGTTCCACTGTCAGAGAGGGACCCTGAACACACATACAGAAGAGATATTGTTTGAATGATTGTTAGAATGTATCAGTGATTTAACCAGGTATAACAAAAATAAATAACTAACCTCTTCATCAAACACAACTTTAGGGGCTACTTTGTTTTTGGAGTCAAAGAACACAGTTCCCTCCAGGCCAAACTTTGGGATGAGTACGATGATGGCGTTCTTCCTCACAAACAGAACAAATCCCTCTTCGTTCAGTATGCCTCGGCTCTTGAAGAACAACTGGAAAGAGATTGTTTGCATTAAAGCAGTGGATTATTTAGCATGGTATAGGATCTGTTTGATTCTTATTTTAATTCAAACCAAATGTTCATGGGGATGTAAATGGACTAGTCTTAATCATGATGGTTCGGTGGGTTTTTCATTATATGTATTCCAAACAGTGTGTGGGCTCCATTTGTGTTTACCTGTGTGTGGAAGGCCACAGAAGCTCTCTGTGCATACTGAGACATTTTGTGTCTGTAGTTGAGGTTGTTGGAGAGGGCTGACTGCTTCTGTTTGTCCATCAAATCTGGGTAGGTTTTGTCCGCTGCTATGGCCACTGCCAGCAGGCGGTGAACGATAATATCTGCGTACCTGTGCAGGAGAGCAGATACAGACAATTGAGGGGGAGGAAAGGTAGAGGTTTAAATGTGCTGTGGTTATTTCCTAATTGTGCATTTCTTTGTTAAAAATTGGCCAGACCCCACAAGTGTGTTCAAGAGGTGAAGAATATCTGTTTCCATACCTCCTAATAGGTGATGTGAAGTGTGTATAAATGGGAGAAGCAAGGCCGTAGTGGTGGAAATCGCTGTCCATGCCAGAACAGAAATAGACGGCCTGCATCATGCAGCGGGTGGCCAAGATGCGCAGAAGCGTGTTAAAGTACGGGAAGCCGTCCACTCTGGCCACGTCAAGGGAGTCAGCGAGAGCCTTCGCTGAGTCTGTGTGAATCTCCACAGCCTGGGGAGAGAAGGAAACAGAGTGTTGACCAGAGGTTGCGTTAGACTTTTTCATTGTCCGTAATTTTGACGGACAGGATCGTAACATTTCCGTCATAATCCATTATTACCCGTCGGGTCTGTAACAACGAGCTGACGAGGGGGGAGAGAGCACGCTCGTGAACTGTCAACGGGGCGGGGGGTGGTGAACTATTAGCGCCGGTGTTATGCCGTGTTATGCATGCACCTCGCGGGAGCGCGCACAGCGTAAAGCAAAAACTCGCAGACATGTCAATGATTTGTACGGCAAAGTACGGTTTGGAACCGATATCATTTCCTTTTCGGCGGGCATGCATAACACGGCATAACACCGTAGCCTCGCTGCGGGGGAAATTTGGCGCTGTTCTGAGTTTGTTCTAATTGTCAAAATGACGGACTGTTTTCAGATTTTTCCGCCATTGTTAAAAAAAATCTGTCATAGATGGAAAATATTCGGTTAACGCGAACTCTGGTGTTGACATCTTAACACACTTTTATTTATTATTTGCAAAAAGCACAAAATAAAGTTCCTACTGAAATGCCATTTTCATCCAATTAGTTTGAGTCACTGAAATAATCTATGGTGTGGGCAGCGATTCCAGTGTCTGGTACCAGGTTTAAATGTCACTCCATTTATTACAAGCAAAAGTGATTCGATTACCTCAAGAAAAAAGAATAAAACCGAAAAACAGAGCAACCTTTCTGCATGTGATTCTATCTCCACTCACCTTGGACTTTGCAGCCTTGAGCAGGATGTCGTAGTTAGATGGAGGCGGTGCTGGATGTTTCCTCAGCAGGGCACAGTCTGGAAACTCGTCGAAGATCTTCTGAGCAACTGAAATATTCGCCAGCAACATGAACTCCTCCACCATAGAGTTTGTCTCCCTAAAAAACAAAATATGGGGTTATTTGCATCCGTCCCAAAACACAAAATACAAATATTTGCTTTGATAATGGTGTGCTCCTTTTTGGGGTAACCTACATGAGTTCTTTGGTCTGGAGGTCGATGGGGTCGTGGGTTTCGCTGTCGATGTGGAATCGGACCTCTATAGAAGACAGTGTCAATGCCCTGAAGGATATCGAATGCAACATAAAAACACACTTCAGGTTAAATAAAAACTCACACCATCAATAGCCTGTTCTGCCCATTGCATTAGAGTTTACCAAATCTACATTTTGTAAATCTATTTCTTATGCTATAATTGTCCCAACTTCCAGTCCTCACCCTTTCAATATCCTATTTTTCTTGAGGATTTTGGCCAGTTTGTTGAGACCGCGCAGGTTCTTGGTGACATCATCAGTCTGTGTGGTGTCATCAATCCTCATTTGGGCCTCAGCGTAAGTCAAAGATGCCTGTAAAATAGGAAAACATAAGTAAACAACAATCATCTTGAGCATGTAGTTTTGTGTCTTACAAATAAATATTGAAAACAGGTGATAGTATAGTATATAGTGTTTTAGTACTATACCTTAGACTTAATGACACTTTTTGTGAACCGGGTCTTTAGAATTTCAGCCTCATGGTTAATCTCCCAGATACAAGAGAAAGCCAGCCTGGAAAAAAAGTCAGAGACAAACATTTAAATTGCGTTCAAACTATGATCTATTTATTCACTGAAATATTTTGGTAAGTAGGAGCCTTGATGATATTGGTTATTGTGTGAGTGTGTGTATAAATCTCTAGTCCTCACCTTTCCACATTGGAGCGTAGAGAACAAAGATTGGAGCTGAGCAGTTCAGGAACCATGTCTATCCTCTGGTGGACACAAAGTTAAAGCCATTTTAGTTTAAAAAAAGTTTCTGCATATATATTGCATATTTTTATACCGTCTTGAGGTTTTTATACTGTCATTGCTGTTTCTGTTCCTACCAATATACATTTTAGTAAAAGATCCCAAATAACCGATTGTTCCCCTCCAAACTGGACTGAATTCAGAGTGTTTTGTTTGTGTTTTGCCCTTACTTTGCCACACAGGTACACAGTGGTGCCACGGTTTGCAGCTTCTTTGTCCATAGCGTTGCCAGGCCTGATGAAGTGACTGACATCAGCGATGTGGACACCCACCTACAGCAAAGAAATAAAATACTTTAGGTTCATATGAACTTAAAAAAAAACATGTTTTTAACTTTATAATGTTTGTGTCCAGTATGTGTACCTCAAGGTTTCCATTGTCCAGTTCTCTACAGTGCAGGGCGTCATCTATGTCTGTACATCCAGGAGGATCCACGCTGCACACTGTCAGACTCCTCAGGTCCTCTCTGTTCACCATCACCTGTTCCACAAACATCAACACTATTATAAACACATATACATAACTATCAACATGTTTGTGCCTTAAAATTATACTGTGATAGACCCACTGATAATTGACAGGAATGCAACATGTTGGATTTTTACAAAATTCCTTAAGTTTCCACCACATTTTGACTGAATGCAGATAACGATATCTGCAAATACAGTATATTTTCAAACTATTTGCAGGAACCATCAAGTCATTCCTCTGTTATTGTGATGGCCAACTGGCAGATGCAAACATATGCAATGTTTTTCCAAATGTAGTGTGCATAAGAAAAGTATTTAAACTTCGGTCAAATGTAAAACAGACTATTTATTTTATGTAACATGTCCAAAATAAGCTGAAAAAACATTCTTTGCAAACAAACTTGGATGATGCTGATGATGATGGATGACGAGACAATCATCAAAAGAAAAATAACACATAGCAGACATTTTAGTTTGTCCACTTGCTTTGTCAGGGGTTCGTGCTACATATGCCTAATCTTTACGGCATGTCATATTGTGTGCTCATAAATGTGTGCATCCCTAAACAATAAACGGCAACTAGAATAATGCTCAGTGTATCCCACGCAAAGCTGTCATTACCTCTGGTGTGATCTCCCACGGCATCGTGGGAAGGAAACTGAGCACAGCCTGAGAGAAGGCCTGGTGGGGGACATCGTGCTCCAGCAGCAGCACCTGCTGCTCCGTCTCCTTATCCCCGGCACTACCCAGACTGCGCACAAAGTGACCCTAACAAAGAAGAAAAAACTGAGTTCTCTCCATGGACAGACTTGATGTTTTCTTAAATGAAAAAAAACCTGCAATCCTAAAGTGTGGCTATATAAGTAGAAAAAGTGAACAATTACATTTCCTGTGAAACGTTGATAAGTGGAGATAAAAGAAATCAAGGATATAAGGTTTCAAAGATTTGACCAGATGAAAGGTATTTAAACTCACATTTGGATATCTGGAGTGTTTGGGCCAGCCATCGATGGCCACCATGATCCTCTGGCCTGCCAGTGCGTCTGCCTGACGTGTTTCAATGCGAATGCGCGGGATACGGCGATCTGCAGGGGTGAAAAGATGTCTGGTGGACTGTAAGAAAAAGAAAACAGATGATCAATGATGAGACAAAGTGGTGCTTAACAGCTTGTAAAGTGAATAGAGATGTAATCATTGTAAAAAGGCCTACCATTTCTCAGGAAGAATGTTCAAACCAAACAAATAATAAACGATATAAGACATATGGCTGTATAGAGCAGTCTTAACTTACCCCTTTAATGATCGAGGCGTTGAGCATGCCACAGAATGGCCTCCAGTTCCTTTTGATGATCCCCACCACTCTTCCTGTGGGCTTCCTGGCTGCTTCAGCTGCCGATACCCTCAACTGCTCAGACACACAGGATAATGGGACATTATTAAGATAATGAAGCTACAAATGTAAAATTGGGGTTCAACAGCAAGCCTCATTTGTATAGTACAGCACGCACATACTGTCCAATCCTACCGGTGTACACCCTGCTGATTTGTTTTGACAATAACACTATCAGAAAGGTTAAGTCTAATAACTAATCAAATCAAATCAATCATGTTTTATTTATATAGCACATTTTTAAAATTATTTTTGGTCGAGCCAAAGTGCTGTACATGCAATAAAAACACTTTACTGCAAAAGCAAACAGAAGACAATAATTTACAACAGCAAATATAAAAATCAAACACAGGGAAATGTCAGGAGTCGTACTCCGCTCTGATTAGAAGGCCAGAGAGAAGAAGTGAGTCTTTAGTGTAGATTTAAAAACCCCTAGGGTCTGGGCCGACCTCACATGGAGGGGCAGACTGTTCCAGAGCCTAGGGCCAGCTACTGCAAAGGCTCGGTGCCCTCGGGTTTTAAGCCTAGTCTTGGGCACTACCAGCAGCAGCTGATCAGCAGACCTTAAGGCTCTGGCTGGGGTGTAGCGATGGAAGAGTTCTGCTATATAGGCCGGAGCCAGCCCATTTAGTGCTTTGAAAACAAATAAAATGGAGTTTCAAATAAATTCGGAACCGAATTGGATGCCAGTGCAATGAGGCCAGAATTGGGGTGATGTGGTCACGCTTTTTATGGCCAGTGAGAAGACGCGCAGCTGCGTTCTGCACTAGCTGCTAACTAATCGTTCAGTCAACACATATTCACCTCTTTTTCTTCTTCACCCTCCTCCTCATTATCGTCCTTTTCTGCGCCTTCATCCTGCAGGACAACTGAGGAGGGCGCCACCCACTGATCCCGTGGCAACAGCTGCACGGCAACAACATCCTGGTACACGGATCTGTTGAGGTTCTGAAGACCCTGGATGAGAACCTGCAGCCAGACAAAATGGAAAGCATTCATTTACATTAACTTTACTAAGTTTGACAAATTCATATATTTCCAGATTTTGGATGATTGTTCAGACAAACACTTTACATTCACAGAAACATGTACACACACACCTCTGTGCTTTCTTCCCCCTCTCCCTGGACAAAGACAGTGGCCTCCAGGTAGTTGTCCCTGCTAGCCCTAAAGGTGCCCTGGAGGAAAGTGCCATTCTTAAGTCCTGCTTGGATCCTGGACAGAGGGAGGTGCTCTGGGAATAACACCTTACTGCTAGTGATGTCATTCTGAGGGAGCAAATAAAAAGAGATCAATGGAAGGTTAAAAACACCATGAAAAGGTAGGAGTGTAAAAAGTTGATACCGATACAAGTTGTACATACAGAAATAATATAACTACTATTTAAAAATGAAACAAAATAGTTTTTTGTAGAAAGGTTTACCTTGTCATCATTGGACAAAGCCAGACGATCCACCAGCTCAGGGTTCCCGATAAGACTCTTGATGTACTCTTCACCTAGAAGGGAAGTGAACAAATTGTTGTTACAAAGTGGTATAACAGCCGATGCTGCTAGTATCCGACAGAAAATATTGGGAAGGCCTGAGGAATATTTTATTCAACAAATTGGGGATCGGTGCTTCATACGTAAAGCTTTGAATTTGAAATTAGGGAGAATCCGTCAAATTGGAATGTCTCATTTAACAAATTTCTGCTGTGTCCTATTATCTTTTCTGAAAAAAAGACTACTTACATTTGTACACCAGCAAGCCGCTCTCCTCTGCCTTCTGCTTGTTCCCTTGATCATTGGTGAGGAGGACAACCTTGAGTGGGCCAGTGTCCGACTCGGACTTCTTCAGGTGCTCGCTGTACCATTTTGCCGCCACACGGATTGCACGGTCGTTGCGGTCATTGGCACTCTCCCCTGGTTCACGTTCAATGAATGTCTCTCTGAAAAAATTAACAGGTAAATCATTATTTCATGCCTTTCATAAGAAAATGTACATCAGGAGGGAGGTCTAAGACGAAGATATTTATTAGAAGAAGAAGAAACTCTGTTCAACAGGCCGATGTACTTTGTCACTGATTACTTTGACTTTTTACATATTACTGTAATGCAATTGAGATGTTCAGAAGCAGTAAAAAGGTCAGTGGTGTTTTTCTACCTGTGGTGTTCATTGGTAAAGGTGTAGAAGTTTTTCTCTTTCTCATGTACAATGTCCTTCAGGCGTTTATAGATTGGTGCACTGCGGTGGCGTACCTCGGCCAGCACTGTCTGAAGGATTATGACATTACGAATAACTTGGTCTTCCAACACGTCGATCTGCAGGACACAGAAATTATAAACATTAGGGTAAAGAGAATCAGAAGTGTTGAGAATCAGGTGCTAAGTTTGTATTGGTGTGAATACAAAAGGAGAAGTTATAATGGCATAGGATTAGGATCAAGGAATCACTAATCTATGACCTACATTTAGTGGTGGACTCAGGCAGTCCGATAGGTAAAAAATGTTTCCTTAGGGGACATTTTTAAGGCAAATCCTATATTTTAACACTGAAAGGGGACGCTTGATCATGTTTTCTTTATCAGAGTCAACCAGAGCCCACATTTATGTAATCCCTCGACTGCAATTGGTCAACAATACTGATATTATAGTTGTGTAAAGACACACAAGGATTGTCATAGAACCTAGCTGAGTGCAATGAAAGATATTAACAATACAACAACCAAAGATGAAATAATAGATTATGTATTATCAAAATACATGAGGCATAAACTAGGGATACAAATCTGTATGTAAAAGTACATGTCAAGTCAATATGTCTGGAAAACATCATGTTAGACTTCTTGGTGATGACACATTTTTTTCTTCAGTTTATTACACAATTTTCACAAATAAAATAGATATCCAGGTGAAGTGTGACGTATTTTTCTTACCTGATGCAGCACCACATTAGTGTCAGGTATCACATAATGTGGATAAGAGCACAGGTTGCTCTCCATACACGGGTCTCTCTGCAGCGCTGTGGACTCCTGTTTGCATTCAGTGCAAACTTCGCTTCCGCACCAAATATCATCTCTCAGATAATGCTCACGCACTATTTTCATCACCCCACCCGACCGGGTCTTCTTTACGAAGGTTTTAGATTTCAACATGATAACAATTAAGGCTTCACAAACATAACATCCCAATGTTTTTTCCTACCAAATTGACGAGAAGCTAGGAGTTAGCTGCCCATGTGTAAACCATGGGTAAACTCACTCAGTGGGCCGACAAAACTTTCACAGAGTTTTGATAAACACGTAAAGCCAGATTTCAGGTCGTTAGTTAAAATAAGTTAATATTTATGTTTTAACAATCTCAAAAAATAACGTACAATTAATATATTACGATACAACGCTACCCTTTGCTTTTATGTGAAATAAATGAAAAGTATGTGGTTAGTTTTGGTTGCCCACAACGCTTGGTCAATGAAAACAAAGCTAAAGAAGTCCGAGGGGGTGGGTTTAGAAAAATATGCTAATTAATTAGCGCCTCCTGTGTTTAGGAGGAGGTACTGCATTCCCGTTGCACTGTAATGAATGGCAGACATGTGGGCGTTGAATGTAATGCAGGTTTATAACCATAGTAGGCGCTGTAGTCAACGTTACCTATACCAGCGTAGTCGAGCTCGAGCCGTTGGCGGTTAGCAGGCGACTCGGAGCGGGACACTTGAAAATAAAAACAACCCACCACCGTATGGTCTTGGCAGCTCCGGGATGTCACCTAAAAGCTTTATTGCGGGTATATATATCTCATTCTCTCAATATGAGTGCATCGGTTGACTTTTTTTCCACGATATATGCTAGATAGAGTGGGGCAGTGTCAGTGTTGTTGTCGGTAGCTACAAACTAACTATCTCTGCTACGGGGCGTCGTTAGAGAGGAAAACAAAGGGCCAAAACAGGACAAAATGCCTCCCAAGAAGCAACAGGTGAGGCCAAGAGCAGCCAACATCTCCAGCTCCCTGGACCTGGAGTCGGAGGACATCAGCCTGGAGACCACGGTGCCCACCACCGAGGACCTCTCCTCCTCCGACGAGCAACGAGACGGATCGCAGAAGGTGACCCGCCAGCTGATCGAGAGGAAGGAGCTGCTGCACTCCGTCCAGCTGCTGAAGATAGAGCTTTCTCAGAAAAACCTCATCATAGACAACATGAAGGCCGACCATATGTCCAAGGTAGGAGAGAGGAACGGTGTTGGTGTAATTCATCCCCAGGTTGTTCCTCTTATACAGAAGTAAATTGTAACTAAGTACATTTACTCAAGTACTCTCTACGAACATCTCTTCTACATATCAGATATTAGAGAGCATTTTAATTTATTCTGTATATTTTATACTGTGTATTCTAAGATATTTGTCTGTGTATTTTCTACATTGATTATGCACATATTTGCTTAAATGTTTTTTTAAATGTTGTTTGCATTTTATTCTATTTTATGTATCTATCTCTCTCAAAGGAAAATGTTGTATTTTTACTCTTAATCCATCTTGCAAATGTAGTTAGGCTGCTACTTAAAAAAGGCGGACAGAACATAAAAAAGAGTTGAATTACTTCTTCTTGCTTTATCACATTATTCTCATATTATAGTACAAGTTAGAGTTACATTTTGCCCACCTGACAAAGACAAAAACATGCAGTCACTTCCATTTCCAAAACTATCTTTGTTGCAATAATAGTCCCATGATTGTTTCCATGTGTTTTTTCCCATGTGAGGTTGAGGAGCTGGAAGAGAGGCTGAATGATGCTATACATCAGAAACAAATGTTTGCCCTGAGACTTGACAGCCAGCTGAAACTCAATCAAGAGGAGAACAGGTGAGAAAAAGTGATGAAGTTCAGAGAAATGTACTGTAGGAAAACTGCCATGCCCCTTGTAATTGTTGAGTCGTCTGTTTTAAGAACAGACATTTTGACATGGTTTTAGCATTTCATATTGGCCCACTGTCTCTCAGTTAACATATCTTCTACCGCCATAGAGTCTTGGTGTTTTTGCAGTCATCATGTTTAACCACATCACACATCTTACTGAATACCAAGTAAAAATCTAACTCACAGTGTTAAAGCCAAGCCTGAAATGTCTGTGCTTGTAAGTGAATGGTTATCAATGACCTCATTTATAGAACAAATCACTTTTGAAAGCAGGTGCCATGCTTCTATGCCACATAAAATGATGTAGAGAATATTAAAACTGGAATAGATATATGTATTTAAAATAGGAAAAAGTTTTTAATAAGGAGAACTGCCTGTGTTATCTTTCCCATCATTTATGGTAAGTACAAACGGTGCTAACAAATCTTGTCCTCACCAGGAAGCAGCAGACTCTGCGTAAACAAGAGATGGAGGCCATCCTGCTCAGGCAGCAGCAGCTGGAGGAAACTAACCGGCAGCTGTGTGAGAAGTCTGGAGAGCTGCGGAGGTCTCTCAGGGATCTGGACCTCCCCCAGGACAGGTACCAGGAGCTCCGTGACCTCCCTGACGACAAACTCTCCATACAGGAATACGTGGCTGTAAGTATGGGGGGCTTTCCTGAATCTCTACACCAACTTGTAGAACCAGGGAGACAATATAGAAGACAAGACAAGAAGCTGACATGGTGACCTTTTCTCTGCGCTGTGTGTTTCAGATGCGTTTCTACGAGGTGGTGACTCCTCTGCGGGCCCAGCTGTCTGAGCTCAGTGTGAAGAGAGGAACTTTAACTGAAGACCTGGACACACACAGAACCCAGATGAGGGCTTTGATGGAGGTACGGCACACATACACTCCCTTAAACTCTACATCTGTATGTTGCATTCCATCTTTTTTCTATGTGAGTTCACATGTTTTGAATAACCATAATTGTATTTCACTTATTCATTATTGTATTATTCATGTATTATCAGTATTTTGTTTATTCCTATTCATCTCTGGTAAAATCGTAGACTTTGCACAGTTAAAATAAACATAACTGATTGTGCATCATTTCAACAAGCTTTTATGTAACCTTCTCAAGTGTTTGTGAGCACACAAGTCCAGCTGAATTCCTTTTTTTTCTTTGTTTAAACGTACAATATCCCACACATCTCAAACAAACACTCACTCCTCCTGTCACATATTTAGAAAGCATAGAAACGACGAATGTGTCAAGAGGTTCAGTAACCTTCAACCTAAATGTGGAAAACATCAACGCCACATAAAACACATCAGTTATTGCTTGTTGTGTCAGTTACAACATTCTCAAAATAGTTATTTTTACAGCCTGCATTGAAAAAACTGAAAGTTCTGTGACTTACCCCCCAAAAAAAGCCATGCATTCAATCTAGTCAGCAGTCGTCCGGCAGGCATATTTGTCCCAATGAAAAGATAATAGTGCAGGGTAAGAATATAGGAAAAAAATAACCTGATCATCGCAATCATCAGACCATTTTCTTACTAATTCATCATCGTTTGAATGAGTATTTAAACATTATTCCTGAATAGGTTCTTGCCTTTTATATCACAGTTTGTTTTTTGACTTGGGTACATCCAGCAGGTAAATAAGGATGTGTTTTTCACTGCATGAATGAACTATTAAATAATTGTCAGGGATTGTATGATACTGTACATTTTAAAGCAAATTTGACATTTTCTTGATAGTGATTTTTGTTTAATTCCTGTCAGGGTGTCCAGAAGGTGAAATCCTGCCTTTTTGCCTATTGTGTCTAATAAAATAAATGCCAAATATAATTGAAAATGTTCTGTTCTGTGACTGTGTGTGTCAACAGAGCTACGAGGAGGAGCGGCGGCTACGAACTGAGCTGGAGTTGAGGAGCCAGAGACTGACGCTGGAACTGGCCGACACCAAGCAGCAGATTCAAGAAGGAGACTATCGGCGAGAAAACTACCCTGCCATCAAACGGTGTGTGTGTCAGTTTCTGGAAAAGTTATGGAAGGTTGTGTGTATCATTCATTTAGTATTTTTTGGTATTATAAGCTCACTATATATTGGATTTTGTCTAATTCAGTACATGGTAGGGCTGTGCGATTATGGCAAAAATCATAATCACGATTATTTTGGTCAATAATTGATATCACGATTATTAAATACGATTATTCATTGACTTTGAAAACGTCAATTTATTGAACTTTAAAACAAATTAAAATAATCATTTGAACAGTATCTGTTTAACTGTTGATTACCCTGAACGTATAATTCAACTGAAAAACCAATAAATAAAATAAATGATAAATGTATATTTACATTTACATAAATAATATCAAAATAATAAATACCAATAAAAAAGATCAACAAATATTTTGGAGCGCACTTCAACAAGCTACTAAACATATATAAATATGATAAATAAATTAGACTATAAAATAAATTAGATCAAATATGTTGCAGTGCACTGTCACAACCTAGCAAAATAATCGTTTTTTTCGTTTGTTGTTTTTGTAATTGTGGCAGGCCAAAATCGTAATTGCGATTAAAAATCGATTAATTGCACATCCCTAGTACATGGAGTTATTTTGTTAAGTTTTTTTCTTTCATCACAACAAAACTCCAGAACCCTTTATATCTTGTCTACTTTCCCCCTCTATTGAAATTATTGATATATATTTGCAAGTTGAAATATATGTTAACCTGTAACTGTTTATAGTGAGCGGGACAACTTTGAGGCAGAACTGAAAGATTTCAAGAGAAGATTTGAGACACTAGACCTGACTCACACTGCAGTGACCAGAGAAAGGAACACACTCAGCAAAGAGGTGCTTCACACAAACACACACAAAAAACAAATGTTATTATTTTTGGCTTTATTCTTTTCTATAATAGTTTTTATTTGTCTTCCCCTCCAGGTGGCGACATTGCAGCAGTCAGTGAGTCTCCTGCAGAAGGATAAGGATTACCTGCACAGGCAGAACATGGAGCTCAGTGTGCGCTGTGCACATGAAGAAGACCGCCTGGAGAGGCTGCAGGTCAGGACAGCTGATGAGAGACTCATCTATTAGGACAGGCAATCAATACCACTCATATTCTTCTGACATGCTCTCACTTCATGATTTTGTGATCTAGGTACAATTGGAAGACACTAAGAAGGCGAGGGAAGACGCCTATGAAAAATATGTAGCATCCAGGTTAGTCTCTGCTGTTTTACACTGGTCATCAGCAGACAATACTCTTTATAATGTGGGAGACCTGTGCCAAACACGGACATTGATGGTTTCATCTTACAGAGACATTATGATCTAGTAATTTTGTTTTATTTGTATCTTTCAACTACAGAGACCACTATAAGTCAGAGTACGAGACCAAGTTGAGAGAGGAGTTGGAGAACATCCGACTGAAAACCAGTCAGGAGATAGACAACCTGCAGAGAACCTCCAGAGAGATGTATGAGAGGGAGAACAGGTACCAGTCTTTTATTTTACATAACCCTCCTAATTAATATGTTTGTATGGATGTTGGTAAAAACTATGACTAAATATCGGGATAGTTTCTCATTTTGCTCTCATGCCATATCAATCATTATTTTCCTAGTCGATTTACAGATAAGACTTCTCATTTTCTTTTCTTTTTTATTAACTTTTATTCAAATGAATTCTTAAAACTCCAGCATTTGTAAAAAAAATAAAAAGACATCTATCCTGGATCTAATACGAGCTGCTTCTCTCTCCTTGTGATGTTTTTGTTAATTTGGGAATGGTAAACAATAATCTCTTAGTAAATGTACACATTTATACTCTTGACATTTACATGACAGCAACTCTTAATCTAGTATACAATACAGCAGTAACTAAAGTAATGAATGCATATGCACATATTTAACATGAGGAACAGCTATTGGCAAGATACCTCCCGGCAGCATCACAACAAAGGAGACACAACTTCAAAAAGATGAAGAATTCCTTTATTATGACCTACATTAACAGAACATGCCATTTCCTTTTTGCTGCATCCTGTGTTTGTCAGAAACCTGCGTGAGGCCAGAGACAATGCGGTGCTGGAGAAGGACAGAGCTGTTGTTGCTGAGAGAGACGCTCAGTCCAGATACGACCAGCTGCTGGAACAGTGAGTTTTACCTTCCATCCCACACATAAAGATTTAATACACCTCATCGGTAATGTTATACTGTCTTTATGGACATTGAACATCAACAGGCCAATAAATACATTTACCTTTTTATTCTTTTTTTCTGCCTTTAACTCCAACAGTAAAGTTTGAAGTGATCATAACATAAAGGAAATACTAATCACCAGAGGCCTGTACTACGAAGCTGGATTTTCGCTTAGCGAGGTAACTTCAGGGAAAACTCTGGGTTTTCGGTCCTACGACGCTGGTTCACTTCTTAGCGGGCTAGATCTCCATGGTAACTTATGCTGAACGGCTAGCCTGCTCCGGAGCAGGTTAGGTTCCAGGCTAAGAGATCAACTCAGTGAAAGCACCGCCTGCTGACCAATCAGAGCTCAGTGTGCAGAGTTTAAAGCGATCAAGTCATATTACAGGAGAAAGGAAATACAGAAAAACTGCCGTTGCAGGAAAGACTGCCGGCAAAAATCAATTGACTGTGTGAACGTGAACATTTATAGAATATCACCTCCCATCTTCAGAGCAATCTGACTATTATAACATTAAGTACACAACATAAGTAACCAGATCAAAGTAACATTACGTACAGTCCACGGCACTGTGAGTGCAGACGTCGATGTGTCCCATTATCATTCATATCACATCATAATGTATCATATATTTCCTTATCTGAGTCAGCTTCTTGAGCCGTATCTGGCCGTGCAACACAGTGTCACATACTGTATGCAGAAGTATTATTTTAAGCAACACATTAAGTTGACGAAACACTCGAGTCAAATTCTCCTAATTAAAGTCAGATCCTCTCGTGTCTTAGACGGGGCAGTGATATCATAAACCTGTTAATGTACGCATTCAAACACTTTTTCTGTTACCAGCTGTATTCACCTTGCCGGTGCAGCTATGTTGCTTTTATCCTGGATAAAGTGTTTAAGTCATGGATGTTTAAAGTTTAACGTCTTAATATTTGTCTAATATTATAGTTCACTTTTCATTCAGGAAGTATGACGCTGCGCTGTCAGTACGCTTGTCCATGTTTGTGATTTGTCAAATGTTGCTAACCCCGCCCCTTTCATGTGAACGCGCACATAACTAGATAGGGCAAAGCTGGCTTGAGTTAACGAGTTGATAACCAGCGTCGTAGGACCGCTTAGCGAGAGCGCGTTTGTTTTGGATTAGGTAAGCCGGGTAACTCAAACATATCCAGGTTATGTTGAACCAGCTTCGTAGTACAGGCCTCTGCTTAATGTTGGGACAAAAACAGACACCTCCAACACATAAGTAATAAACTGTAAGATACTGAACCGCTGCCCTTAAATAGACGTCACTTCCTGGATTCACTCGTAATGTATTGGGGGAAGTTACTAAACCTGAGGGCAACTGTACAAATGTCAATAAGACCGAGAGAATGGGTTACTTTTCCCTCGTTTTCATAGTGTTGACTTGATGTTTGTGGGAGTGGACAGAAACAAACTAGTGTGATTTATGGAATTCCTGAGTATTTCCCTGAAAGCTGGGAGCTTGTTGTGGCTCTGATGCTGCCGATGTGAGCCGTCAGCAGTCTGTCATTAGCTCATGTTGTGGGAGCAGCAGGTCTTCTGTGGTTGTGGTTTACTATCTCTTACTAAAGATCACATGAATGTTTTTCTGTAACTGCGGGGTCAGGAGGGCACACATTGACGTTTACTGAATGTCACTTTAAAGCAACAGGTGTCACCGGCCAGGCTGCATGCCTTTCGAGGGAAATACTTTCAGTGCAGGTTGAATGCAGTGACAGACAGTGTTATTCTGAAGACTATTTAGATGCCGAGGAATTCCTTTTTCACTGTGGCTAAGCACTATTTTAAATACCTCCTTTAAACTAGCTTAAGTTGTTCTTGACCTGGAGGATGAATTGACTTGGCTAAACAAATGTTAATGCAAAGCAGCTTTTTTAGTAATTTCCAGACATTCTTGTCGTGATTTGTATCGAGTTGCTGGTCAATATCTCTGCTCCAGGCAACTATGTCCAGCTCAGTGTAGCCTTGAAAGGTGCCTCAGGGTCATGGCCTTGAAGGAAGTTTCCTATCTTGCGTGGAAATTGCAACATAGATATATTGTAAGCCCAGCTACACACACACACACACACACACACACACACACACACACACACACACACACACACACACACACACACACACACACACACACACACACACACACACACACACACACACACACACACACACACACACACACACACACACACACACACACACACACACACACACACAACACTCTGCTGCATACAAAGATGTCTGGTTAAACAAACAGAGTGTATTTGCATCTGATTTGTCTAGTCCCACACCTGTGGTAACATGTTCTTAGTACTGAAAGGAATTATGTAGAAAAATATGCTTAAAAAACAAACCGTAATGTTGTCAACTATTTCTATTTTGAACTACATATCAATTCTGAATATTTGAGATGGTTTCAGTACTCATTTTCCGCACTATCAATAAACCGGTAGCAGCTGCACCTTCTCACTCCCTCTTATATCCAACACAAGTTCACACATACCGCTGCAGTGTCCATTTTGCTGTTCTCTGCTGCTAGCGAAAACAAGAACAGTTTTTATTCTAATGCCTTGATATATCTATATTTAATTTTAAAATAAATGTAATTAAAATGGTATGCCCTACCTATGTGTTATTCCATCTTCCCTATCATATTGAAAATGGTATCAAATATGCTTTTTATAGAGTTGTAGGTGTAAAAATTCCAATATCTCGACAACAATATATTTTAGGAGCTTTTTCTTTATTTTAATTTCTGTTTTACAATATTGTATCAGCAACAAACAGTGACGCACACACAGCAGCAGCAGCAGTGTCCCTGTCCTGGGTTACTACTACATACCAGTCATTTCTCCAGATCCAAACTACCAGCTGTTGGTCCATCCACACATACACACTTAACTCTCACTCTTTCTCTCTCTCTTTTTGCTGCGATCACATTCCCTCTCTGCTTCGCATCGAAAGCCAGTAACGACAGATGCTAGCCTCAAGCCCTTAACCCCTAACCCCACGCATGCCCCTATTTTTGGGGCAAAGAATGAGTTGCACAAGCTTGAAAGGGCGTCAGATGATTGTAACATAGAAGACAATCTCTGCTCTCTGTTTTACAATGCTGGCTAACTGGCCACTTAGGGTGATAAATCAGTCAAAACAGACGAACAGAAAAAACAGTATTTGTCAACTCTTCGACTAAAGTGCCTCAGGAAACCCCAGAGTCATGCACTCTTACATAGCGTAGCTGCAATTAAAAGAAGAGCGAAAAACCACGTCAAAGAAAATCTTCTGCTCGAGTAAGTTATATTTTGCCTTTTATTTATAAAAGGCATGGAATGTGGACCGCGTGTACGTGTCTGTCACCGTGAGCACACAGCTCAGGCCCGCGCTCCACGGATGATGAAATCCTATCAGGTCGGCTGTAATAGAGAGTTATTAATATTATCCAACCGACCTCCATGGTTTAATAATGTGTGTTGGGGCTTGAAAGCTGCCTGAGGAAGAGCCCCAGACTGAAAAACTATTTTGTTTTATTTTTATATGGCTGCAGCAAGTGATTATTAACACAACCCCTGTCAGTTTGTTCATTTTTATTGAATACATCCATTATTGCTTGGTCTAATAAATATCTGAAAATAATGAAACATTGCCTTCATTATTTTGAATCAAACCAACAGTTCAAAACACAATGATACTCAATTTAAGATGAGATACAACAGAGCAAAGCCGAAAACTCTCATTTGGGAAGTTTGAATACGTTTGTCTGCCTTATAAATGACTTCAGAGATGCATTTTACTATCTTCAGTCTGTTCTGCTTATATGAATATCCTTTTTTTTTTTTTTTTAATGCAAACAGCTTATGTCTCTATGTTGTGTTCAAGTTTCCCATCCGCACATGTATGTATAACAAGACTGGGTTGATGCAGAACTGTGAAAACGGTAGAATACACTCTTGTCTCTTTCTGTCCTATTTACTAAACACCAAAGTTGAAACATGTTTCTCAAGTGCCAAATAGAATCATGAAAGATCAAACAAGAACAAACATTGCTTCGAGCGTCATTGAGAAATAATCTTCTGCAACCAAAGGATTTAAAACCTGCTTTGATTTCCTGCTTGACGACTTATACTCATACTTTATGTGCCAAGCTGTTAGATACCACAGAGCACTCTGAGCACCACACATACAAAAATGTTCATTGCGCAAGGCACCCCAAATACTAATTTCATTGCCAATTTCCAAATAAAAATGTTATTATGCAAATAATCTCAGAATGTGAGTGCATCTATGAGAAAGAATATATTTCAACATTTGTTTCTAACCACCATGTCATGCCTGAGCTCAACCGGGTGCCCAGAGCTGAGTTTACCTTCTGTATCTGTCTTCACCAAAATACATTATCTCACCTCATTAACACCTATTACCATTGATATCAGGTGAAGTGTGACTATCTGTGTGTGACTATCTGTGTGTGACTATCTGTGTGTATCTGTCTGCGCAGATTTCGTCAGCTCCAGCTGGGCACCGACAGCCGGGTTTCAGACCTGTCCAACCAGGCCAAGCTGCACTCCTTCGAAGCCGAGCGCGCTCAGATGGTCAAAGAAGAGACGGCTAAGACCTTGGCCCAGTGCCAGGTGGAGTGTGAGAAACAGCAGAGGAAACTGGAGGTACTCTTCTTGTAAAAATCTAAAGGAAAATCAGTTTGACTTTACAGCGGTATACTCTATCACAGTTAACTTTTAATATCCCCCAACTTCTCATGATTTGATTTCAACCACTAACATTATTTGTTGGTAGTTTTAAACAGGTGGTAAACAGTAAACAAACACTATGCAAAGTGTTGCCTGATTCAAATTTCACACCCGAGATGTCCACGTCTCCAAGGTTATTATAACTGTTTACTGTCATGAAAATAAAATGAATGTACAAAACACATATTTATTTCAGGTTGAGAAATCCCCCTTTGTTTATTCAAATCCAACATTGTCATTTTGAACAGTATACACATCAATCAATATAGCTCAAGTTAACAGATTGTCACTTTGAGTGTTTCTTAAAGTCTCAAGGTTCTACATCACTCATTACTCTGGCCAGTCTTTGTACGTCTGTCCGGTGGCTCCACTCTTATCTCTGTCCTCTGTAGCACTCCCATTAATAAAAGGAGTTAATTGAGCACAGGTTGTTCATGATTTCTGGATGCTCTTAGCTGAGGCCCTCCTCTTCATCTGTGTTTAACCCTGTCCTGCTCACCAGAGGGTCATGCATGTTAAAATGATGCATTGCAAACAATCATGGAGGAAAAGAAGGAAGCAAAAATACCTTTTCTCTTTTTAAACATTCAATGAAGAGCTTGTTTAGGTTTTTACTGTGGAGTGTGCAGTTTAGCTTTGATTTTGTTCCAGTTCTTTGTAATAATGAGGTTTAAAGCTATTTTTTGAATAAAAGTCCTTTCTTGTAGGATTGTTTATTTTTTCTCCTAGTTTTCTTTTACTTCTCTCTCTCTCTCTCTCTCTCTCTCTCTCTCTCTCTCTCTCTCTCTCTCTCTCTCTCTCTCTCTCTCTCTCTCTCTCTCTCTTTGTGATGTTATTGTACATCCTTATGAATGTGAAAAAAGGTGGAATTGTTATGATTGTGATTTTTTTCTTTTTAATATACACATCCACAATGACAGCAATTTTGAAAGACCAACAACACGTTTGTCCGTGCGAGTAACAACAGTTACAGTTTATTTTCATTTGACCTCAGCTAATCTACAGTGCTTCATTGTTTCAACAAGATTTTGTATAAAAAAAATAGCTACATAATTTGAAACTAAAGTGAAATGATTAATCACGCATCCTTCATTTTCTTACACTGACTGAGTGTACCACTTCATTAACAATATTCCTCAGGCGTATCATTTTGTACAAGTACAAAAACCATTGTTTTCAACAGACGCCCACTGAAAAACAATTCTGAGATCTCTGTCATATGCTCTGTTTGCTCCAAAACCCTTCTCATCTGTCCCCCCCCCTCCTCCCCTCAGCTCCTGACCCAGGAGTTTTACCAGCTTCAGTCGTCATCAGAGAAGCGATTGGCGGAGCTGCATGCCCACAATGCCGAGCAGGCGTCTCGGCTGGAGACGTATGAGAAGCTCGAGCAAGAGTTGGACCAGGTCACCATGCAGGCTGCTGAAAGTAAGAAGCGGACTCATGACATTGCACACATTACTGTGAGGTCAGAGAGATAAAAGCACCAACGAACAAGAACTGCTCCCTTCAAATGCTTTGGCCTGGCTTTAGGAAATGTTTATTATAATATGAACAGATAGCATCAAATTGTAGAGCTGTAATGGACAGCCTTGTGACACTTGATGTAAAATAAGTTAAAAGAGAAAACAAAGATGATGTGTAACATAATTATTATTTTGTTTTACTATAGACGTTGCCACAGTGTTTAAATAATGGAGATGTATGGACAGTATTTGTGTTTCTGTTTGTTCCCAGTTGAGAATGAGGAGGAGGCAGAGAGAGTCCTGTTCTCATACGGCTACGGAGCAAATGTTCCCACAACGGCCAAAAGAAGACTGAAACAGAGGTACAGCACATGGTACCCTTTACAATTCAAGGATTGGACACATTGTGTGAGAGATGGCACTTAACAAACTCTGGAATTGATCACATTAATTATTTGAATTCATTAAGAAAATCGCATTTGAATATAGCATGGGAATAGGGCTGCAAACTTCACAAATAGACACAATCTTCCGAGTTCTCAATTGTTTGATCCCTAAAATGTCATAAAATTGTTTTAAAAAAGTGTCCATCCCACTTTCCCAAAGAAAAAGATATTCAGTTTAATGATACAAAGCAGAGGAAAGCAGGACATTTTCAAAGGTTGAAAACAGCTTTCTATTTTGATGATACACTCAAAATAGTTGGCTATTACTTTTTTGATCTACTAATCTTTGCTGTAAGGGTTACATTGATATGTAGGTATGCGGATATATCAGGTAGATAATAGATTATTTTGTCCTAGTTTTGTATGTTTTCTTTTTCTAAAAATGACACACTCAATCGTAAACTTCGATCTGAAATCTATGTGCAGTGAAACATGAACCCAAACAGTTGTGGTTACATAAGCTGTAGGGTAAACGAGGTGGAAGTACACACTAGTGTAAACCTGTTGGTGTTGTCATCTTTTGGAATTTTCCAAAACTGTGTTTGTGATTGTGTGTATCGTGCAGCGTTCACCTGGCCCGCAGGGTGCTGCAGCTCGAGAGGCTGAACACGTCACTGAGGAGGGAGCTGGAGAGGCACCAGTCACAGGCAGGACAGATATCTGACGAGGTACACACACACACACGCACACGCACACGCACACGCACACGCACAGCATGTAGGTGTGGACCTGCCTCGGGCCTATCTTTAATGAAATAATAGTTTAATGTTTTTTTAAAAAGTCATAATAATTAGAGTCACTGCAAGTCAGTACCTGTATCACACAATTGTTTCCCCACTATCACAGATCTCCTCCAGCAACTCAGATTATGGTTATTCCGCAGCTTCTATCAAAGCCTTGTGATTTATCTCAGCTGGTTTTTACCTCTCTCTGATGACATAACATAGTCATTATCGGAGAGCAAGGATCGGTGGCTCCTCTCTCATCACCCACTATTTACCTCATCACTCCATCGCACGACACTTTGCTGTGAAAGTCAATGTCGAATGCACATCTAATCGCTCTTTAAAAGACATATCGTGCAAAACAGTAAAGGGATTTTTGCAGCTTGTGAGGTCGGTCAGCACATGGATCATCAAACACACTTCAGGACTCTTTAAGGAGGGTGTCTTCTGCTTTTATTTTCCTCAAAAACCTTGGTCCAAGTTTAACAACGGTCTCACCAATTCTTTCAAAGCTGTGTCAGGAAAGTGACAGGTTGTTTGAGAGCAGGCGGCAGACACCTTACATGAGAAGTTAATCTTTCTTAGTACCTGTCACACTTGTTGACACAGTGGGAAACACTGCCAGAAAGCGTGACGACCAGGCTCTCCCAACAACTCACCTGGCCAATCACTGAGGCTTTTGTTGTGTTTGGCACACCATGCATGTGTGTGCAATGTTGATACTTTAATATTGGGTGTGTGTATGTTGTCTGTGAATGTGAAGTCACTTGTCTACCACTTTAAAAATTGAGTAAAAATTAAGTAAACATTATAGAATGCTATGTTTGTCTCTTCTAAATGTAATTCTAAGTCTAATGTCATTGAGAGGAGAGATTGTGCAAGTTGGAGTAAAGGCTGGGCCGGTTTGAGACTAAATAAACCGTCCATTCAACTGTCGTCTGTGATTGACTGACACTCACCTGGAATGCCTCATATTCATTGAGCGTGACAAGAAAGAGTGAAAAATTATACTTTTTATTCTCAAGAAAGGGTGTTAACCACTTCACCACCCACACAGATGCTCTGACTAAGTAACTATTGTCCTTACCCTCCCACCCAGTTCTACTCACTACTGGCTGGCTGTAAAAGTGGTTTAATGAGTAACAACACCCTAACTTTATCTATTGTTTCGCAGATTTTAAGCATGATACTGGCTGAGTAATGTTTGATTACACACATGGAACATTCAGATTCTTATGCGAGGAGTTTTCTGACAGTAATTATAAATGAAAGGTTAATAACTTTATGAGTTTGTAATAACTTTATTATATGTCTTCATACTACTACTCTTAATACAAAGGATACAATTTGGATACACCTTTTTATAAATCTCAATTATATGGGCACCATTGATGACATCAGATATAAGGAATATCTTGGCGGTGGTTGGGGCTTCAAGTCATTCACAGATCTTAATTTTTTCAATATTAACCGCATTTACAAATAGTTTTAAAGTGAAAATATTCTTTAACTAAGTCATGTTCAGGTTAATAAACATCTAACATGCGGATAAATGGTTAGGCCCTTGTTGCATCATACATGGCTGAGTTCATGTACAGCACACAGTGAAGACCTGATTCCCAGGTGTATAATTAAGTGCGGGGGAAAACAGCCACCTTAATTCACACTGACAGTACTAGGTGGAGTATTTTTCTGAAGTATTTACATATGTGTGTTGTTCCCCAGTTGTTGGCAGCCAACCAGCTGTTGCAACAGACGCAGCAGCCCTATAGCTACCTGATAGAGACGGTGAGACAAAGAGACACGCAGATCAACACACTGAAGGAGCGTCTTTCCTCGCTCCAGGACGAAGTCAGGTACAGAGCACGCCGTTCATAAAGATGAACACTTCCTTCTATAAAAGAAGGAACTGAACAGAAAAGAAAGTCACCACACGTGACCTTTTTTTCTAATTGATGGCGATTAAGTCTGTTCTGTCTTGTTGGTCGAACATTTTCTTTGTCAATTTAATTGGTTACATTCTGTGTCTTGTAATTTGTTCATCATGGCAGCAGGTCATAACTACTCGCCCTTGGGCGTCTCTGCTTTATAACAACCTCCATTTAAACCTTGTTTGTCCATATCACATCTATCTCTTTCTGTCTTCGTGCAAAGCTGATTGTGCAAGAGCCTGTGTATGTAAAGAAACAAAAACAAAGAGTTTGCCTATGTAAACCATACAGAGAGTTTGTCTATGCCCAACAAGTGAGTGTTTCACATAAGTACACATTTAGCTTCCTGGCACTGACCTTAATCTCCCCTGGCCCCCTCTGTATTTGAACCTGAGAAATATGCAAACTGACAGACTGCAGGTTTTCTCTTGCTGCTCACTACCACTGAGCGCTCACCTGGGGCAAGCAGCAGAGCGAAAAAAAAATTCTTTAAAATCCCCATAAGCTTCTCAAACCTCCCCATCTGACAGAGATATTGAAGTCTTCCTGTGGCTGTGCAGTGCCATCTGTTAAACAGCTGATACACCTATTCTTACTTCTGTACTTCAATCGCTCTCTGTCTTAAGTAATAATTGTATTCACAGTTTGTTTGGTGATATTCAAAGTTGACCAAAACAGTGTCTCAGCAGAGGCAGATCTCAGGCTATAAGAGTGGTGACACTGCTGCAGTTTCAAGATTTGCAAGATGATTTACTTGAAAGCACCCTCCATCACAAGCTCCTGCTTGTATGTTTCACAGCCGCAGGAAGGAACACTTGAACAGTGCTGAAGAGTTTTCTCAGAGAATAAAGTCCTAATAAACTTTAGAGGTTGATGGTTTCATGCCAGTTATTTATGGTCACAGACAGTGCTAGTAAACACGAGTGCTGTCTTTTCTTGGCTGATTGGTTTATAGCCAGCATTTCTTGTTGAAGGTAAACCATAATAATGCCATTGGCAAGTTTGGGTATATTGCTTTATTACAGAGAAAATAATACCCTGTCTTTAAGAATGTATAAACGTCATCATGTTTCACAGAACCCTTTAAGTAACTAGAACATTAAATTAATAACTCTCAGTAAGTACAGTCATGTTTTTTCGTTTAACACAAGATCTGCTCTTATTGTCTTTGGTTGTAACCCCAGTTCTCTGAGGAAAGAACGGACTGCACTACAACAGGTGAAAAACAACATGGCAGCCGATCTGGAGAGACTCCTCAACCATCGAGAGGTACACATGATAACAATGCTTTTTTCTTTTTAATGTAAATGTTTGATGGTTTCCTCCATGATGACAACAAACTTCTGTTGTCCAATTAACAGTTAAATCTGAGAAATAGTTAATTTAAGACAAATAAAAGCAACTAATCTTGCATTTGAGAGCATGAAACCATTTGATATTTGTTAGGTTTGCTTGAAAATGACAACTGCTTAATCTATTAGCAAATGAGTCACTGAATCTATTTCCATCAATTGTTTAATTGATAAATAAAATGAACGTTGCAACTCTTAATTTAACAGGCTTTTAATAGTCAGACAACTTATTTCTCTGTGTTGCAACGCTTACTTCAAGATTGCGTGTGCTCGTATGTGAGTGCATGTTGGGAGTGCGTGTCCCCCCAGCCAGCCGTTTGCTGTTTGAAGTATGTGCCCTGTCACAGACAGCTGTTCCTCTGCCTGGCTGCTTGGGATGCCACCGTTATGCGTGTGTGTTTCTGTGTATGTGTGTGTGATAGTGCGTGTATCTGACATGCCATTGCTCATGTCCTCAGGGGTGATAAATAGAACCGTGAAAATGGTCCAGAGTCCTCCCCTCTGCCTAACCCCGCAGACCCTTCAACTTGTTGAGCTTAATGCAAGTCGTCCCATAGTTAAAGTTAAGAGGACAAACATGTCAACAGAAAGCAGCAATAAAAATTCCTGGAAACAAACATTGATGCAAATGAATCATCAAATGTTGAGGAAGTATTAGCTTAAAATATATGATTATTTTTGCATTAAAGGTATTACAATCCTAATAAATATTTGTAAAACATTTCTTATATCAGAATCCAAAGAAAACTCATTGCCAAGTCGTTTTACATGCAAGGAATTCAGTTTAAAAAAAAAGTACCAAATATAGAATTATAATAAAACCAATTAAAAAAACGATTACATATATTAAAAATTACTCTGAAAAATAGAATATGAAATATTACAGCTTATCATAATTTAGTGTGGTAGATCTATGCCGTTTTGAAGAGGTATTGTGCAGAAATGATCAATATACTGTATACAGAGGAATGTTTTGTTCACCCCTGTCAGATTTGCACTCAGCCAAAAAATTATCTGGCGGTTTAGTTTAGTTTTTTTAGCATTTTGGAAAACTAAACTCCGAGGTATTCTTCATAAAGATTCATGTTTATTGTTCTGCTATCATTTCCACATCCCTATTTTTCTGAACCATGTGATTCTGCAGGAGTTAGCTGTGATGAAGCAGGTCCTGATCAGCATGCGGTCCGGACAGGGAGAAGCTGTAACCCTATTGGAATCAGATAAAGCTGCAGGGAAACACCAGTCCAAACGTATCAACAGGACCACAGAAGAAGAGTCGCCAAACAAACCCAAACCCACTGTGTTTGTAAGTGTCTGACAGGGCAACGCCCTTGTATGAGTCACAGCATCTTAACCTGCCTGGACAGAAGTTCACACAAAGGAGCAATACAGGTTCACAAGAAATAATAAATTGTATTTTTGTCATTTAGTTTCAATTGAGCTTTTCACTACAGTCAGCTGAGCAAATATACACTGTAGTATACATCCTTGAATCATGAGAAAGTCAAATATGTGAGATGTTAAGAAAAGCTCCTGCTGGCACATCCTTTTCTAACATTTTTTCCTCTTTTTTTTTTCATTTGCAGACAAATAAAGAAGCTCCTAATTGGCACCAAAAGATGAAGCAGAAACCCAAATGAAAATATTTATTTTTATGTTACGACTTGTTTTATTAATTTATCAAGAATTTTCCAATGTAAAACACTTTTGATATACAAAAGCAGAAACTGTTGCTGGTGTCCGAGTGTTTTGTTGTTCTCATCCTTGGTTACATATTGTTCAGAGAGGATACATTGCCAGCGTACTGGTTCAGTAAGTATTACCTTCCACAAAATACTCATTCCTGGCTAACTGGCTGCCCAAAAATTCCTCTATCTTGGCACTGTTGTTTTTTATTAGGTCTGTCTATCATTATTCCCTCATCTTTTCCACGTTTGCAGATAGTGGTGGCTACAGACAAACAGCATTGCAGGAACATAAGCCGCTGATTTGAACGAGCTGAGGCTCCTTTGGCTTTAAATATAGAGATAGTAGACATACCTCTATCATTTCAGACCACGTTTTTATCGGTGTCAAATTAAACTCAACCAGAGGATTGCTTAGAGGCTGTCTCATTTCTTTTGAGCATAAAATACTTCACAAACAACCACTTTGTTTTTTTGTTAAATGAGCTAGGATAAAATATAAGAACATGTTTTTGTAAAAGCTTATCATATCCTACACTGTATACATGTTTTTGTACAAACTAAAATGTGTGAGTTGTTTTTTTATTAGGTCTGTCTATCATTATTTCCTCATCTTTTCCAGGTTTGCAGATAGTGGTGGCTACAGACAAACAGCATTGCAGGAACATAAGCCGCTGATTTGAACGAGCTGAGGCTCCTTTGGCTTTAAATATAGACATATAGTAGACATACCTCTCATTTCTGACCACGTTTTTATCGGTGTCAAATTAAACTCAACCAGAGGATTGCTTAGAGGCTGTCTCATTTCTTTTGAGCATAAAATACTTCACAAACAACCACTTTTATTTTTTTGTTAAATGAGCTAGGATAAAATATAAGAACATGTTTTTGTAAAAGCTTATCATATCCTACACTGTATACATGTTTTTGTACAAACTAAAATGTGTGAGTACAGCCCCTTGCAGATTGTATTTTCCATAATAAACTTAGTGATAAACTGCGATTTCTAACACCATCCAGTTCACATTAAAAGAATGACCTGTTTAAAAGTAGTTTTTACTCCTTAATTTGCATATGAAGTTCAGTTTACCTGTCAATGGAAGTGCTATACCCAACCTGAGAATATTGATTTATAATGATGAGTTAAAAAAAAATAGTCTCGGATCGCATTTTAAAGTCTGTATTACCAACTGGTGGTGTGGGGTTTGAAATAACCGGACATTTAGGAGGCATGTGGGTCTAGTTGCTGCCTTAAATTGCCCATTCGTGTTTTATTTGTGTATCTTTTGGGACTATCAGGTTTAAAAAGTTACTTTAATTGCAAGAATAGACCAGGTATTTAGATACAATATAATATTCCTATTAGAGATTATCTATATAAGTATATATTTGATATAAACTAAAAACACTGAATTAAAAACATGAATTAACCTTCACTTCCTCTATGGCTGTGTATGCTGTCTGTCAGGCAGGTCCTGTACTTTACGACACTGTTGTCAGTGTATTTAGATGGAGTAGGGCGGTGGCCAGTGAATGAATGATCAAAGCCCTATTAAACGCTTGATGGGCGGTGCATGTGCAGTATTTACACTGGGTCGCTCCGCCCTGTAGCAGGAGATAGAAAACTGTCTGTGGGCCGGTGGAGGGATGAAACAAGTGAAGGGGATGTAGCAGACAGGCTCACATTATTAACTCCACCTCACGCTCTCCACCTCGTCGGCTCTACTCCTCTCACTCCGCTGTAGCATCCTCCTTTTAGCAGAAAAGGACGAGCGATCCTTAGCGGCGCTGCACCCGAGCTTCATGGCCGCGACCCTGGCGATGAGCGGCGGCGGGCAGGAGGACCCCTTCTACCCGCTGCAGAAGGCGGCTCTGCCCGCAGGATTCCCCCTGGAGGACTCGCTGATGTTCGGCTTGGACTGCAAGATCACAGAAACAGACAAGACTGGACACAATGACTACGCACAGGTAAACCGGGTAGAAATCAAACCGACTTGATGTATTTCATTGAATGGGCGTGGCAGATAGGTTGTAGATCCAGTTTATTTGGCTGGCCTCTAAATTTCCATCGGCCTAGCTGATGTTAACCTCCACTTTCATTTGCACTATTTTTGGTGATTAGCGAGCAGGCTGCGGCCAGCTGGACGGAGCCGAGCCGCTCCGCCTGCAAACGCATTCACCGCATGTTTTCTCTGCCAGCCAGTTGGCCACCAGTTGTTGGTCTCCTCTTCCCCCCCCCCCCCTCTCACCATCATACCACGCTGACAACAACTGACTCCAGCTCCGGACAGAAAGCTCCCGGCAACTCTGTCCCCAGTTAGCAGGAAACTTGTGCAGCAGAGGAGAGAGTGCTATATAACAGCTGGTGGATCAGGAGCCTAGAAATAGCAGCCCATCCCCAGACTACTGCTGCTGCGGATAGAGAGGCATGGGTGTTTCCCTATTCCCTTTCATGTTGCCGTTTCATCCTCTGCTGCAAGGCTTCTCTAACTTTTATACCTGCCTTAATATTCACAGGAAATGGACAGAGTGAAAAAGGCCCTATTTGACATCAAGTTGTCCACCTGTGATTCCAGTTGGATCAGCCCGAGTTTGCTTCTTAAGTCTGTTGTCATAGTTGCAGTTGTGGACATTTATTAGGGTTTTTTCTAGTGGTATTAGTTCTTATTTCCATGGCCTGATTCTCAACTGTTGGCCTCACAGCTGATGGGTTCCTGAGTTCAGCTTCGCAGCCAGAGAGTGAATGTGGAATGTAGGAACTGCCTATTGATGACTACTTGATAAATGTTTTAGCGGTGACTGTCCTATCAAACCTTTGTCTTCTCTAAATAGTGCCTCAGAATGGTTTCATGGTAGCTCATGAGAAGCAAGCTGAAAACATTTGATTCAACCAAAGTTTTCTTCAAAATGAAATGTCTCTAAACTAGACTGTTTTGTTTGTGTTTGTGTTTCTATCTACAGGCAAAGTTTGAGATGGACAGGTACCTCTCCCCTCAGTCTCTACCACTTCAACCTCACTCAGAAAGCCAGCAGAAGAATCAGAGAGACTGTGTGTCCGCGCTGGATCAGTTCTTCACTGACAACCATACAGGGGCTCCCTACACCCTCAACATGAATCTTTACCTCCCCGACGCCGCCTACCTGAGGATGGGCTTGTGTCAGCAGGTGCGGCCGCCTCAGCAGCAGAACCACACAGGTCTCTCCCAAATAAAAACAGAAAATGCCTCCCCGTGTTTCTCCCCCAACATCCAGCTGCACTGCCCCAACACAACGCCCACCAGTAGCTGCAGCATTGCCATGGAAACCTCAGCCATAAACATGACGCTAACAGGGTTACCGAACTTCACCAGTGTTTTTAACCATGCGGGAGGCGGCCGCGGTGACGAGTCAGTGCCAGAAGTGTTCATCAAACAGGAAATGTCACCGCAGTTTGAACAGCACGCTCTCCACCACCATGACAACAGCGGCTCACTGTTTCAGCTACTGAACTCCGGCTTGGACCATCACCATGGCAATGGTATGGAGGCTCAGCATCATCATCACCACCATCATCATCAGCAGATACAGCACACTTCCACAATCCACACACCTTTCCATGACATGCCGGTAGCTTCTTCTGCGTCTCAACAAGAGCAGACAGCCAAGCCTGGCAGGTACTGCGGCCTGGGTGGCCGGGGGTACACACACCCCCACGCTGAGGCCCACCCCCACTTCCTCCAGCACCAGACGCCCTACCTGCCGCCCTCTCCCCCGAGCTCGGAGCCCGGCAGCCCTGACAGGCAGAAGGAGCTGCTCCACACCATGTCCCCTCCTCCCTCATATGCAGCCACCATCGCCTCCAAGTTGGCAGGCAGCACCCCTGGGATCGGCCCCGGACCAGGACCAGGCAGCTTAGCCCTCCCCCTCACCACAGCTCCCACTCCGTCCCCAGGCCAAGCTTCAGGCGTTCCCCAAGCACCTGCAACAACCCCAACTCCAGCCCAGAACACCATGTCTGCCCGCTACAACCGGAGGAACAACCCCGATTTGGAGAAACGACGGATCCATCACTGTGATTACCCAGGTCAGAACAATTACACAGCTCTCTGATTATTCTCACTGTGTGTTTATTCTTACATTGAGCTGTGGTCAGGTGAATATTTGGTCACTCACAAACTAAGAAAAAACAGATCTATTTTGAGACACCCGTGCATTTTTGGAAAATGATATGTTGTGTGTAAAACGATTTCCCAGGCTTATGAGTCACGATATGTACTACAGCCACGGCAGTGTGCACGCTGCACTAGCATTAAAATATTTTGGCAATGCAGAACGTCAATCACTGCCTTACAATTAACCTTCTGGTATTATAACTACCTTGCTTTTAATGTCTCACCTCAAATGACTCGGGCACTCTCGAGCTCTCACACATTGTTGTGGCTTTTAAGACATTGCTGGTATGATTGTGGAATTAACCTGCGTGGGTGTAATTAATTGAATGTTCTCCTGAAGTCATTTGATCTTCTCTCCACAACACGTCATTTACATACAGTCACACTTTAGATATTTGGTTCAGATTGCACTTGTACGATGTGCAGCTACTTGTAGGACATGTAATGTCAACTAGCCTGTGGCAGCGTGTAAAATAGGATTAAGCCGAGCCTCCTGCAGCATGTTACCACAAGTCAGATGAGGCAGATCCATCATATCCACACAAGGACGCATCCACACTCTAACCAAGTGTATAATATTAGTCTCACTGCAGCAGCTGTTCACTCTTTACATGTTTTCAATATGTGAAATGTAATATTTTCATTTAAAGCCAGAACAGATCAGAAAAACATCTTTCTAAATCAATCAAAATCCTAAATATTAAATCTAAATCCTAAATCTTTTCAAAATGCACACTGTTTATTTTGTGAAAAGGGTCTTGTTTTTCAGTATTTTAAATATTTCGACTTGGATGTCAGAATATGTTTAGAAAAAAAGGCGTGTGATTATTGGCATGCAGTTTATTTTTTAAATACGCCCAAATGAAAACAGTTTTAATACGAGAAGCATGTGTGCCCCTTATTTACACAGTCACGTGTACTTTTGATAAATCAGAATAGCAAAAACAAATGTTTACAGCTTCTGTTGTTCATTAGTTCACATTTCTAGCATGCCACTACTCAGCGCATTGGGTAAACGCATATCTGACACTTCTGTTTGTGTTTATCCTTCTCTCTGTCGTCAGGCTGCAAGAAGGTCTACACCAAGTCGTCCCATCTGAAAGCCCACCTCAGGACCCACACGGGTAAGACATTCCTCCAATTAATGCATCTTTTTTAAACAGGGAAAAATACGCTGCCCACGCGACTTGTATTTCGGTATCTGCACTGGCACCAAGTTGCTAGGCAGAGTGTTGTGTTCCTGGCATGTGTGTGTAAATGTATCCTACCCCATTCCCATCCTCTGCCCAATATACTATTCCATCAAAACAGGTGGAAGTGACACACTTCTGCCAGGGGATGACTCTATGACAAACTATGTGGTCAGCGCTAGACGCATGGTGCCATCTCTCTTAAGATCTGTGAAGACATCAATGTTTGAATGCCTTATTATTGTGTGGATCTTTGAAATTATAAATATGTACAAATATACCTTCTTGTTCCACTTCGATCCTCACCGTGTGCACTTCAGGGTCCATTTTCCCTTTTCCTTGCTTCACTTTCTCCCCCTCTTCACATTTATATTTGAACTATTATTACTATTGGATGGGAAAAATCAACAAACAAGGGCTTAGGTGTTGGGCCCCACCTCACTCCAGCTAACAAAACAAAGCTTCTGTTGATATCTACGCTCTCCTCACTCGTATGGATACACAAACACACACCAATTTCATTCTTACCACTTTAGGATCCAGAGTTTGTTCCACTTATGAGTCTGCACTGCTTGTTCAGAATACTGTTGTGGATGTGCGTGCCTCACATTTCGTTTTTGGGAACATGACACGACAATTAAATCTGGCGTCATTCATGCTGCAGGCTGATTGTGGTTATTGCAGTTATTATAGACCACAAGATGAGGGCACGCCATGTAAAGAGGGATGTAGCAGCAACTTCCTTATCCTCTCTGCTTTTGTCAGGCCCACTTAGTTATTTTATCCCCCTTTTCCCATCCTTTTTATTCATCTAATCAATCTCTTTTCTCTTTTGTGCCATCCTCCCACTTTCAACACTCCCCCCATTTCTATCTTTGTCTGTTACTCATTCTACTTATCTTATTCAGCTGCTTGAATGCACACTTACGCACTCACACACACACACACACACACACACACACACACACACACACACACACACACACACACACACACACACACACACCTGTCAGTAATCTGGATGAGATGATTCCTAATGCGTTTTTGTCCCTGTGGGAGTTCCCACTCTAATCTCCATCAACATCCATTACCCTGATTGTTTGTGTGTGTGTGTGTATTGTGAGTTGTTCTCCCGGTTCACTTTTTTTTGTGTGTGTTATTTTATTGTCTCTCCTATTTGTGTTTGAGTTTCAGGTGTGTGTTCCTCAATTTGTTGATGCTGTTGTTCATTTAAATGTCATAATGGCATTACTGTTGTTGTTTTAGCGACGCTGCAGAGCTTGCTGTGCCTGTTTGAGGTTTTGTTCACACAGACGACAAAATAAATCCTATTGTGTTCACTTAACTCTAGTGGTATTCAGCATGCAGACAGATTTATATTTAATTCGTCCAGGTGCCTACATCTCTTTCTGCTTTTACCACATTTAATTCAGGTTTAATTGAGGAGAAAAGAATTATGTTTTTGGTGCATTGAGATTTAAACAATTACAAACAAACTGTGGCTTGCTTTTAAGACACGTTTTAATCAATTACATTGTGAAGCAGTATTTGCCAACTTGAAATTGAGCACCAAATTGAAATTTAAAAAGACAAACTACTGAAAGAAGAAAAGGGATCATAATTCTTTATCAATTGTTACCTGATTGTGTTTCCTGCAAAGTCTTGTCCTTGGGTCTTGTTGTTCCATCAATTAATTAAATAAATAATGTCACAAGTATGTATGTGGGTGGTTTGCAGAAATCTCAATACCTGGGCCGATAAAACTAAAATGATCTGCATGGATAGTCACCACTGGTTGATTGTGCCGTGAATGAATGAGACTGGTCACATACGTTTTCCCAAAGTAGCTGGCACTATATGTAAACATTATTGCAATGACAGAGTGACAGAGAAACAAACCACATCTGTCAAAGAGAAATGCACAATAGCCAAGTCAGACAATGCTGAGCGTGGGAAACGTGAGCAGCGTTTGTGCTTCATAAATGCCTATGACAGCGTGATGACTGTATGATGGGATGCAACTTTACCTTTCAGTAGAGCCTGTTTTGCCAGTTGCTCCACCCAATTGAGCAAGTCATGTATTGCAGAGACTTTAATGTTTGTACTAATAATAATTAGTTTAATTGGTTCTCATAATCACATGTTGTCATATCTCTGTTATTTGCTGAAGATCATGTGATTTAACCAGAAATTCAGCTCAGTGATGCCATTTGTTTTTTTAATTTAGTCAATTTATTGAACATGTTGGAAACAAAACAAACAATAATAATAATTATAACAAAGAGAAGCAAAATTAAAAAACTTTCAAGCTAATTCTAAAATAGTCGGTCATGTTCAAAAAGTGCAAGAAGAAGCTTAAACGTTTTCTGGTCCTCCCCCCTCTAGCGTACATTGTTCATGAAAATAAAAGTTTAAGTCATCGTCATCAGCATCCGTGATATTTGATTCATTGTTTTAAACAAATCATTTCTTTGTACAAAAACAAATAACTTTTACAACGACAAGAAATAGCAAGCATGAGTTCACAGGTCCTGCTTATAACCATTCAGGATTTGGTTTCTAAATAATTGTTTTAGTTTAGATAAAGTTTAGATAAAGGAGCCGCAGCACTCATTCAGACTTTTTCTTCTTTCCATCCTGCAGGTGAGAAGCCGTACCGGTGCACGTGGGACAGCTGCGACTGGAGATTCGCCCGATCCGACGAGCTGACGCGCCATTTCCGGAAGCACACGGGCGCCAAACCCTTCCAGTGCGCCATCTGCTCACGCTCCTTCTCCCGATCCGACCACCTCGCTCTGCACATGAAAAGACACCAGAACTAGCAGCGTTTGCACACACACACACACACTACAAACACACAAGCACTATGTTGACACACACAAAGCACTCACTTCATCTTCCACAACGTTACAAGCTGCCTGATGACACCACAGCTGCTCCTGGTGCTGCTATCCTGTGCTGAAACCGTACGATAGCCTAACAAACATGTTGCTTTTTAAACGCGAGTGGGACGAATCGGAGGTTGTAAGGTAGAACAATAATTGCCAGATGTAGTTCCTGGTCCCTTAACCTCCAGATATACTTAGTATAGATTTCTTTGGACAAACACAGAGAAGAAAAATTATAACAAAAAGAAAATGGTAGCTCCAAAATGTGTCTCCAGTCCAATTGGAGTCTTTCGTGTGACTGGAATGAAAGCACTTACCGCTCAACATTTGTACATCTTTTATCCTTACATAAACAGGAGAAGCTTTTTTTTTTGTTGCAAAACTAGTCAAACCACATTTTTTTTGCTCCATGGTTTGTTAGTTTGCTCATATAACTGGAACATCCAGGTTTTAGTTTTTACCAAATCCTTCGGTTTGCACTAGAAATCTTAAATCTGAGCCTTTTTTGGCTCATGCATCTCATTCACCACTGGAAAGATCCTTATCACTACTGGACTGAATATTTGTGAACGCCACAGAAACCTTTGCTGTTCAGATATTAAAAATTGAAGGCATTTATACTCTGGAGAGGGAAGATAGTGCAGGAAAAAACAAGGGAGGGGTGGAGATGAAGAGATAGAAAGATTTTAGTTTTTATAGAGAGGAGATGTGAGGACAGCGGAGAAACAGAGGAAGGTGGATGGATGGTAAAGAGCAGCAATTAGGTGATACATTATTCATGATGTCTTCTGATGGATTTCCAACCAGAGAAATGTAAGCAGAACCCGTAGACATATCTGAGAATTAATTCAGTTAAAACTGAATTTGACTTTATTTTGATGCACAAGCTTGAATTAAGCGTCTTCAAAATACAATTACCCGTACATTTATCTCATCCAGCCTTTTTACGTTCAACGTTTTAACCAAAGTATGATCTTCATCCTCAACACCTTATAAAGTGCCTCCTTCTCTGATTTGTATGTGTTTTTGTTAAGTGGTAGCAGAGCTGTGATCAATGTAGAAAGTCCTTTTAAACACACTTGGTGCTGTTTTTATTTCTTAATCTATTGAAAGCTCTAAAAAAAGTGAATTATTTTTAAATGACAGGTTTACCCATCATTCGTTGTGATTTAACAGATTGGCTCAGGCCACTTTACGGACATCCTGATGTTGATTTTTTTTTAATGAATTGACAGTCTGACTCTGTACACAATTAATTGCATTGAGGTTCTATCAGTCAATCAAACACGGACATATGTTTTGTTAAAGGAGAAGTTCACAATATTTAAAGTCTTTCTTGAAACAACAATGTCCGTATATTGCAAGAGTTGTTGCTGCAAGTGTTCCTGCAGCTAGCCCCAATCAAAACATGTTCAATGTCAATGATGGGGAAACAAATAACAGTATATGTGAAACAACATGATTATATTAGGCTTCTAATTTCAAAATAATCAGGGCAAAATAATCAAAAACACTAACTTTGTAAGATACCCAGCTGATTTTGATTTATTTTTTTAACTCAAAGAGACTTTGGTTAAACTTAAGAAGATATTAATTTTTTCACCAAAAAAGGATTTTGTTCCCCATCGCTTTCATTGAAATTGCTTTAGGGAAATGTCAAGTCACAGTGACTATAATGGACTATTTTAATTGACATATGGACATGAGAGTATTTTTAAAGACAGAACAAATGTGAACCTTTCAACATACGCTTGTCCGCTTTGATTGTATGATTCAGCCTGCACCTATAACTGTATTTGTTCATTCACTGCAGGTAGCATAAATATGATATAGCACTGTAATGTATCATGGTAAATCTGACTATTTATTTGTGTAGAAGTGGGGGTTGTATCAGATCAACCGTCTTTCTCCCCAGGAAAAATGCCTTAATGTAAATATATGCACTGTAAATAAGTATTGATCTTTTTTTTTTTTTTTAAGTTTCCCTTTTTTGTCATTGTTTTGTAAACAAAAGGGCAAAAAGAGGAAAATGCCCTGCATCCAAAAATATTTGAGCCTGTTTTTTATTTTTTTTATTTTGATGCCATTGTTTTATATATTGTCCTTCCAGCAACTTATTTTGTAGATTTGTTTTCTTCCTAGGTAAACGTTCCAAAGACAAAAGTTGTTTTTTCTTCAACTGAGTGAAACCGATCCTAATAAAGTCAACTGACACTTTTACAGATGTGCTGTTGTGCTGAAGTTAATGCGACATTTCTTCTTTTACCCGCTAACAATGACTGAATTTCAGTGCTGTAGTGATCAAAGCATGCGGTACATTTAGTGTCCATGAGGTTTGTATTAAAGTACATTTTGTTCGAGTAAGATATTGTTTACAGACCGAATGTGGTGTTTTTAGAACATTAGAACAAGCCTTGACCAGGCCTAAATGAAACAAATGGGACATAACCGCATTTCAGTCTCTTATAATCAAAACATGTTTTTTGTGTTGCGCTGATCCACTGTGTCAGGAATTCTCTGCGGCGATCTGACATGCTTAGAAGGTCAATTTCAGTAAAAGGAGATAAGAAGGGGAGATGTGGAGGAGAGGCCAAGCGTTCTCTTACGGGACCTGCGAGTAACCTGCAGCACCCTCGCTGATCAACAAACAATGGTCCTTTGATGTCCCAGCAAGAGACAATGGACAAGAAAATAAATCTGACCACCACTCAGGGACCGGAGGGGAATCCCACTGAAATGGACGTACAAACACGCGCACACACACACACACACACACACACTCGCAACATATGTTCTTGATTTAAGTCATAAATGTGACCCAGGGTCTCTGTTGTAATCTACCTCAGATGTCAGAAAAAGAAGGAGGTGGAGGGGAGAGAGTGAAAAGTGAAATGCAGAACAATCTAAACAAAGGAATCTCAGAGGGGACCCAATCAACCACTTCCGTCCTCCTAAATCTTCTCTTATTCTCCTCCTCCGCTCTTCTTATTTAATTTCATTTTCTCTCCCTCTTTGTCTTTGTCTTTGTCTTTCCATGCACCGTATCCCCCTCGCCTCCCCGGTGGAAAGTATTATATGAAAGTCCAGGGGCGCAGCTCCATAGGTCAGAGTGGAGACTGTTCTCATAACCTGCTCTGCTCCATCTTTTCCTCCACCTTCAACTCAAGAAGGGGAATTTTATCCTCCGCTCTTTCCTCAGTTGGCAAGTCACACAAATGATGCAAACATATATGAAAATGTCAACCTGCAGGTATATTTCTGAGTGTGAGAGAATATTAAAAAGTTAGCATGAATGTTTCTCACACACACACACACACACACACACACACACACAGTGGTGATGAGTGAGTGGGAGCTACCGGTTCATGTTTTGGATCATCTAAATTAATGTCGCACATCTGGAATAAGGCTCCTGCCTGCTCCACCCTCTGCTGTGCTGCGTTGGTGTGATTCCCAGTTTCCCTGTGTGTGTGTGTGTGTGTGTGTGTGTGTGTGTGTGTGTGTGTGTGTGTGTGTGTGTGTGTGTGTGTGTGTGTATAATGTTTCCAGGGCTCCTCTCTTGGAACAGACCACCCACTCAGAAGACCAATAGAAGGACTACAGGGAGCCGGATAGACAGTCATACACACACACACACACACACACACACACACACACACACACACACACACACACACACACACACACACACACATATGCAACTCCCTCCAAAGTCAACCATTCCCTAATATTCTCAGAATAGAACATGTTCAGAGATGGAAGAGATACCAGAACAGCTGACATACTATCAAAAAGTTAAGAACATAATATCAGAAATTGAGGAGGGTTTCATTCCCAGACACTACGGTCATTTAAAAAACTACTGCAGTGCCTGTTTCGGATGTACTAATGTTGCCGATTCTTGGGTTTCGAATTAAGACCATGGAATGAAACACTACAGTCTATCACAGCATCAGAATTAGGTTTATTGCCAAATAGGTTCACTCATACAAGTAATTTGCCCTGGTGTGTAATGGCTCATACATGAACACAGCTAGAGGAATTAGGTTGTAAAAAATGATCAATTATAGAGCTATTATACAAATTTAGAAAATAAAGTGCAGTATACCCGCGTTTAAAGTGGAAGGGGTAGTATTGAAGATCAGAAATGTTAAATACAGTCTAACTCTTATTCCTATATGGTTCATATTTCCTCACATATTTGTGTTAAACATTGTAAATGTCAGATGGATAATTAATTTATTATTGGGCTAGAGTGATTAAAAGAGACCCATAGGATCATTTTCGCCCCCAGCAGATTGATCCCTCCCTGACATTAACCTTTTTTAAACAGCATCAGCACTGATTCACCACAGATCAAAGTGGCCTTTAGGCAATGGCTGAATATACACTTGCAGCAGAATAGTGATTTAATTAGTCTCATTTTGAAATGAAATACTTTGGTTTAAAATATTCCTTCAGCTGCTGCTATATTTATTTATTATTTGTAAATGTTTTAGTTGATTTAACAGGGACAGAGCACATTAAAATACATTTATGTTAATGGTGAGGCTATTTTTCAGCTATAGTACCACGAGAATTTGTTTTAATTCACCCTAAAAACAAATTATACTATTTAAAGAAAATGACAAGTTACTAAAATCATTAAAACATGCAACTCACAATACTTTAAATGGTAATAAAGACAAAAACAAAAAATACATATAACACGTAGCAAGAAGATAGTCACTGGTTTAAGCAGTACAGAAAGCCAGAGGCCTGGACAGTGCCATATATTGTTTTAGTGTTGATGTTTTTAAAATAAAGGGCGAAGTGTTGTTTGATTCACATTCACAAGCTGTTTTATTAATTTACTTTTTGAAGTTCAAATTTTTCGTCACTGCCTGCTTCATCATGTGAAACCCAACAGGAATCATCAGTTGTCAAGGAGTTGTAACATCACTCACAACACAGTGACTAAGAAGAAAAATAAGACAAATCCATCGAACCATAAACCATCATAATGGTCAGAGTTACGAGTAAAGCAAACATTCTGGTAATAATTGAACTATTTTGTTGAACTCTGAAATCTATCATGATATGGCTGTGCCGCACAAAGCTAGTAAAGGTTTTCCTGAGTGGGTTCCTCTGCATGCACAATGAGTTCAAAGGACGAACCCATTAGGCTTCCCATATCTTTGCACCTGCTAAACACTCAGGGTGACACCCTGCGTGGGCCTTCAGAGGATACAACAAAAACCTTTTGCGTTCATACTTAAAGTGCGCAAATGGAGGCCTTTTTTCTGAGTTCTTATCATGATTTTTGTAAAGACAAAAGGGTCTGTGGGCTGTATATATGTATATGTATATGTACATACACTTAATCACTGCTGTTTGCTCTCTTTAACTCCTACAGTATGGGGCGGCCCTGAACGCCTCCCTGACCAAACAGCTAATAGTTTCCTCTTGTCTTCTCCTATGTTTTATGGTTTCATACTTTAGATTAGAGGTGATGAAGCACATGTAGTCGTGTTGGGTTAGTCACACTGTATTATGACTGGAGGCCAATCCAACATGACCTGTATATGATAGGTGCAAACACTTGAAGCATTAAATCCAAATCTAAACGGATACGTATCTCTTTCTTCATAAATTCGTTTTTTTAAGGAGTGAAGATTCATCCTGTTCATCTGGTTTTGTGGAAGATGTGAGTGTCCTGATAGTGAAAAAAACTACAAATAAGATGAAAACATGGTATTAAAACGTACAAATGTTCCCTTGATTCTGTATTTTTCCAAATGTATCTTATGAACCACAGTCTTTCTTTTCAGATTTCTAACTCCATGGTTAGATCAATTTAATATTTTCTCTCCTATTATTTAACTGCACAACATTGCATAGAGCTAACACAAAAAAAATATGTTCAATTAATTTGTTTGCTTGCCTCTTTTTTTAAAATGTAAATTAAATCTGAGTTTCCATTTAGAAAGTGTTATAGAGTCTAATTAATCTCAACCCACATGTGGTTCTGCTTAGCCCTGAAAGTGAAAAATGCCACATTACACCCACTCTAGCTGCTCCTTTCCTCATTCAGAAAACATGTCATGAGATATTTTGCAACGTGTTAATGTTTAATATTTATACATGTGAGAGAGTGGGGGTCAAAAATACTTTTTGTTGACTGAGGGAAATGGTATGCAGTAGAGGGTCAATGACTTGTCACGATACTGATGAATACAACCTGGGGCTTCAGCACCTGATCGTGTTATTCCAGGAATCAATTTGTTCTGTTTCAATGAAAAACTTCTTTTGGGAATCTTGTGTTCTTATCAAAACAAAATCCCAGTACATACACTTATGGAGTACAATAGTGTCATTGTTAAGGTTTTTTTTTCAAATACTAACTTTAAATTGCTCGTTTTGAGGAGACAAACTCCAAAAGAGAGAGTCCCAAAGAGGCAGTACTGCTGGGACTCTCTGACATTCATAATAAGATCTATTTATTTTGAAACATTATGCTCAGACAGGACATAAATCAAACACTCTTCACAAGTATGCATCAGTGGAGAACTGAAGTAGTTATGTTACAGGAGAGTTTGAGGGTCAGGCAAAAGAAAATGAATGATGTTTTTTTTTTGCTGGGAGTTTTTAATTCTTGCCAGAAATTATCCATTGTTTCATTAAATAAAAAGCAATACCAGATTGATATACACATATTAAAAGGAAATAAAAATGGATCTATAAATGTGTCTGAGTTGAAAGATTCTCCTATTTGATACCACTCTTAGTCTTATTTGACTTTAATGTAAATGGACTTGTGTCCATTTAGTTTTCTATTTGTGTTTTAGCAGTCATTAGGTTAATCTGTTCACTGGGGTTTGTGCTTTTGTTTGAACACGACAATTACTGGGACATGATTTTCAAGTTTACTACCACCCTGAAGGTAATTTGGATTGCAGCCAGAAATGAAACGCAGGGAAAAGCACTGATGATAATTTAGCTACTAGCTGTAGGAGTTGATGTTTTTTATCTGTGCGTTAAATAAGCGATCGGAAAAGGTTTTTGCTTTTCAATCCCGTTACGTTTAAAGCTCAGCAATATACTGCTTTGGACGGGGTAATTAACAGAAACCTATTTTGGCCACCAAATAATATCAATATCAGTTATAAGTCATTGCTACATTTATTATCCTTTCAGACAACTCTGTCCAACAAATCCCTTTAACAAATATTATCATGCCATGATTATGATCATATCACATTGAAAACTAGAGTAGCATTCAAACAACTTTTCCCAGTTGGGAAATAGTTTTGATAAATTGTGCCCCTCTCATTTTTTATTTACACGAATAATCAAGTGAAGGAGAAATATTTCTGAATACAACACATGTACCTGAATACTCAGGATATAGTATTTTCTTCTTTAAATACATATATATTTTATTTTGAGTGAGTAAGGGACTGAATAAGAACGTAAATCTGTATGTGAAAGATGGTACCTAAAAAGAAGAGAAGTTCCTATTGCTTGTCCCAACCTGTCTGATCTAATTTAAATGAGTGTGTGTGTGTGTGTGTGTGTGTGTGTGTGTGTGTGTGTGTGTGTGTGTGCGTGTGCGCGCGCACGTGTGTGTGTGTGTGTGTGTGTGTGTGTGTGTGTGTGTGTGTGTGTGTGTGTGTGTGTGTGTGTGACTGTCTATCCGGCTCCCTGTAGTCCTTCTATTGGTCTTCTGTGTGTGTGCGCACACGCACAATAACACACGTCAAACAGGTTGTAAAGTGTTGTGGGTGGACAACTATGCCAGTTCTGCTTCATGAAAATAATCAGTCTTTCTTCCCCTTCTCATTACCCCTCTCTAAACACACCCACCCCCTTCCTCCCCCCATTCTTCCGATGAGATTAAACATCATCCTATTTTATCACTAATGCCTCTCTTATGCCTGAATCCCCCTGCTGCAGCCCAAATATCCCCTAACACCTACACACAGTCACTGAACACATGGTTGAAGCACACACACACATGTAAGGAGGCTAAAAATCACACATCCCATACCTCTCAGCCCCCTCCTTCCACCCACTTTCTCTCCCCTTTCTTCTTCGGCAGCTGCGTCATTTTAACTGTTCTCTATGAAACCTGGTATTCATAACTGCTGCTCATGATTCCACCCCCGAGTCCTGCTAACATCATAATGGTAATAGTTTAATCTGTACGGTCTTGACCCTGTCCTGTTGTTTAGATGTGACCTGAGTGGGAGACGAGAGGCTCCCTCAGCACACACACACACACAGCTGGGAGCCATTGTCTCCATGAGAAAGCAACAGACTTCGTTCTATCTATAGAACTAAATCCAAGTGAAATGTTATACTTAATTCACTGAATTTTTCATCCAGCTTACTTATATAAAAACAGATTATGATTTACTCACAAAACATAATCACAAATGATTAGGGCATTGCTAAATATAGTTCTACAATAATATATTACATAAGTGGGGGCTTCTCGCTGCATGCATAATCAACAGAGATAGCCTAAATAGCTGATCATTTCAGTTAGCAAAGGTAACATTGACAATAAGTAAATGTGTGTACCTTTGACCTTTTTTGCTTGTTACTAACATGTCAAATATGTAATCTTACAGAAACAACATTAAACATGTGCTAATAAACCCTGTTAGGTATGTTCTGCTGAAAAATGAATACACATCACATGTTGACAATAGTAGCTTGCTAGCTAGTTAGCTAGCTTAGTTCTACTCCACTTCATTAGCCATCTATCTATCTATCTATCTATCTATCTATCTATCTATCTATCTATCTATCTATCTATCTATCTATCTATCTATCTATCTCATGCAGAGAAAAGATAGTGAGTCATGGGTACGCAACCACAGGGAAACATGACACATTGGTGTTAGATCCCCCCCACACACACACACACACAAATACACACGCACGCACGCACGCACACACAGACACACACACGCACACGCACACGCACACACACACACACACACACACACACACACACACACACACACACACACACACACACACACACACACACACACACGCAGATGCCACCTGACTGGAAAACGACTACATGCGGTGTGTGTGAGTTTCTCAACACCTTTGTGTTAAGTAGAACTCATTATTATAGAGAAGTAATTAGTGTTATCCCTGCCTGTGTGAAAAGTCCACCCTTAGCCTTATCTGCACGGGTTTCTCAAAGGCTGTACTCCAGAAACCATATTTCATGTCAAAATGAGTAGCTGATATTTTCCAAACAATTCTTCTCGATGCACGTGTTACAGTGTGGCAACAGGGCAGCAGCCTGAGTGCTATAGAAACTCACAGACGGAGGTTAATCATTGTACATCATCTAGAATCAGCTCCTTTCTTTGACAAATAAATACACAACCACCCGAACAAAAAAACTGTCATGGTGATATTATTTGCTTTTATGTAATTTCAATGAGTCCAAAACATTTATGATTGCTCACATTGGTGCATCTTCCCACAATTGACGGCTCATGACACAACAATGACCTCTCAACGCAAAAAAGAAGAAAAGAAAACCATAAATTTAATAATTACCCCTTTGCCGCTTGTACACTGATTACAGCATAATGATATACCGCAGAGGTGTGTCTGTGCGCGCGTGTGTGTGTATGTGTGTGCGTGCGTGCGTGCGTGCGTGTGTGTGTGTGCAGGGTTAAGAGCTTGATTAAAAGAGTGTGGGCTGAGAATGTCATAACCTTGCACTCATAGGATGGGTGGAGTCTCCAGACATTGTGGAGACAGAGGTTATAAACTTGTGAAAGACATATCTCACGAACAACAATTGTAAGTCCCCTACAGTATATTTCAGATGAGTAAAGTTTTACAATATCGTATTGAAGAAACATGCGTCTGTTTGCATGGAAGTTGTGTGCTTATGGGTGATTTTTATCAGATTAACAAGTGATGAGTAACTGATATAGCAACTTCACAGTAACTGCAATACTTACTCAGAAAATACAGTCACTCCTGTTTTATGTTATATTGATAAACTTGACCAAGGCTACAAGATAAGACATGTTGTGACTTCAGTGAAGTTGTTCTATAAACTATGAGAGTTAATGACGTTTTGACAATGTACAGTGAGTCTACATCCCTTTTCAAGACACCTTGGAAGTAGGTGAAGTTGTGCCATAAATCCCACTCTTTATAGTTAAACGAAATTGTGTATTCTCTATATGTATGTATATTGTGGGGGGCGCCAGCTAAAATCTCGTCTAGGGCATCACATTGTCAAGAACCGGTCCTGCACACACACACACACACACACACACACACACACACACACACACACACACACACACACACACACACACACACACACACACACACACACACACACACACACACACACACACACACACACACACACACACACACACACACACACACACACACACACACACACAGTCAGAGGTAGAAATAATATTTTCACTGAAAGCTTCTTGCGGCTCTCCAGATGGGATAACATGCCACTATTTTTGCCAAACCGCCTCTTCCTGGAGGTTTCTGTTTAAATTACCCACAGTTTCAGGAGGTCAGACAGTCAGTCCGTTATGGAGAATGTAATCAATAAGGTGCAAAAATAATCCAGTTATACAGTCTCCCTTTGCTGCTCCGACCAATTGTAATGCATTTACCCTCAGTGGATGATCAATGGGGTAAAGTGAGTAATGTGTCTGAGAGATATGTGATTTGCTGCCCTCTGTTGCTTTTTCTTTTACATTACATCTACAGCTCAATTTATTGCTGTTTGGTTAACACTCAAACACTGCCATCTGTACAGAGTCTCCCTTCTTTGTGGTTACAGTAGAGCCATTGACAATGTTGCTTTTACTAATGGCTTCTACTACGTTGATGATTTCCCTAACATTATCTTTACTATCTTTATATTTAGCTGAATCTGCAGGAAGAGTAAATTAAGTAAATCTGTCACAGTGATCCCATGCAACATATTTCCTTAAAATTAGTATTAGTTTCCATTTTTGGTCAGATGTGATGTTTTTGTATTGTTACTTTGTGCTGTTAATGTATTGCGGAACTGCAGTTGAGCACACATAATGCTAAACTTGACTTTCAAATTATAGTAATTTAATTTTACAACACCGTATTTTACTGTAATCTGTCTCACAAACCTGTTAATGAAGCTGCTTCAGTTATTACATTACTTTACAGACACATTCGATTTTTTTGTAGAAAAACAATAATATTTCATTTTCTTACATGGTGACAGTCTGCCTTTATTTCATTTAATCTCATTGCAACACTCTTCCTTCCCAGCATTTCGTTTACATATCACAGCATTTTATTTATAAGGAATTTAGTGAAATGTATATGATGATGGTTTTGTTTACGTCATTTTTTAGATCAGACTCTCTACAGTATGTGTGCTGCATGAGATTCATCAATGGGATATTCCCATGCTGTGTCTTCATACAGAGCAAGTCTAACAAATGAAATGCTTTTTAAAAATCACAATCCCTGAACACAACACGGGAACCAAACCAGGAACATTTCTTAGATGCTGTGTGTCAAATACAGAGCTTTAATAAGAGGTGGGTGAGACAGAATACAGTAAGTGTTGGCTGCTGAAACGCTGTCAAGTTTGACACACAATGTTTATTTTATTCTTTAGCCACATATAGCTCATGTTGTAGCCGTGACAGCTTTTTCAAACCAAATGAAAGACACTCACAGGGGAGCAGAGAATGTACTCACACACATCACAACAACAACAAACACAGCGAGGGAGCTGTGCACAGCAGAGTCATTCCTTTATAGTTCAGTTTGTCGGTCAAACAAGGTGAGAAATGTCCTAAAGGCCCATAATTACCTAGCACCAAATACTCAGTGTTGCAAGTCATCCTTGTGAGTTAACTGACAGGTTTAGTTTGGCGCTGGAGGCGAAATATCACTACCATCAGAGGCTTGGAAAACATCAGACAGGCTTTTCACAATCTCTGCAGGTTAACCAACAAGCAGTTTTTATAGTACCAGCACATTTCAACAACAGACAGCACCAGCAAACCTGTTTTTTTTTTTTTGGGTAGTCATTTTGTATCTTATGAGTACACAGGGATAGTTTTGTCCAATTAGGGACAATGTGAAACTTGTTGGTCAGAAAGGTGAGGGAATTGTGTTCCTTTCCCATATGTGTATCTTATTTTGAAGTCTCTTGAAAGTTGTATTATAGCCTATGTAAAGTAAAAAAAATCAACTGATAAAAGTTTGTTTTGCATATGCATAGTGTTTATCCAAATCAAGTCTTACATACACTCCCTATTGGAGAATTGAAAGCAGAATTGAAGGCTATGGTGAATGTTTGCTCTGGAGTAATATGCTTTTCCGCTTTAATGGAGAACCAACATATGGCGAGTTTTAATAAACACACATTTACACTACAACCTTGTACATCTCATCACCGCACACACAAGTTATTTGGTCCAGCATACACCACTTATCTTACACAAATGATTCCACTCACGTTAACAATACATGCACATACAAACATACTTTGGGCGCTTCTCTGAAACTAGATAACACTTCAGCCCTCAGTACTGAACATCCTGCAGCAAACGTTACAAACTACAATCATATGTACAGGTAAAGTTTGCTTTTGGTGCCTGGTAACATTAATATTTCTGAAATGTTATTGGAAAAACTGTAAGTTATATGACCCTGGTGTTAACCTTTGGTTGCTGATCTCCAAACAACAACATATCTAACTCTACTATTACTCGTACAATGGTTTGAAAGCACCTGATAAGGCTATAGTAGTACATTAATGTGTGTTATTACTATTTTTGTACAGCAGTTAGTTATGAAGCCCTGAGGTCAGCCATTAAAATTGTACAGTTAATTACTAATTAAATATCTTTACACACTCTTATGACAACTGTCTCACTCACGGGATATAAACACAGACAGACTGTACAGAGGATTCACACTTAAACACACAGAACCGCATACATCTTATACAACACTGCATTTCTTTACCACAGATCAACTGACAATGAGGGTGGTTTATTTAATCTTCTTGATTTAGGGACCGTCATTGGTCGGACAAAACTAATATTTCTGTTATAGCAGTTGCTATGAGAGATCAGACACCTCTGCTATTTGTGAAAAGGTAGACAATGGAGAGAAAAGGTCCACACTGTTGTAGCAAGACATATCAAAGTGAGCTTTTGAATTGTTGGTTATAATTTGTTTCAAGGCCATATTTGTCGATTTGATGTTCTGACTGTAGGGGGGCTCAACACCTGTTCTATTAAATTGCACTCTATGGTTAACGCAAAAAAATCTGCTGTCAATGATTTCGCTTTTTATGGGGAGGTACATTTATCCATCGAACAAAGACAAGGTATTTAAAAATGATTTATGTCTGTGAGATACATTCAAAGCTCATAACAAAGGATGCAGTGTTGACTCCAGTGGCACTGTTTATGTGGAAATGTGAAATATCACTTGAAGGGAAACTTTACAACTAGTACAAGGGCATAGGGCTCCATAACACATGTTCAAAACTCTACTGTGAAGGTGTTTTTTCTCTCTAGTTTCTATTTTGTACACCATGCAGGACAGGATTTAACCATATTACATGTTTTAAAAATCAAATCTCTTCTTATAATTTAAATTAACATAATTTAATACAACACTGCAATGAGGGAACAATGAGCAGAAAAGGCACTACAGAAATATCTGATTCAAGACTGATCAATAGAGCCAGCTGCAGAGAATAATAACTTCAGAGTTCAACCTGAGGATTTAAAATGAAGCCATGTTTTTTTATTATCTATTTCTGCTAAAACGCAACCCTTTTTTGAGCTAAATTAGCTAAAGCATCACAGAGGAGGATCCTCGGCCTTTCTTTTATGATAGGGGATCAAAAGGGAGGCAACATAAAGCTGCTCACCTCGGTCTGCAGTTGGGGTGATAACGATGTTTCCATATTGGCAGAAAAACTTCAATACTACCCTCTCACACTCATATATAATTTGTTGCAAAGTAACCATGGCCTTGCAAAATCCCTGGTGCACGATCTCTTCTCATTTGTGGTCTGAGCCGAGCGATATAAGGACTAAAATCCTGGCATTCATAGGGTGTGTATGTGACACCTGCTTATGTCCAATTTTGAAACACTTTTGACACACTCTGAAGGAAAAAATCACCCTAGGATACTGTTGAAAGTTATATGTGCCTCACCATTTTGGGACGCAGTTCAGGTTTATTTGCTTTGAGGAGCTTCATTTTATCATTCTCAACTTGTCTCGTCTTCAGTTATGGCACCTATGCATCTCACTCAGAACACAAATCGCAACAAGGCCTCTTCAGGTTAGTCTCGATGGAGAAATGAGTTCCTCTGCTCTTTATTTAATGGATTTTAGATCTTAGTGATTATTGATATTAAATAAGTCAAAACAATTCTTATATTTAATATCACTGAAGTTACTTTTGACAAATTCTTTGCGAAACATCACGTTTGTTATTGGGAATATGAAAAATACCATTAAAGAGTTGTTTTGCGGAAGAGAGCCATCTAATTCTACTAATATTCACCAAGGTATTAAGTTACTCTTTTAAACTGAATTTAAGATTTTTTCAGCAGTGTGGATTTTTCCTTTATTCACAAACAAAGGACATTTGCAGTCTCACAGACAAGAGGTGTTTCTAAAATTGCAGAAACACCTGTTCTTAATTTCGATAATACGATCTCATCAATTTTATACTAAACATCTGTGTAATTTGTGGACGTTGATAATATCACGTCATAAAACCACAGTTGACAAACACAGGACAGGACGGGGGGGGGTGACAGTGTTAGTGTTAGGTGAACAGTGATAAGACACAAGAGCAACAATGACAACAACAATGCTTTGGATTAGTGAAAAAGTTAAAAAAATCACAATCTTGAGTCTCAGTGACAGAGTGATAATGGACAAACACTCAGTGCAATAATTTGTAAACAAAATATACACATACATACTTCACCTTGTACTCTAGATCTAAAGTGGAAACGTTTCTGTTTTGGTTATAGTCATTAATTTTCAGTCTTACCTCATTTTTTTTTTATATACTCCATTTATCTATGTATATTTACAGAACTTATCAATCCATTTTTTAGAGCGGTGGATACTACCACAGGGTTCAAAAGTAAAAGGATTATCTAGTAAACATGTTGCTATACAACTCTCCTCAAAGTGCACGACTGTGATTGGAAAGTGCATGAGCCTGCCACCATCATCTCACTGTTATATCTATTCACACATCGAACCATGCTGATTAAGCAAGCACACATCAAAACCCTTCAGCTAAAATCTTCACAGCGCGATGCCAGCACTGCAATAACATGTGTACTGCATGACACGTTGAATAAAGCACAGTGGACTGCGGATAACTCATTAAAGCTACAGACAGCAGTGTGGTATATGGTCCGAAGACAGTAAGTGCAATTTAATCAGATAATAAACGCTCGCCTCTCCACTCACACTTCCATTGGCTGGACGCGGGCTGGCAGGTGTAAATCTGTGACTTGGCAAGAAATGGGCTGCTTGAAGAAATAAATGTTTCCTTGCTTCCACTTCTGAATAGAGACATAAGATAATTCATGAATAATAAACAAGATTTCGATTTTTTTCTTGCAATTGTTATGATAAATAACATCGATCCAGTTCTAAATTCATGTGTTACTTTCTGGACTTCCTGATGAGATTAGGGCACACATAGTCTTCTATTTACATTAAGATTTGTTTTTTTTTTGGGACAGCTTGTAAACCACCAGCTATTTGGGTTTGGGTTTTTTCTTCCTGTACACAAATCTTGCCAACCAATTTTGTCCAAAGCTCTGCCCATTCGGCAAGATTGTACTTGTTGCTTAGCAACACTGGCTTATATAACATCAAATCAAGGCGATTTTGAGCTTGTTGTACCATGCAAAGCACAGTTAACTACTTGAGTAATTAAACAGACCAATTAGAGTTTGTCTGTCTTAGAAAGTGTTGATTCAGAAGTAGATTGCAGGTGTGGCAGTTGGAACACGTTCTTTTTACAAGAGAAGTTTGATATTTGTATTCGTGCTCTTCTCACTGGTTTGAAGTAGGTGGAGTCACGTATTTTAGAGCATCCATCAGGATTTATCAATATTACTTTATGTTGTCAGTCCAATCTGATAAGTCCACAGGAACAACAGACTAGTTGAGAGTTTAAGTGTTAAACTCTTAATAAATAAAACCTAAGAATGTTTTTGTTCTTCAGTCGAAGATATTGAACATCATACATATATATGCAAAATTGTATCCAAGTTCTTTAAAATATATGCAAATAAAATCTATTTTTAAAAACTTGTTTTAAGCAGGAGGGTATTTACACTGCTGTGTGTGGCTTTACGTCACCTGACAGTCTTCCTCTAGCGAGTACAGTATGCAGCAACACGATACATCTGGGTCACAATAGCCGTACATTTACATCCTCAGGCTCAACGTCGAGCACACAAATGGCAGTTCCACTTGCTAAATACATACACACACACACACACAACCAAAAAAAAAAATCCAACCCACCTCCAGCAGAAATCATTTTCACACCAAACAAGAAAACATCACAATCCAGATTCTTTATGCATGCAGCGTGTGAACACACTATAGTCCTGGTTTACTAAGCTCTTGTTTCACGATCACAGGTGTTTTTTTGCAGAGTTTACATTGAGATACATGCAGCCTTTTAGCCTGACAAGTTCATGTTTGAGCCTTCACTCTTTGATAAGAGTAAAAACTGGAAGCTGACATCATTTAAGGTTGAATTGCTCCTTCATTGTTCCCGTCTGCATCTCTGCTTGTGAAATAGCTCCTGGTGACACATCCTTAGTACATTTGTGTGGTTAAAAGTTGCAGTTGAGGCATGTGTAATGTCCCATGGCTCATTATTCTGTGTACAGTGCAGCTGTGTGTTAATGAATATTTACAGTACCACCGAAAACAACTAGCAGAAGAGAGACGTAGACTTGGCACTGCTTCAGTATTATCACATAAACACAGACTGCAGAGTCTGTACAACTGTTATGAAGTGTAAGTGTGTGTTTGTGTGTGTGTGTTTCTGTTGCTGCCGTCCTCCTCCTCACTGTGTGGGAGAGCAGTCGTCTAAATCCAGCAGCTCCCTGACCAGTCTCTCTCCAAACTGCGCTCGGCTGTAGCGTTTAACCGTGTAGGCATCGGACATCTTGTAGAGGATGTACGCGTTGTTGATGGCGATGCTGATGCTCAACCAGAACACCTGCTGCCAGGTCTTGTTAGGCTTATGAAAGATAAAGTACCTTTGGGAGGAAAATATATATTTTTGCTGAACAAGTGTCAAGAAAACATGATAATGGCAAGTCAATTCTTATCAATAAAGACCTCAATATGCGGCTGATTACAAGCAGGGGCAAAACCTGTGTTTTGTGACATGATGAATGTACTGTAACACTGGCAAAAGAGCTATTTAGGTAACTGAGTATTGTCAGTTCAAAGCTAAGTCTATTGTATTGCTATGACATTCCCGAAATACCGAAGAATTACAATTTCTGATATCCTTCAATGCCAAAAATGCAAAGGAAAGATTGAGAAAAAGCAGCAAATCATCAAATTGGAGAAGTTGAATAGTATTTTTAGCTTGAAACATATCTTAATCGATGTATTGATTGTCAAAATCAAGTATGGTCAATCAACTAATTGAGCTCAAATAAAATAAATTGTTATGAGGTAACAACCAACACATTTTCATTCAAATACAGCATATTTCTCTACGTTGAGTCACCTTGGTCACCTTAAGCCAATGGTCATAACAGAACCGGTAAGGATAATACAGTATATGTTGCTTTAAGGGAAGTATGTCATGTTCCGTCTAAAATAGGATTGATTTAGGCAAGAAAGCAGGTAAAATGTTACACGGTCACATTAACATAATAAATCAACTTGCTATGCTGCACATACTTGCTGTACTTGTCGTCATATTTGCAGATGTAGCTGAGGTGCGCCGCAAAGGCCTCAACAGCCAGGGGACAAGTGATCTCCCCACTTTTCCTCTTAATGATGATACCTGCCACAAACAAACACAGCACAAAATGAGAGTGAGACACAGACAGCATATCCCACTGAGGAGACTCGTTTTCTTAAGACTATGGGGCCAACTGAAGGGGAGAGGGAAGGCAGCGGGTTCATTCATCCTCTGCTCCCTGCAGGGCTGCTTTGTTTACTCAGTAATGGGTCTTATTCACAGCAGGAAACGCACAGGGGAAACTAATAACATTAACAATGGCTCCGTTCCATTGGAGTCGCAGTAAGCCGTGACAGTGAGCCAGCGTGCACGATAATGGGGACATGTAAATGTAAATGTAGCCATTAATAATGTTAGTGGTTACACGTGTATAACTAATAACATTTCCTACATGACTGAATGCTCCACTGTTATTGGTGTTTGCTTCAGATTTGTTACCAAGGAAAACACATCAGCTGTTCTTGGGTCAGATTGTACGGTGCAAATGTTGTACCCGAATAGTATAATGACCCACTATTATGTTGAGACTCTTCTCTAATTTACCTCCTTGACCATAACTGTCTGGCAAAATCCCTTCCAAAGGAGAATTGGGGCAAGAAATTCACGTTGGAGTTGCAGAATATACTTTATTTTACATCTCATCACCTCGTTAAGATAGCCGTGAACTAAAACCAGACTTTTTTTCTGATGCGTCTGTATGTATCTGACTGAGTTTAGGAGTCGCGTTCAGACATAAATTATATTATGAAAATCTAACATTCAACTTGTTTTTACTCTTGCCAACGTAGGATAATTTTTTTTAATTTGCAGTGGTAACTGTTATAATGTAATGTGTGTCATAAGAAGAAAACAATTGTTTTATTTATAAGCCTTATTGATTGTATTGGAAACTCCTTTAGTTCTCCTTTTAGTACAGAGTGAACATCACTTGCACACACACACACACAGAGGGGGGAAATCAATCATAGATAATAACAGTTTAATTGATCTGGGGCTTGCCTTCCACATTCGTCATTCAAACAGATTGCAGCCTTTCAACTGAGTTTAAGACCGAACAAAACGCTTCCAGCGAGGGTGGATTAGAGAATATCATGATCCTTCCGCTCCTGGAAATGGATTATCATGGATTAGAAGCTCTCATTGATTTTCCCTGACATGAATACTTAAGCATTTGCCAATTTCACCTGATGGTAACATCCAGAGCTGACGGTAAGCTTATTTTCACTGAAAAACTTGTGCACTAATGCATATTGTATGTCTCCTGTCAGAACTAAAAGCCTTTAAATATTGATGATTCAGTGAGACACATACACCTTTAGTTCTGGGTGCAGGAGAGCAGTTTACCTTGTTTTGTTGGGGGATAAGCGTTGGTGAGGAACCTGAAGTGTCCCTTGTTGTACCAGCTGATCAGCGACATGCTGCCCTTCATCATGGTTCGTGATTGGCCGCGCTGCGCTGGCGTGGAGCTGCACACCAACATGTTCTGTGGTAGACCTGTGCAGTCACTCTTCCTGGTGCTCAGCAGGCCACAGCAGTAGATATCTGGAGAGGGATCAACGCAAAGACATCTTAACATCTGTACGAATCACTTTGTAACACAGAGATATTCTACTAGTATTTTCACAGATGTGAGAAACATTTTGTATAGGTACTTATTTAGTATGAATACAACACCAATTTAAGATTAAATGATTAGTAAATTAACCCATGAGTCGGTAAACATACAAATTATTTATTTGGATGATTAGTTCATCATTTGATATTATTTTCCTGAGGATTGCAAATAATTCCTGATTTCAACTTCTCAAATCGTTGCTTTCTTTTATAATTTTTCCATGATATAAAAATACATATTCTTTGAATCTTTGGTCGGGCAAAACAAGACATCTGAACATGTCAACTTGGGCTTTCAGAAATTGAAATGGCAATTTTTTTCTTAGACTAGTTTGTGATATTTAAAGACCAAATTGTCATCGATTAATTAAATAAATAACCAACAATTCGGTGGAAGAAATTCAAGTAATATAATTGTTAGTTGCCCTAGTAACATCAATGATAAAAAGTGTTCATCCTTAACTGAAACAATAGTCCATTAATCAATTGGGTAGATGAAGGAGAGATAATCAGCAGTTATTTGGATACTTCTTGGCAATTGCAGATTCTCAGATTAGTATTTGTTGAGTTGAACCACAACTAGGAGAGCAAACTCGTGCAGAGTGCTTATCTCTCTCACAGCTGTACTCTCTTATTTTCATATGGCCTCTGTCCTTCCCTCGTCTTTTGTCTTTCCACCCATTCAATTTGTTCATTTCTTGCATGGATGAGCAGTGGCAGAACAATCATGTGGCTGAGTGCTGCTGATTAGTTAATGATCTCAATTTGGAGTAAGATTTGTATCTGTACAGTACATTTTTGTATGTGTGCGTGTGCCCAGAGTAAGTGCTTTAGAGATGATTAACTATGCTCATAAATCCAGGATGACAAAATGGCGGACAATGCCTTCAAAAGCTCAGGACAGATTTTTGGCTGAATGCCTCATGGTAGCTAATTATGAAGATAAATATTGACTTGATCTTTTAACTTGTTTTTTCTTTTCTTGGCGTACTGCGGCTCTGCCCAATTGAGTTTAAAATGGCTCGTCTCTAATTGTTTAGCGAAAGAGCATTTGTGATAACGGGAATGTAAAAACTTGCCCTGATGATATCGTCAAAAGAGTCACATCTGTTATGTTGATTGTTTTTTCTCTTCCTCCCCTGTTCAGTCATTTTGATCCTTTTATGGCATGTTGACATTGTCCCGTATCTGCTATTATTACAATAGGGGTCACTGAAGAGTATCTAAATGTGACTCGCCCTAACCACAACAGGATTATAATGTCTTCATAAAATGTGCCTTTGGTATAATGAGCATGAAAATCAGAGCTCTGTGGAAACAATCTTCAAAGATGAATTATCAGCATGAAATATCGCAATTTGCTCCATAACTGTGTGTCCTGTATATTAAGTAACAGAAAGACAGAAAAGCCTGTATGGATTCAGAAGTTCTTGTTGTCAGGTGTTATACAGTAAATGGTGTCTTATTAAAGGTGGGGTAGATAAGTTTGAGAAACCGGCTCGAGATCGCTAGAATTTGAAAATACACAACCGGAGAAAATCTGCCACTTCCTTACAGAGCCCCTCCTCCAACACACACGAACGCGCACATGACCAATGAGGGCACGAGATAAGTTTGTGCACAGATGGAAGGCTGACAGGCAGGTAGGCCATCCAGTTATTTTAGCCGGGCCGGCTAAAATGATTGGTCGTGCTTTTTACAGTATTACGGCTTCCACAGATGACATTTTTTTATGGATTTTTTGTCAAAGCACTTAAGATATTCATTGCTATCGGGATGTTAAGAGCATTCCATGGAATATAACAAAAAGTGTATCTCGAGCTGGTTTCTCAAACTTACCTACCCCACCTTTAACATTTAACTATACACATGTTCATTATCCACCTTTAAAACAAGCAGTAATTGTAATGAAGAGAACATAATTAAAGACTTTTTCTAAATCACTTCCTTTTTTTACTTCTCAAATAATAAAAAAATACTTCCCTTAGAAACTGAAAACTGGAATAATGTTTGTAATTTGGTTTGTTGTTCCTGAAGTTACTGCAGATATTTGCTTTAAAGTGTCTGCTTTTTCATAGCTAAAAATAAATCAATAAAAAGCAAAGTACTTCTAGCTGAATCTCCCTTGATGTATTGCGCTTAAAAAGACAATTAACAGTCTACAGCAGTGCATCGCAGGATGGTTAATCTTGCAAAGAAAAAAAACATCCATCCCGACAAGTCCCTAAGTTTAAGATTCAGTCGTCAAGATGAATTATTCTTAAAAGAAGTACAAATTATCAATGAAATCAGAAGAGTGGCAAATTGCTTGGATTGTTTCTTAGGAATTACATGTAGACATAAGGCCTGTTCTTTACAATGTCAAGCATCTTTCTTAAAACATTTTAACTGGTTTTAGAAACATTTAGGTCCCAAGCTGTAAAACAAAAGCATAACATGACAGACAAATACAATACGGTCTACTATCGTATGTTTGCATTGCCATATGAGTCATGCTTGTGCTTTTACACACTCCCCATGTGATTAAGATGTTTCACTTGGGGCACAAGGACAGATGTAGAAAGAAAAGTGAATCATTCTGACTGCATACTTTAGTGCTGTGAAGTCAAGTTTGAAAGGGAAATGCAACAGTCTGTCTTCTCTTAAGTGTTTGACGCTTTCGTCACAACAACACTTTTAAGACAAACAAAGTATTATGGTAGTACGGAAGATCGACTACACTCTGTGCACCAAAGCAGAAAAAGGTAGAGGTTGAGAGATGACAGAAGAGGAGAAGGAAGTTAGAAAACAAAAGGTGTTTTATTTAAACAGTATTAGACAGACCAACAGATTTCTGATGTTATAATTTGTTTGTGTACCTTGTTTGCTGAATTCGGTGAAGAGTCCGAGGCTGGTGATGGACGGCCCTGTGAAAATAATGGTGTTCTTGCCAGAGATGTTCTGGCAGAGCTGCTTGGCCACCAGGCTGTGGAGCTGAGGCTTATTCTTCAAGGTGGCCAGACAGTCTGTGGCTTCCTTCAGATGCACTGAGATCTGCAGCGTGGGCAGAGAGAGGCGACACTTCGATAAAACAGATATAGAACCAGCAATCTTTATTTCAGTTTTAAGCACCATTTTTATTTTCCTCTTGATGAGAAAAATCTGCAGCTATAAGTCTTCACTCTCTGCAAAGCTCCTGTCCTCACATTTCTTTAAAAAGCCAGTAAAAAAGACAAATATGCATTCTCTGGTTGCACCGGAGAAAACAGTAGATTTTGCTGGAGAAAAAAACTGCATTGGGGATGGTTCATAATAATATGCCAAAAATGTATGGTAAATATGCAGTTTTTTTCCTTTAAGGCAGCAACCATGAATTGCATGCCTATTTGAGTCCGGAGTGATGTCCCCCTTCCTTTCTCCCAGCATTTTTCTGTTATCTCTCTATGTTTTATGCTCTCATACAGGCTTAACATTTCCACACAGAAAATTAAAGAATCACATTTTTGCCTGATGTTGGAGCAAAAATAAAGCTCTGTTGTTCTTCCCTTATTTCCCTGTGTATTGTGGGGTTTCTCTGGGGAGTTTTATTTATAAATAATTGATTGAATTTGATTAATGTACACTTCTGGAAAACATGAATGTGCTAAGCTAATGTCTTCTGTATTCTGTCCAATACGGTTTACAGTAGATACTGAAAGTAGGGCTGCTCGATTATGGCAAAAATCATAATCTCGATTATTTGGGTCAATAATTGATATCACGATTATTAAAAACGATTATCCATTTACTTTGAAAACATCCATTTATTGAAAAAAAATGTGAACAGTATGTTTTAAACAGTCGATTACCCTGGACTTTAAGTATAATTCAACTGAAAAACCAATACAAAAAATTATTTAAAAAAATTAAATTAAAAAATTAAAAATAAATAAATAATCGTTTTATTTTCGATTATGTTGTTTTCATAATCGTTGCAAGCCAAAATCGTAATTGTGATTAAAATATGCTGAAACTGAAAGCTAAGCCTTACCATGAAAGATTCCCAAACTATCTCAAAACTGTTAGAGGATGGCAGAACTATTTTAAGAGTGCCCACTGGAGCTGTGAATATGAATATTTCATGACAATATGGCCAGATGTTGTTGTGATATGTTGCTCTGGATCAAGGCAGACTGAACAATACTTCTCAGCTCAACACACTGATGCCTTTAAAGACCTCCAGATAAACATTGGCTTCCAAAGAAAGTCAATATCAAATACACAAACAAATGTCCATCCACAGTCCAGTGTCCTTCTTGAACTCATATTCCTGCAGTTGCTCACGAGTGGAACAGCATTAGCCTGATTAGCCAGCATCTACGTCGAGCCTTTAGCTATTACACTAAGTGCTCAGCGTGTGTGCGTGTCTCTATATGTGTGTGTGTTTGTGTATTCCTGTGTGGTTCACTGGCTAATGGAATCTCATTGATTCACTCCATTAACTCGTTTTATTTCGTGGATTTTTTTCTCCCTCGACACAATTCATTTAAAGAGGGAAGATCTCAGTGCAGACACACATCAGCGGGCTGGTAAAGACTGAGCGACGGCCAAACCCACAGTCAGTGTGAATGTTAATGCTTATTTGTTAAAACGATGGGATCATGGGTTATGGGCTTCTGTGATGCTTATGCATGTTTTACACAGTGGATTTGGGATGACAAGAAATATTATAAATTGTTTTATTTTACTTGATATAAAGGAATGATAATACAAAATGTAAAAGGAACAATTTAAATTCTGCTCGTTTGGTCCCCTCTACACTAATGTAGTTCTGGACCACATCCAGACTAAAGAAGGACTTCTCCTGCAGCGTCGTCTGGTGCCTGGTTTTTCTATTTATAATCCTCTGCAGTGAAATGCCTTTTTTTTTTACAATTATGTATTATTGTATTGCTGTTTTCCTGCCAGATTCCTCTAAAAGCCGAGTAAAGTTTGTCATTGGGCAGGTCATTCTCAAACCTGAACAAGAGAGGCTAAATTATTCTCCTGACCTCATACAAGTATCATACAAATTAATGGATTACTGTTTACTGCTCACTGAAAGATTCAAAAATATGTTCCCAAAGTCCACATTCTGTGACACTTAATTAAAATGTGAATCTTTAATTCAAACCAGGCATCAATAACCTTGACACAAGATGAGAAATTCAAATGTTTTAAACACTTTTAGGGAGACAAATATCCTTTAACAAGAGATCAACACAGAAATATAGGATTTATTTTCTAAAAATCTTCAACTTAATAAGAGAACCGCATGATGTGACCAACTTAGACTGCCAAGGCCTCATCATAGATTCATATAAACTTGAAATGCATTTCGAATTTAAAAAGTCTTGCTTTTATAGCTAGAAACCACTGGAGGAAAATGTGTTTTGTAAGTGAACATCCTCTTAGCAGTGCAAACTTATGTGTGTGCATGCTTGTATATTGAGAAAAGTCCCTTTAACAACCTGCATTTGCGGAAAAATGTGTGCTATCACATGCAGTCTGGCCGGGCATCGTGTATCACAAGCTCAGGCTCAGTTAGCAGGTTGTCTCCATCATTTGTCACCAATTAGGAAATTGTTGTGTTTTCTTCCTCTGTAATGGTCAGGTCTGTCAGTCCTCCTGTGTCTCTGGCCTCAGTTAAATGTCTGTGTTACATAAGCGAGCGGCGCAGGACTGGCAGGTTGCAGTAAGGTTGTTAGTGAGCAGAGCAGTGCTGCCTGAGATGTAACACAGATGTAATCCTGAGCCAGAAGCGACTCAAATCTAAAACACCAAGAGAAAAATCTGACAACCAATATTTTTGCCCAGAAGGCATTTCTCACTTCTAGCAGAGTTTGATCATTTAAAAAAAATCAAACCTTGCCTTTCATGCTTGTGAAGCTTAAAAATGTTCTCATTGGAATTCTGATTTTTTTTTAAATTCTTTCTAGTGAAGGCAAATAATTGGCTGAATGAAAAATGATGAAACAGAGACAACCTGGGAATACGATTTGAATTTTGATGATCAAAGATGTTTTAGAAAAAGCCTTTTTGACTTCAGACTTTTTCTTTCATTTCTGATGTAAAATATTTCTACCATGAGTTTTGAAAGCACCACTTTAAAATACCCCCAAAGCAAACTCACAAACTTCTCCCACTTCGATCTTATTACACTCAAATCTGACTTTAAACTTTTCAGTTTTGTGAAAGTTGAGTACACTGAATGAATATTGTTTGCTGCTACCTGACAGATGAATCCGGTGGAGGTACACTGTCGAACCCAGAGGCTGAACTTCCTCTTCTTCCTCTTCCTCAGCTCTCTTTCCGTACAGGTGGTGATGAACACCGGGTCCTCGTCTATCAACGGCTCATGAAGTACCTGGAAACACACAGAGGCAATGTTACATGTGTTTGTCCTGATTTTTATATAACCATGTCAGAAGTAAAGTACACGATGTGAAATAGCTGGCCTTGAGATGGATAAAACGTGTTTTGTGTGAGGCATAATAGCGAGGTTGTGCATGATGTAACGTTACAGCGAGTGTTAGAGAGAGAGAAGGCAGCCAATCGTAACGCTTCACAAGTCTTTTATGTGTTTGGGTGCAATACTGTGAGAGAAAAAACAATGTCCTTGGCAGCAAAACGCGGACAAAACTGAGCAGAACTGTCTGCAAGATCCCTTTAGAAGAATGGCTTTCATTTGTTTTTATTGCTTTATTCGTTGCTTTGTCTTTAACTTTTGCATATTTAATCCGCTTCAGTGTTCTTTTCCGTTTGTCTGACTACATCTTCCATTACTACTTATGAACAAAATAAAGTGAAGACAGTATTTTTAAGGTCTGCTCTTGAGTATTCTAGCTTCAAACAAATTGAAAAATAAATCTAAATAGAGAAGACATGGCTTCGGGGGAAAAAGACTCTCAAAGAAGCAATGAGTGGTTGTTCTGTCTGCTAAACATGGTGCAAGTGGAATCAAATGCAAACAAAATGAAACATAAACACATACAAATACAACGGAGACATTAAAGGTGGGGTAGGTAATTTTGGAGAAACCGGCTCGAGTGTGCTAGAATTTGAAAATACACAGCCGGAACAAATCTGCCACTTCCTTACAGAGCCCCTCCTCTAACACACAAGAACGCGCACATGACCAATGAGGGCACGAGATAAGTTTGTGCACAGATGGAAGGCTGACAGGCAGGTAGGCCATCCAGTTATTTTAGCGGGGCCGGCTAAAATGATTGGTCGTGCTTTTTACAGTATTACGGCTTCCACAGATGACATTTCATTATGGATTTTTTGTCAAAGCACTTAAGATATTCATTGCTATCGGGATGTTAAGAGCATTCCATGGAATATAACAAAAAGGGTATCTCGAGCCGGTTTCTCAAACTTACCTATCCCCACCTTTAACATTTAACTATGTACATGTTCATTATCCACCTTTAAAACAAGCAGTAATCGTAATGAAGAGAACATAATTAAAGACTTTTTCTAAATCACTTCCTTTTTTTACTTCTCAAATAATAAAAAGATACTTCCCTTAGAAACTGAAAACTGGAATAATGTTTTTAATTTGGTTTGTTGTTCCTGAAGTTACTGCAGATATTTGCTGTTGTGGTCATCGATAAAGTCGATAATGATGTTGGTAGAACCGTCAAAGTACATTTTAAAAGTAGGGTGAACTGTGCTGTCTTCCTCTTGATGTATTATGTCCTTGGTCTGCTCACTGTCTCTTGATACATTGGGATGGGTCAGACCAAATAATGAGGAGACATTTTTCAACAGGATTAAAGTATTAGACACATTCACAAATCCAAACACACCCAAACAGGGCATTACCAGAACACTCCCACAAAACCAAACAATATCTTGGATGATTACACTAGCGCGGTAAACATAAATCCTGGCCAAATATTTCCCAAAGACACACACAAACAAATATTTGCATTTCAAATGTCTCTCGGCTCTCCCTTCCTCCAGTGTCTTCCTCCTCCCACACCGACAGGATTTGACTAAAGCTAAAGCGAGCAGTGACCAACAGCTGTCTCCTGCGCCAGGACAAAGAGCGACAACTCATTTCCAATTCAAATATGGAGTAATGGATTTTTACAATGGAAAAATTAACGAGGCTATCTAGCCACTTGATGGATGACATCACCCCAACCATAATGGCCTATTAAGAATTATCTCATCCTGTTGCTACTGCACTAGTTTCTCTTGGTGCCCAGATATTCCTCTACACCGAATCCTAACCGATGAAAACAATGTGGTTACATTTGCACATTAATGCTGCTAGTAAATCATTTGCACAGGTTCACTGATCCTTTATTGGACACAGAAAGGAGAGATATTGATCTATCCGATCACTAGCTGTCTAGCAGTGGATATCTACAACAAAGATTTTACACTTGCAAATCAATACAAAGCAGTGTCAACAGATTATCTCAGCAACTGCAAAACTGCCAGACTGATGCAGAAAAGCATCCTTTTTCCATCGATGTCAAAAATAATCTGACATAACATGCTAATATTCAGCACCAATGCCGATCACTCATATTCACACACATACACACGCACACAATGTTGAATAATGCTTTGTGGCAGATAAATCCAGGTCACACTAACTCACATGTAGATAAATATCCTGCATAGTTCTTGACATTTTTAAAGAATGGAGCTGAATTGATTTGTCGATACAATTCTGAAGTTGATCAACAGAATTGTACAGCTAAAATGGTAATAATCTAAATGGTCTTTGTTATTTAGTTAAAATGCACCCAAATCTATTGTTCCAGCTTCTAAATTGTAAATATTTGTTTGTTTTCTTCTATAAAATCAACCTAAATATTGGTTGGTTTTGGACAGTTGGTAATAGATGGAAATTGTAGTGTCCATTTTACACTATGTTGTGAAGATGAATTGATTAATTAAGAACATAAACAGCAGATCAAACACAAATCATGACATTATCTTCTTCCATTCCTTCTGTGTCAGTCATTACATGAGCAGATAACTTTTCAATCGTCAGGGAAGTACGAGTTTTATTCTGCCATTTTCACTATCTGGGCCCTCTTTCTGCCCCTGGCACAGAAACCCAACAGATAACACAAACTGGCCTAGATACACATGCACCCCGTAACTGCTTACGCACACGCTCTCTGACAAACAGTCTGCCCTGATTCCTTTCAATTTAGTTGTTTTTAGACCCCAATGGATAGAGAGCGTTAAAGTGAAACCCCTTAATTACCTCAAATTGAAATAAACTCATTATTGTTAACATCAAGTTGTGTTAACAAAAATATTCATTGTTAAATGAGATGTGGATGTGATACGAGGATGGCCTTTGCTGAGTTGCTAAGAGCCTGTATTTCCGAATGCATCACAGTACTGGCATCATCTTTCATAATGAAGATGATGTTATAGCACTTATCCAGCAGAAAGGCAATTAATCAACTCCTTCCCAGCAATTAATTACATTTTAACAGCAGGGGCAAAGGCAGCATAAGATCCAATTGGGTGTACAAATAGCCGACCCGGGTGCCCTCCTCCTAACCAAATTCCGAAGATGTCAGGTGATTTGTATTTGTTATCTTCATGGAAGAATAAGCCGAAAGAGAAAGCTCTCAACATTGTGTCCTGACTTTTATGACAACCAACCACATGAGTCACTGCTGAGTAAAATTATAATGACTAATTTAGGAGGAAATAATATGCTATGCATGCCTTTCCTTCTGTGAACTGCCACAACACAATCTTTTAATTACACACATTTAAGCTTGTTTTCTTCAGGTTGAAGTTAACAAGGCTGATGATTGCTTGTGTCTCTCTTTGTGGAAAGAATATGGATTTGATTGATGAGATAACACTTCAATCAGGTTGTTTGTTCGCTGCTCTTTTCAAAACTGTAGTGCTGCTTTTCATCTAGAGGAGAAAGAAAAGTAGGAACTGAAAAAAAATCCAGCCCACCCAAAATAGAGTAGCAAGGCTGGCGCTCCAGTGGCCCAGTTGCATTAATGTGACTGATGCAAACAGTGCAACTGAAAACAGTGAGGCCTAAAGTTAAAAATGACTGCCTACACTTATACACAGGCTTTGTTCAGGGTTTCAAACTGCGCCTCTTTGCAGGAGCTACCTGGTTGCTCTACATGGGGAGCACATTTCCTTTTTCCTTTTTATTTCACAAGCAAATTAGGGAACTCCTAAGCTACTATATTACAATTCAGTGCATGCACATGTATATACATATACCTGAGGGGTAAAACATGTGCTGCTAACAAGAAAACAGTGATCTGACAATGTGTGGCTAATATTTAGACTTAAAAATGTGTCTGAACATTTTGTCTGCTGAAGATGACCTCTGGATATTTCCTCATATTTCTTAGAATACTTAATGAGAAATTAAAAAGGAAAGGTATAACGTTTAATGTCAACTGTGCTGTTAAATCAGTTTGACCTTTGGGTGTTCACTAATAAAATGTAAAAAAAGGTATTGAACGGAGAATCAGTACGAGGAAAAATATATGTAAATATATGCACAAAATAGCACCTAGCTGTCCAGCGTATATGCAATGCTTAGAGAGAAGCAGTCCTGAGGGAGAGAGCACACACCTGTGTCTGTGAGGGTCTGAAGGTGCAGCTGAAGGACTGCTGCAGCGAGTCCAGGAAGGGCTGGATCTTGTACAGGCCCTGGTTGCTCCCCTGTGACGGCCGGAAAGCCACAATGTGGAAATACTTGAGGATCTTCTCAAAGCGCGCCTGGCTCATCTTCAGGGCGATGCTCTGGTTGCTGAAGAAGCCCGAGCTCCAGATGCTGAGCACGGACTCGCAGCGCTGCACACTGGTGGAGGTGACGAAGCCCAGGAAGGCCTTCATCTCCTGGGTTGTGACGGGACGCCAGCCCTCGTCTGAGCCGAAGCGCTCCTGGAACTTCTTGGCATACATGTTGGTCTGGGTGACCATGTTCTGGATGCAGTTATCTGGGACGAAGAGCTGGAAGAAGTCCAGGGCTGTGGCGCTGGACGTCATCTTCTGAGCAGGGCCTGAATCAGGACAGCAAGGGGGGGAAATGATGATATGAAAACAGACAGATTGATAGAGAGAGAGTCCCATATGGGCTTACTCACAGACACAACTGTCACTTAATCCTAGTTTTCAACCTTTGGCACAATGCCTTAGAGACTGACTCAATAAAAGGTTTATTTTTTGACACACAAAATTAGATTTTGTTGAGCTGTCATTGTATATGCTGTGAGGGAAGCATACAAACTGTTTCTTGACAATGTCACTTCATTAGAAAAGAATACGGAGGAAACATCCATTAATAAGGTAGACTTACATCGTATAAATAGTCTTAAAATACAACTTTCACAAAGAATCGCTGTGCTTTCTGATGAATCAGCCACAGAAGTCTTTGGTTTGAATGTCACGCGCCCAGGGCAGCGGTTAGATCATTTACACAACATGACAGCCGCCACACTGTGATCTGTGTCTCAGCGTGGAGTTTCTACGCTTGTCGAAGGTTTCAGTGTCTCGCTGCTTTATTGTTATGTCACACAGTGAGTCAAAATCATGCTCTGATCCGTTAGTCGGGTCAGGAGGGTGCCATGAATGAAAGACATCTGAAGTCATACTGTCAGTAAAGCATCAGCTGACGATAAAGGTTTGTTTAAACAGATTTATTTTTAACCAAAAGATGAATGCATCTAACATAGCAGACATTCAAGTAATAAACAGGGAAACTGGGGTACATTGTAAGGTTGAGCTAATTAATATTTAGTGAAAGGTTAGCTTAAATTGATGGATAAACAAATAATGAATTAATTTATCTTATAGTTATAGAAACAGTTACTTGCATAAAGTAGTGGGTTAACAATTGAAATATTTGAAAGTAACTTTTCTAACTGGTGAAAAAGTTATAAAATATTTGTTATAATTATTATAGGCATTAAGCTATAAGTTATGGCTGCATTCATAAAATAGATAGCTGAGAATAATTGATTAATAATAAAATAAATGGCAGCATGGAACAAGTACTTTCATATTCTAATTCACTAGTTTACTGAGGGGAAGGTGGCGTTTACCTCCCATTTAAAAGCAATTTATCTGCTAGCTTTTAGGTGTTGCATTGAAGCTACACAATCAATACACAATGCAACAACTGGCTTGATGTGTTTGCTCTTGTAATGAATTAGAGATTTTCTCTAAGGTTGTTAGATCCGTGAGAGGAAATGTGGATGTCGAGCAGAACAACTTCAGGGTAAATTGAACAGCACGATCTCATTATCCCTGAACAGCGTAGAACAAGGTTTCTCTATCCATCGTCTCTCCTTTCCTGAGCGGTTACAACCACAATCACGATGGCTTCAGACTTCTAATGTTGAGTTAAAGATAATGTGTGCAGGGTTTAAACTTTAATTGTTTAAACAACATGTGGAGGAGGACAAGAAGAGGAAACAAGCAAAGCACACCCACAGAGCTGATGCTATGCTGAGGCAGAGACAGCAGGAGTGGTGGGCCACGGGCTGAAATCCTCTCATTTGCATTCCATTAGACTTGAAGGCTGTTTGAAAAATCCAGCATGACTTCCCCTAAGCAAGCCACTCCTCCATCAAAAACATCAGACATTCAGATGTAAGGCCAACCGATGCACAGTGACTCACCTCAAAAATACAAACTGAGGAAGAACTCATTATTTGTTACGATAATGGACTGTTTTAATCTGTTCCTCTGTAGATCTACCAGCTGATCTAACCTACATCATGCTGATTAAACGGAATCAAACACTTACATATTTCTTCTTTCAGACTACTAATATTAGCTAATGTCTCTGTAGATAGAAAGGTTCGACATATCAATTTCCCACATTACACAACTCCTGCTACGTTGCACCTACAAACCCAAGTATAATCCCTCATGATGATCAGCTGTCGTAGTATTTCTATTTGCTAAGGGACAAACGTCTGCCTGGTAGAGCTTTTATAGCCATGGATTTGAGAATGAGAGATTAATGTGTTTCGTAGATAAACCCATCCTGTAGACGAAACATGTTTTAAGCTAGCGGAAATTACAGAAAGACCACATGGATTTGAAAGCCATTTCTAATTATTTTCTCAGACGAATCCCAGCTATGGCCAAACTGAAATGCAAGCAAATAAAAATAGTAATATTTTTATGTCAATAAATATATATGGATTGTAAAAATATCTGTATTCTGTTGCTGTGCATCAGAAAAAAGTGTAGTGTAGCAATGCAATGTAATCATTTCAGTCAATGTTCTATCGTACATACTATGAGGATTTAAGAGTCAGCATTTGGGATGAAATAACTCAACAAAATCCTGAAATTAAATTGATGATTGTTTATTTTTTCAAAAGCCTTAAAAAGATGTCCAGATGGCTCTTGTTGTTAGCACTTATTATGATTTCTCCAGTAACATACTGTACGGTACACAACTGTTAGTTATATGTGAATTTGATATAGACAATGCAAACATGAGCATCTGATTTTGATTTTGTTTCCCCTCTATTTTCTTTACTCTTTGTAATTTCTTTAATTTGTGATTAATACAATACAATTCAAATGTAAGTCAACACACCCCTATGAAAATAAGTGATATTACCTCATTTAGTGTTTTCATTCCATCTATGGATATTTATTATTATAAACATTATATTATTTATTATTATTTATTTAATTTCAGCATGTTTTTTGACTCAATGTGTGTCTTATTTATTGGTTTAAATCTCTTTTGGTCTGTGAATATTTGGATGAGTGTGTGTTGTAGAGTCAGAGCCTTCTTGTCAAACAGCCAGTAAATATACCTGACAAGACTTCTATTTTTATACATGCAACCTTCACTGTGTTTGTCTGTGTACATCTTTTTTCAAAATGACTCTGCCATGGTACAAGGCAACAGGCAAACAGGACACACAGACGGAAATATGCAGCCATGCAGAGAAACTGACATATGGAGAGTACCAGTCATCTATTAGACATGCCCAGCAAAGTGAATGAATAAATAGCTCTTTAATTCCCTCGAACATCAGGATAAATTGTTATATAATCTGAGATGTGGAAGTATGCTTCATAATCCTTGGCTTGGGCCTTTGCCTCAACCTCTCAGGGGCAACAGTCTCTCGCTGAGATGAACAAAACACCTCACCTATAAACCTGACCTTGGGCGAACCACATTTTTATGCAAGCGAAAAAAAACTCAGCCGGCTTATAGACATCGCTGCTGGTTAAAAACCAAGGAGGAGCTGCTTCACTGTAAATAAACCAAATCCACTTCCAGTTCGTAAGAAGTTGACTGGATGCTTTCTGACGGTTGCTGATGATTTATGTACGGGGTGCACAGTGTTTAAGGAGGGGAGCTGTCACATTAGCACTGGGACTGTGTCAGCACTGTCTCAGCCAGACAGTGAGACACAGAGACAGACAGAGAAATGGACAGGGAGGCAGACAGGCAGGTGAGAAAAGGGTGGGCCGATAGCTAGACAGAGAAATCCAGATATGTGATAAACATGTCACTGAATCCACCTTAGTGGAAAACCTCATCTAGCTTAAGCAGCTTACCATCCCATGCCATTAAAATCAGAGAAGCATTTTTATGTTGATATGCCGATGCTCAAGATGCAATCTGTCGTTACTGCTACAGCCGATAAAATCAGAGTAAGCTCTTGGTCACTTGAGGTCTGAAGTGAGATTATGCTCCTTTGCTGTCCTGCTTCTATCCAGGGGGGCAGCTCTTTATCATCTTCACCCTGATGCAGGATGGAGAGACCACACCCACACAGGCCTTGTGCAAACAGACACAAACTGTATCCTTAAAAAACAGACCAGGCTGTACAAAGCAAACGGACACACCTGCTGCTTCACAAGCATACAAAGCAGGATAGAGCTGGATGAGTCAGTACAGAAAATAAATCCTAAAGCCTCGCCCAATTACCCTTTTTGGTGCCCAAACTCATCTAAATTTAGTTTGGATTATTTTGGTATTGAAATATAAACCACTCTATATCTGCCCTGTCTCGCAAAGCAGGATTACTGAAGTTAGCTGGATAACCAGGCTGGCTGAAAACAGAGCTGTTCTGGGTTTTGTTTGGTGTCCTGTCCGGTAATCCTGCTATCCGGGCCAACAGGCCAATAACACCACCTCAATTTGGGAGACATAACAACAGTAAACACAATATTTTACAACTTTTATCTGATGTCTTGATCATATCAGGTCTTTTATTTTTAATGTTAAGCCTGAGCCTGCATATATTTTCCTTTTGCATTAAAACAGCTTGCAAAAACAAATGTTTGCATACAACCAATGCAGTTTGCATGATTTTCTGTGGTTTCCTCACCATTTTAACTACAGTCAAATATGTGCTTTTATACATTTTACATGAATGCTGCAATGTGTGTTTCTATGAGCTAAAATGGAGCTTGGTCCATATCTGCTACAGCCATATGCTGATTCACCTCCAATGGTGCCACAGTGCAACATGTCACAGTGGATATTGGATGGCCTTTACACCCATTGCTAATGCTTCACATGAGGCAGACGTGTTTAGAGGGGGCAAATCCAAGCAAAGCCTGACAGAAGGCACTGCACTATACACCCACACCCCCCATTCCCTGATACATATTGTATAGTGTAAGTGATAGATAAATGGATAAAAACTGTTCTGAGAAAGAGACAGTCCGTTTGATACATGTTGGCTAGCATTGGGGTTTAAACAGAATGCTTATCACAAAGACAGAATGAGACAAAAAGAGAGACACACAGACAAAGCAAAAAGTGGGCAACCAAACTTGGAGTGCCTTGTGACTAATGTTAATAATAGTTATGAGTTCTGTTAACTAACTTGATGCCATCATTTGTGCATCTGCATACATAGGCCTTCAGTACACTATTCATTATGCAATGTGTGTTCATATACCAGGAGAGACATCATGCTGATTCTCTGAACTAAACAGCATGTCTCCCTGCCCAGAAACATGAACACGCCCTCACACAGGACAGCATGTGAACCACAGCACCAAGGGGTGAGGTATCAAAGGCTAAGCGTTAGTTATTAACCTGATACATCAATTAACGATGCAGAGTCATGCTTCTCTTACTGTCACTCACTATGCATGCACACACACACACACACACACACACCGAAAATGAAACAAGCGTCCAGTTGTTCCAAAGCAATAGCCTTTTGTGTGCTGTTTTGGCACAATGGCCACAGAAATGTCCTGTCTGACCTGACAAACATGAACATGGACTGTCTCTCCATCACACACACACAATTCATCTGCACATTACCCTATTCGTGTTGTCATGCATCATGTCTCACCATATGTCTCTTTGAAAGGCGGCACCGTGACATCCTGCAGAGTCTCCGTCCAGCCTTCCTCCTCCGCCTGACTACGGGACAGGGCGCCCGGGGGACCGCCGCCCCCTCCGGACCCCCCACGGTGTCCACTGCCCTCCTTATCGCCCCGTTTCTGGTGGTGGTGGTGGTGGTGGTGTTGCGGCTGCTGCTGGTCCTCCTCACCCACCTCGGCTATGTAGTTGTCGGAGTCGGAGTCCCCGGAGGTGCTGTAGAAGGGATTGTCGCTGCTGTCATCCCCGGACTCCCCGAACACATCGTCGGATATCTGCAGGCTCTCGTACCGGGAGCGGGCCGCTTCCAGGAGAGACAGCGCCTTCCGCCCGCACTCCGCCATCTCTCTCTGTATTGATGCTCCCCTTCTCTCTCTCTTCCTCCCTTTCTCTCACCCTTCCACTACAGCAGCATGCAACTGTCACGATGTTGCAAGAGCTTTACCGTGACCGCTGCACCGTCCCCTAACCCCGGTATGAATATGGTCCTGCCTGCTCGCCGGGCTTGGATGAGGAGCCCGGTGTTCAGAAAGCGTGCGGATCCCGGGAGCGCTGTCCGCTTCAAGGGTACTGAAATATTTCCGCCTCCTTGCTCTGCCTATACAGCGCTGCGCACTGGGCACAATTATCGATAGTAGTGGCACAGCATCCGGGTTGAGAGACCAGTGATTTCCCTACAAATACAGCAAATAGAGAGAGTAGTGGCTGCCGCTGCATCACCTGACTCCTCAGCCCTGCCCTGTCGTCCAATAAGATGCATTTTCTCATAAGAAATTACAGGAGGATGGTGCTGATGGAGATAAGATGTGGAACAATTATGATTATTAATAGTGAGCCAATAATACATCAAATGCATGACAATATGTATGAAATAGCTAATATTTTTCATCATGTAATACTGGCCATAAATATCAAAAAACATGTTTAGTAACCTAATGATTTATTCATTTATTTCTTATTTTGTCTTTCTGTATGACATGTATTTATTTCATTAAAAAAATAAAAAAATATTGTTCGTTAATTAAACGTGTTAACTGTTTAGACTACATGGCATAACCTCTGGTAGATTGCATTTACTGGTCATGTGTTGACTTTGATTTAATGATGTCAAATACAGTAAAATCAGTCCAAATGATAGCGCGTCAACCATGGCGTCAACGTGTAGCCTGCTTTCTAAAAAATAGAAAGCCGATAGCAACATGTAAGCCAGCATTGAACTCATTATCCATTTAATGAAGTAACTTGTATTGTATTTATTTAATATTTTGTTAACTTTTTTATGGTGAGTGAGAACAGGGTAATAAGCATGAACCTCGCCTCGCCTCAGTGTACCCCGTCTGGCCTCCAGAGGGCGCTATGGCGTCAGTGGTCCTCCAGACTCTTCTTCGTTGGTGCACTTGCCATGTTTGCGGAAGCTTGTTTCTAGCAGCTAGCTGGAGGCTTCTTACATTTACACTTTATGCTGTAGCTGTATTTTATAATCAAATATGAATCTACCAAAGGGACCAGATTCGCTGTGCTTCGATAAGGATGTTTTTATGAAGGTAAGAAAAAACGGGACGTTTGTTAACACTATATAAAGCTTATGTTGTTAAACTAGCTAGCATTAGCTAGTTGAATGTTCATACTGGATGCTGCTTATCTTCCTTAAACATGTATTATTTCTTTATGAATACATAATACCTAATACTGTTTGTACATGTTTGGTACACATTCACGATCCTAGCTAATGTTGTTAATGTCGGACATGTAAAACGTTACCCTTACAGAACATGAGCTATCACAGCAAATGACGTGTTTCATGAATACAAATGTGTTCATTCAGTATCAGGTGCCTACATTTGGATTTTTGGTCCGTCATTCTGTAGCTAAAGTCGACTTTCTCTCCATTAGTAATGCTCGTTGTTCCATGCATGACTGGCTGCTTTTATATAAACCTTGTATTAACCTGTGCACGACTGCTCTGTCTGGTGTTACTCCCTGCAGGATGACTTTGATGTGGACCAGTTTGTGGCGGAGTGTCGGAAGCAGGTCCAGATGGAGGAGATGAGGGAGGACCTGGAGCTCTACTACAAGCTGCTGAAAACAGCCATGGTGGAGCTCATTAATAAGGACTATGCCGACTTTGTTAACCTCTCCACCAACCTGGTCAGTAATTAATTTGGTTGTACATTTTGGACCTTGCAATCAGCAGCTTGTAGTCAACACTAAACAAAAAAGGCAATTCAGTTAGGTGTCTATCAATAAATATTATCTATATGATGTCCAAGTGACAAGCTTTATCTTAAATATAAACTGTCATGATTTTTGTTCAGATGTTTTTTTTCTGGAGCCTAACCTACACATTCAAAGAATGCATTTCTTAGTTTGCTTTTCTTGTACATCTATATTTGAAGTGGTGTTTTGTTTTAAACTGAAAATAATTATGCTGAAATGATCTTAAAAGAATATCTCTTGATTGTTAACATGTTTGTTTTCTTATCTATCAATATCAGTATCAGCCTCAAAATATGGGGTCTTATAATGGTGGTCAAAAAGGAAGCACACCATGCAGTTTTTTGTTTTTTAAGTGAATCTGATAATGTGATAGACAGACCCTAATCTTAGACCTCTGCTTCCCTTGACTCAGGTGGGGATGGACAAAGCCCTCAATCAGCTTTCTGTGCCGTTGGGACAGTTACGAGAGGAGGTTATGGTATGTTTTCGTGTGAAGTTAACTGAAACCTTTGATAAGTCACAGAGTGTTCATGAATGTTTCTTCCTGATGTCTGTTTCAGAGTCTGCGGTCCTGTGTGAGTGAGGTGATCCAGGCTATAGACAACCAGCTAACCAAACAGGAAGATCTGCAGAAAAAGAAGGTTTGGCTCTTCCTCTTCCTGTCTGACATCTTCATCTGATCATATTTAGAGTTCATCATTAAATATACTTTATGATGATTTACCAAACTGTAAACCCAGTGTTGCCTCAACAAATTATTTTTAGTGCAACATGGATTATAATCCTGTTTTAAATTGTTTAAATATTTTCATAACCTGGCAATATCCCATCCATCAGGTGTGTGTATTGAGGCTGATTCAGGTGGTGCGCTCGGTGGAGAAAATTGAGAAGATCCTCAACTCGCAGAACTCCAAGGAATCCGGCTCCCTGGAAATCAGCAGGTAGGACACTCATCTATGCTCAAAACCACTGGTATCACTGAGATAACCGATTTGAATGTGGGCAGGTTATTAAACAAGTTATAAGAGTTTCAATTTATGCATCTCTATATCACCTAGCCATATGCCAGAGGTTCAAATAGTATTAGCTATTTGCTGCAGGAACGTAGCACTCAGCCATTGTGTCTTAACTGTTTCTCTTTGCCTCTGTTCAGTCCCTTGTTAGCAGGCCAGGTCCTGGAGAGGATTGCTACAGAATTCAACCAGCTGCAGTTCCATGCTGTACAGAGCAAAGGCATGCCCCTACTGGACAAAGTCAGACCTGTAAGTGTTAACGTCAAACAGCTAAAGAAAAAGGTGCAGTCTTTCTGTTTAAGGGCAGACGATATTTCCCAAATATTTGATCCTAGTTTTCACTTTTATACAGATGTTTGCTGGAATATACTGTGTTTGATTCTTGGCTGTGTCCTCTTTAGCGTATCGCAGGGATCACCTCCATGCTGCAGCAGTCTCTGGAGGGCGTGCTGATCGAGGGTCTGCAAACATCCAACCTGGACATGGTGTGTCACTGCCTGAGAACGTACGCCACCATAGACAAGACTCGAGATGCTGAAGCCCTGGTGGGACAGGTGTTGGTCAAGCCATACATGGACCAGGTAAACATACAACACATGTTTCAATATACTGTAGAGCCAAGGGAGTTTGTACTTTAAAATAACAGATATGTTTAACAGAATATCCTCTCCTCTCTTTTCCTTATTTTAGGTAATAGTGGAAGAGGTGGTGAAGTCCAGTCCGAATGGTCTCCATTTGATGTACTCTAGACTGTTGGAGTTTGTTCCTCATCACTGCAGACTGCTCAGAGAGGTGACTGGAGGAGCCAGATCCAGGTATTGCTGTTATCATGGAGGCAAATTAATTCAAAGCATGCATAGATCAAGCAACTCTTTGTGGTTTATTCCATCTTCATCCATATTTGTGCAAAATTAAAGTGGACCTATCATGCTATATTTAAATGATATATTGTAGGGCCATACCTATATAAGGTATATTTATACGTTTCTGTTTTCAAAATACCAAACAGATCATGCATTTTAGCCATGCCTCATTTCGCTCTATGTGCTGTTTGCTGTCTATGGGTCTGATTCTGCTGACCACGCCCCCCTGCAGGAGAGGGGAGACGTGCTCTGATCAGCTGCTGGACTGTCAGAAGAGGGGGAGAAAAAGAGATCTCCGTCTTCCGTGTTTTATTATATAGAGTCGTTATTCATTTGTTTTAAAGACCTTTGACCGGCACTTTTCTAATTTTGTCCGGAAGATTTAAACTTTAACGGACATCTTGACCGGCGAAACAAACTGAAACTGAAACTGAAACTGAAACTCTGCCGCACGGTCCCCTCGTTCCTTGGAAGAGGCGGAGAGGTGGGTGTTTGTCATCTGCTGGTGGACTAACCGGAGAGAATTACAGTGCTTGCCTCGACGGGGGGGGATTGCATTGAATTAAAGCAGCGGGAGCAAACGCTTGCCTCGGGGAGGGAGAAAGAAAGCCACAGCGGAGAATAAACAGAAGGGTAACCATGGTAACTATAGGCGGGAAGTCTTCTTCGCTGCTTTTGTGGCAGACTACAGCGCCACTTACAGGCCTGGCATATGTACTACAGCGTCTCCAGCGCTTTCGAGCGGCAATGGCCGGCCGTGGCCCAACCCCACATTCCCCTGATAGGTGGAGAGTTGGCCCAATAGCCGTAGCGCCACCGTCCTGACGTCAGGACAGTGTTCAAATCTGGATCAGTTTTTATCAGATCCGTTGCAGCCCCTTTTTTAGAGATTTGGGTATGGAGGAAAATAGAGAGGGTTGTGTTTTCTGACACTTGGTGAGTTCCCTGGAACACCAGGGACACATATTCATGTATAAAAGACGTACAAAAGTGCATTTTGCATGATAGGTCCCCTTTAAGATACCTTTTTTTTTTACATGGCAATTTTTTATTAAAATGCCAACGGTTGTTTTTTTTCCAAAATGTTGAGACCATAATCCTCTCTCCTTCCTGCAGCGGTCAGACTATACAACCAGCACAGCCCCTAGTTGACCCACACACACACACACACACACACACACACACACACACACACACACACACACACACACACACACACACACACACACACACACACACACACAGACTATCACCCCTTGCTGCTAAATACCAACCACCTATGTGCAATATGTGCTAGATGTGCAATATATATAGATGCCGTTAATAACTGTGTAATATATACCTGGCTGCTAAATCCTAAGAACTGTTACAGGATGTGTATTTTTTTTAAATTATGTAACTTTTTATTTTTTATTATATCATAACTTAGTACTTTTTTTTAATGCATGTCACATATTTAACATATTGGGGAAATGTACAAAGGGAGTAAGCAAAGGATCCAAAGAGCACCTGTCTGGGATCACCACAAAGACCCAGCAGCTCCATTGTCCTCAAAATGTTTGTTGTGCTTTGAAATCCTCTTGCTCCTATTAGAAAAGCAAATCATCTGCTTTCATGTGTGGAACTGTTGCATTCAGTTTATTGGCTGCTCACATTTCTATTTGTAGCACCATAGCAGTCTTTATGATGCTTCAGTCAGTATTAGATATTACTTTAGAATAGATTACTTGGGCGTTTTGGTTCATTTGTATTCTGTATTCTTATATTTATATAATTACAATACGTAATTGACTTAATATGTTTAAGCAAATACTAATCCTACATTCTGCACATAAAATGAAACCGTAGTGTCGAAAGTAGATGATATTTCATACTTTATAATGTGCTGATGTTCCCTCTCTCCTCAGTGACAAATCTGTCGTAGTGCCAGGTTATGATTTCCTGGTGAACTCTGTGTGGCCTGAGATGATCAAAGGGATAGAGGAGAGATTGTCCTACCTCTTCAACCCTGGAAACCCCGAAATATTCTTTGAGGTACAGACACAGGGACACGATTTGCATGCACAAACATTCACTTCTGTGTGGCATGATTCAGTGTTGAGTAGCGTCACCTATGTGTGTTTTCTGTTGTCCTTTTTATTTTCTAGCGTTACAGCGAGAGTATGGAGTTTGTGCGGAGGTTTGAGCGTCAGTGCAGCTCACAGGCCAGTGTGAAGAGACTGAGAGTTCACCCCTCATACACCACCTTCCAGAACAAATGGAACCTGCCTGTCTACTTTCAACTAAGGTGAATTATTAATATGATCTATACATACTACAGCCTATAGGTCACACAGGGTACACTACAGCCAGTTATATCTCCTTTAAGAGCACATTTGTATGCTTCACCTAACATCATATTGGACTTCACATTTCTATACATCCTTTGAAATTGAAAGCTGTTCGGATTTGTTAAGAGCTTTACAAATACTAATTGTAGGGAATAGGTTGCTAATATCGGAAATACCGTTATGTCCTTTCTTGTAAAAGTTATAAAAGAAGATCAATGTATTTCTTATTTTTGGCTGCCCATATTCTTTTTTAGAAGTGCTAGTCAGATGTTCATATGTGATATTAGATCAACGGAGGCTGTGTCTGACCATTACATGTAACTATTTGTATCTGACAATCAATATGTATAGCATTTTGTTATGTAAAACTATTTCTTCAAGCTATTTTGGTTTAGAAAGAAACTCAAACATAATCAAAACCTTAGCTTACATTCTTTTTACTAGCAGGCCGTGGATAATATGTGTGTTTTGATCTTAATGTAAACCCTTCAACTTAAACGAAAGTAGTCAGACGTTGGGAGGACGGGTGTATTTTCTGCGCAGCATGCTTTTTGAAGAACCCAAGAGACAAGCTGTGATTAAAATGGCAGCCTGCCAGCATTTTTTGTGGAAAAACACAAGATGGCAGACGATAAAGAATGCCTATTGTGATAGAAATGTGAAAAAATATCTTCTGGGTTTGAGTTTCCTAAAGAATGATGATAAGAAGCTAAATGTAAACTCCAGATGTGTCAGCTTATTATAAAAACATTTCCCATAAACATGACACTGGACCTTGACTGAATGGCTATTGATTCGTATGAAAAAGTAGAGAAATGTCCACTGTGTCCACCGCCCCCGCACACTCACACTCACACTCACACTCACACTCACACTCACACTCACACTCACACTCACACTCACTGTAAAGATTAGGCCTCTTTCACAACACAAACCTGCACTGTTCAGCTTTTCCGGAAAGTCAATTTCTTCTAACAGTGTTGTTACATGTCATGAACACTTGCACGTCAGAGCTGATAAATGAAATAAGCCGATAGCACATTGATTGTTTTGTCTCACGGTTTTCCAGGTACAAGGAAATTGCTGGAAGTCTAGAGAACGCCATCAGTGATGGACTTGAGGCTGCACCAGGTAGGAATAATTCTCTGTCATGAATGCCCGTGTGTAGCTGATACTCTCCCTGCAGTCACTTATCTGTGTGTGTGTTCATGCGCAGCTGGCAGTGCCTTCCACCTGCAGGTGTCGGAGGTGTTGTGGTCGTGCCTGATGAGATGTTGGTCAGACAAAGTCTACCTGTCACCTCTGGCACATCGCTTCTGGAAGCTCACGCTGCAGCTCTACGCACGATATGCCAAGTTTCTTGACGAGGTAACCTTAAAAAAGCGTGGAGTAATTCCAAAAGAGCAATATGCAAATGAATAGAAATGTTGCTGTCGCTTTCTCTTGTTGCTCATCTTGATCGGTGTGTGCCCAGGTGTTGACTAAGACTCCAACGCCTGAGTTACCTAAAGAGCCGACCAGGCCTCTGCCCAGCTCCGCCTCCTCCACCTCCAGCCGGACGTCGGGGGGGAGTGAGAGCGGGAGTCCTGCCTCTCTGTCCACCAAACAGCTGGTCTACATAGCAGCTGACATCCAGAAGCTGCAGGAACAGGTGCACACACACAAACTAAATACATAGATAACTCGAGTGATCCTTTTTTTCTTAATTTACTTAATTGCTTCCACACTGACAGCTTGCTTGATTTTCTCTCAGATACCAGAGTTGTCAGAGACGATCAGAAAACGGTTAGAAGCGATTGGATTCAAAAACTTTGCTGTGGTGGAAGGTGAGCTAAAAGTCATTTTGGCTTTTTTAATAGCGTTGCCGTGTTGGCTTGATCTTACAATGTTTTGTCAGTACATGAGAATGGAGGAGGATTTCATGACACTAATATTTGAAGGCATTAGTTTTTCAAAATTAAAATAAGACTTCAGTCCAACAGAAGTTTTCATAATCTTACAGAACACATCATACTAATTAAGCCTATAAGTAAACATTTTTTGATTTGAATATTTGCTTTCCCGTACATCAAATTATTGCATTTTATCTGCTGTTCTTATTTATTTAAAAAATGCTGATGTTCACTGACATTTAAAAGTGTATCCATTCAGTCCCCTTTAGGCTTTAGATCATGACATCTCCAAACACAACATGTCAGTCACTCATTGAATCACTCCTTGGCTCTTGGCTTTAGCACCAGGGTAACTCGGACCATGTTTGCACTTCTCCTTTCTGTCAGACGCCTTAATGGATTCCAAGACTTGCCTGTCCAGTAGCATTCCCACTTTAAATATCAAGATGACCCAGCATCTGACTGAACGCAGTTGCCGCTTCCTGAAGAGTGCCTCTGAGGTCCCAAGACTGTACCGCAGGACTAATAAGGTCAGTGAAGCTGCAAACACGCACACCAACATGTTTCTCATAGATTTCCTCATGTAACATTCCCTCATGGAGAAATCTTTTGGATTGGGATCAACAGTTCAGCTTCAAAAGCTAATGGACTTGGAACTGTGGCATTTACTTATTTTATTTTCCTTTTGACCCTATAAAAAGGAACTTTCACTAAAAATCCTAATCAATCAACATTCTCTGTGACAAAATCCACACCATTTGGGAATCAGTAGCTCAGAGAGGAGAAAACATTGAATAAGGTTTTATTTACACTTTGAATTGCCTTGTGTTGAAAGGTGCTATATAAATAAACTTGCCTTGCCACTGAACCTGATCTAAGTCCTTGAAGGATCTGTGAATGCTGAATCTTTATTCATATTTTCCATCAATGTCATCTGACAACTGTAAGGCTCGACAGTCACATTGTACACTCATTGTAGCCTGAAACAAAAGTTTACAGAGAAAAATACAAATCTCTAGCTGTTGAGATAGAAAGCGATGGATATGACACAAAACTCATCTTGATAACTGCAACATGAGAAAAATACTTTAAATTCAGCAGTCGTTAAGTCCATAAAAATTGTAATATTTACTACTTTACGTGTTGTCTAGGATGTGCCGGTGCGTGCATCCGCCTACATGGACAACGCCTTGCGGCCGTTAGTTCAGTTACTGACTGACTCAACAGGGCTGGTCCACCAATCTACAGCAAAAGAGTGGCTGCGAGTGGCACTGTCTGACTGCACACAGAGGTAAGACACACACCTGCAAACATAAATACGCACCCAGATATTATTACATTACCAGCTTTGAAAGGGCCTGTGCCGATAATGTCTACAGAATTAGTTATTACATTTTATATAAATGAAGGACGATTTCTTTCTTTCTTGAGAGTTGTTTTGCTTGCCTTTTTAATAAGACTTTCCAGCTGCAACCAACACATTTACCCGCTTTAATTTCCCTACGTCTTGTATTCAGGTACTATGAGACCATCTCTGAGGTTCTGAGCTCAGTGAGGAAGATGGAGGAGAGTCTGAAGCGCTTAAAGCAAGCCAGAAAGGGTGCAAGCATGACCTCCACAGCAGGAGCCAACGGTGGACCCACAGACGACAGCAAGATCCGACTACAACTGGCACTGGATGTGGAATACCTGGGGGAACAGGTAGGCTGCGGGTGGAGAGACAAAATAAACATGATACAAACAATTCACATTTATCTGGTAACAAACGTATACTTTAAACAAATGTTATTGAAGTTAGAAATTGCACCAAGTTCTGTTAAAAACTCATCTGAAATGTTTCTGATTGTTTTCTCTTCTCAGATCGAGAAGATGGGTTTTCAGCCAAGTGACATCTCCATGTTCACCACTCTGATGGACCTGGTGAAAGAGGCCCGAGAGCTCGCTGAGCAGTAAAATGTTCACTCCATAATAACTGAAACCCAATAACATGCTGCTGTTCCTCAACACTAATGAAGGAAAAACAATATGTGTCACAGTCTAGACTAGAGTCAAAGTGTGGTTACAGTTTGTGATGAGATGCCACAAAGAACGTGTGACAAGAACTGACATTATGGGGATATTTGTGTACAAACAAATCTGAATGCAGACTTTAAAGCCACAGAGCACAAACATTTATCATCAGGAATCTGCCCGATGTGCGCTAGTTGTTGTTGGAAACCTAAAAAAAACGTCATCATTGGTTCTGCCGTAGTCAATGTGAATAAAAGGGACTGCATTGTATATTAAATGTTTTTATAGAAAATGCCTGATCCTGGTGATATGCACTGCTCTTTGGAAAGTCATTGTACATGTTGGGTCAGAATATTGCAAGAGTCTTAAGTCTAAGTTGTAAAGAGAGAATGTTAATCAATATTTATATAATTTCTGCTACTTGGTGAAGGATGCATCTCAAATAAGGAAGTCTGTTAGTGTGTAATATTTACATTTTTGTTAAAATCAAAGTTATATAATATAATTAACTTGGGAATAAAATTAAGAACTTCGGAGACCGTTTTGAATGTGCATGTTTTGATATAAAAGACGTTAGCTAGCTACTGGATTGCATTGCTTACATATTTTTCCCTCAGCACTGCTAACATGCGCTACAGGTTGATGAAAAGAAAATCAAATAAATACAAGTTCAACTTTGATGTTGGGAATACAAAATGTTGGCCTTGAGTAACTGCTTTTAGTATTTGGGCCTCAAAAGTTGCTTTCCTGTCACCATCCAGTAATCCTAATATGCCTATTTCCATATTATTTCACACTTAAAATTATGTTTCTATTCATAATTTTCTAATATTTATGAGTAGGAAGAAAAGTTTAAAAAGGAAAGTATATTGCTTTTACAATGTCAACATTTATTACATTGTATCTTCAAAAATGTGTGACAGATTTTCTCATTTGCAAATGGCTATATTGATCAAATACAGATGTGGGGTAGTACACTACTCTTAATGTTTACATGACACTCAGTCTACACTGTTTTTTAGTTTTGTCAGCATGTGATGGTTTGTTTTGGTATTAGTCTTTTTCTTTTGGTAAGGTTTAAAGCTACATTAAAGTGGACCTATCATGCTATATTTGAATAATATAGTATAGGACCAAGGAATAAGGCATATTTATACTTTTTTTTTTTCAAAATACCAAACAGATCATGCCTTTTAGCCATGCCTCATTTTGCTCAATTTGAAATTTTTTAGCTCTGTTTTTGCAAGGGCAGATTCTGTGAGAACAGCACCATCTACAGGCCTGGCATATGTACTACAGCGTCTCCAGCGCTTTCGAACGGCAATGGCCGTGGCTGTCTCCTCCTGATTGGTGGAGTTGGCCCAATAGCCGTAGCGCCACCGTCCTGACGTCAGGACAGTGTTCAAATCTGGATCAGTTTTTATCAGATCCGTTGCAGCCCCTTTTTTAGAGATTTGGGTATGGAGGAAAATAGAGAGGGTTGTGTTTTCTGACACTTGGTGAGTTCCCTGGAACACCGGGGACACATATTCATGTATAAAAGATGTACAAAAGTGCATTTTGCATGATAGGTCCCCTTTAAGTAGGTATTTATGCATTTATTCCAGTAAATATGAGAGGCGGGACGAGAAATCATTACTACTGTAGATATATCATCTGAAAAGCTAGATAAGTTGTTCAACAGTAGTTTTATTAGTCTGCTTATCATCCTAATTTTCACACGGTCAACAACACTGTAGAGTAATCATTAACCGGAAAGTGAAATGACCTTTTGAGCAGCTTTCCTTGCAGTCCAGTTTAGTTGGCTCATAAGGTTGGACAGTAATTTAAAGCACTGAACACAACTTTGGATACAAATGTTTTATTTCAGCAATCACAAATCGTAACAAAACAAAAATAAACTCTTAGTTACAATATACAACGTATTAGTCGTTCGTCATGGAGAATTGTGGTTACTGCACCTACCTACTGTACAGAACTCTGCTATAATACATTTGACTAAAAAAAACAAATTAGCATTTTAACAGGCTGCTTGAAAACAAGTTAAAGTAACAGCTTTTCATAAATACTGAGAGCTAGGTTGAGAGGAATAACACTGTTGAATTATATATTACACATTATTCATGTATGTAAATGTGTTCTAAATGAGTTAAAGTACTATTTAATTTCACAGTGTAGGGTTGACGATCTTGCCCATTAGGAGGACGGCTCTTGAGTCTCCCTCTATGACAGAGAAGAAGAACGGCCGGTTGATGGACAGTTTCAGAGGGACGCCCGCTTCCTGGATCTTATCCTGAAGTTCTGCTCCTTCCTCGGACATCTCAAACGTCACCTTGTTGACCGCCTGGAGGACACAGAGATGTGTTGATGATGCAAACACACACAGTGAGTGTTTCCTTTTTAATAATATGAGAAGATCATGTAGTTTACCTGATCTATAGTAAAGGGTTGGATGTTGCTGAGTCTGGTGAACTCCGCCTCGGAGCCCAGCAGCTTGGCCCCGACTATCGGAGACATCTTGTTCAGCAGGTCACGGAGGTCATTCACAGAGGACATGGAGAACTTTGGGAGGGACAGCTCCAACAGACTGTGGGGATAGAGATGCTACGTTTTAAAATCTTTGGACTGAAATGGGAGTGTACGTGACTCTCTCGTCCCTTTATAAATCTTAACCTTTATTTGCTATTGATTGAGTATTGATTAACTGATAGACGGTTACTTGCTATGTTTTTGTTGTTGTTTTTAACTTTTTAAGCCAATATAATTGCATATGCTCCATAACCCGGAACTATATTATTACAATCATGGAAAAAAATGTTTTCGTTATCTTAAAAACTAGTAATTGATAATGATGGAAAAAATATATATGTTTGTACCTCACTTTATTTATTAAATACATTTAATATTTTTTTTACAACTCTTTTAGTGAAATTATGATATATGTTCTCACTTTTATTTAATTTTTCTGTTCTAGACTTTTTCCACTTCTCTGATTCTGAAACTGCAATATTTAACTAATACACAATTATGATGCAATAAGTTGTAATTCCACAAAATCACCATAAAATTATGAAATAAGCTATTCAACACAAGTGAAATTTTGAAATGCTATATCCAAGTGGAAGTCTCATGACGTTGATGACATTAAAAAATAATGTATAATGAAAATGAAACACCAGAGATGCTTCAGATTTCTGGTCAATCAGATGGAATACATCTGGATTTGACGTTTTCTTTTTAAAAGGACAACACTCACCCCTCCTGGAGGCTCTCCTGCCAGACGGGGATGACTGTGAGCAGCTTTGACTCAATGTCCTTCATGTTGGCTCCTTCATGAGGCAGGACCAACAACATGTGGGAGCGCTTGCTCAGAGACAGCTTCACAACCGTGCACCGCCGTACCTTCATGGTATCAAAGGACAATTATTACGGTTGAATACTCATCCAAGTCCTTTTTATATTTTAAATACAAAAATGAACCAACATAAAGCACGACAAAGTCCCTTGAATGAAGTTTTACCTTATCATTGTGGTAGTGGTACTGACCCGTGTGGGTCATCAGGGGAGTCATCACTGTGGTTGTTTCATCCACATAAAACTCCTGCAGGGAGGTCTTCTCTGGCTGAAAAGCTGTCCTCCAGTTGCCTGAACAGACACAACCAAAGAACACAATCAGGTACTGCAAGGTGGTGCAGGTTGGGGTAAGGGTTAGAAGATAAGAACAGCAGATACATACCTTGGAAGTTGAAGGAAGAAACAAACAGCAGGTCACTGCTGGAGTTCAGATCTTTGAAAATGCCCTTCACCTTCCCATTTGACGTCTTCTCCAGGAAGCTGTTCACCAGATGCTCGGCCTGCTGTGGATTCGAGAAGTCCACGCCGCGGGTGAACGATGTGTCAGAGAAATCCTGTGTGCCTTGAATAAAGTCCTCTGACAGTTGAGCATCCTGGCGAGAGAAGGTCCAGACCTGGGTGGTGATTTCATCTTTTGGCCCGTCGTCCACCAGAGAGTTAATGCCCTGCAGGGTCTTGAGGAGCTCGTGTCCATCCACCAAGGACACACAGTCCTCCCTGTCGGTTCCTCTGCGCAGGCTTAGTAGGTCCTGGAAGGAAAGGAGTGAATTTAGAAAGACTTACTTCTCTGAGTGAAAGTACAACACCAGATCAGAAAAATTGTTACGGAAAAAAGCAGGATCTGCATTCCTTGAACGTCTTTGGTCTATCTCTACAAAAACAAATCAAAATCAAAGACCTGGTATGGCATCGCTGTCTTCGTGGAGACCCCCAGGTAGAAGGTGACGAGGGAACCAAAGGTGTTGACCGGAGACAGGAGAATGTTGGTGCCTGGCTGCTGCCTGCTGAGAGCCTCGTACAACCTCAGGCCCAGAGTGTTCAGCAGCTGTGCCAGGACCGCCGTCTTCGTTGTGATGTTATGCCTCTGGGCGTCCACCTCCAACTGGTCCCTGTTGTCTGGTGTCATGACTTCTATATCAAGGGGGGCCACAGGAACCGTGTGCAGAGGCTTGGACGTCTCGGTCTGCAGGGTCTCGCAGCTGACATTAGCGGCAGCAAAGAGGGAGAAGGGGTGGACGTAGACACGGTTGGCTTGACTTCCTGAGAGGTAGCAGCAGAGCAGGAGGGCTGTGAGAAGCGACTGCATTTTCCCTTTTGATGATAGTCACCTTACAATGGATTCTTCTGTGGGAGACAGATGTTTTTAGTAAGCAATGAATTACCTTGAGTATGTCTTTTGCCTCCTGAGTCTAAGTGCGCATTTCGTCTGAAATCTGGCTGGATCTGGTTTTTTGTCTCTGACAGGATTGGCTGGCAGGAACATTGGACATAGAGCGGCATGTCAATGATGGATTGATTTCTCTTTGTGTGTCCTCTCCTGCTGCCCAATGAATGAGAGCAGGCATTACCCTCTGCAACAGAGGTCGCATAGATAATGAAGACGCATCTACGTTGCTGTGTGCAAATTTGTGTGTGTTCACTGACTAAAATAAGATGGATGTTTCATTTGGAAATTGTTTTCTTTCTTTAAATCCTTGTATCGCAGCGTTTCGATCTGGGACGCCAACTGAGCGTGTACATTTAGTCATTTAATCCAAACTGTTACCATACACGAAACAGTGGGCAATATTATTTGGACATTTTAAATGATATTAACGGTACAAATAAACACATCTAGAATGAATGGATTCAGGTTAGAAAATAAATACATTTTTAGAACATTTCTGACAAGTTCATTGTGATATTTCACACTCTTAAAAGTTTTTAATAGTCTTTTTGTTTAGGGAGTGCCTAACAAATGAGACTAAACCATGTTTTAAATACTACAGTTGGCCATCTAAGCTAAACTGACAACTTTCGCTCCTTTATTGTGAACATTTTTTGTGTTAAGCTACAATGTAGGAGAGTAGCTTGGGTGAAAGCTCTTGTGCAAAAAAAGGACTATCCTGTGAGTTAAACGTGCAAAAATGTGGACTGATGGACTCTTGGAAGGGGTGAACAAACACTAGATTTTCCTCTATTAGGAAATATACAACAGGACATGGCCGTAGTCTCTAATCAATATAACCATTGCACTCAAATGTTCTTATAAGCAACCAGCACACCTGTGTACCCAGTGACTTAATGACAACATGCCTTCATGTTTTCTGCCAAATTCAGAATCTTTGACCACATTATTTCATGCGATCTGATTCATTATAACCTTCAAGTAGCAACTCTACGGAAATTAGTTGCACTTTCTTTTTGTTATGAACTCAAGCAACTCATTGAATAAAACGTTTTGTCCAAGAGAGTTGGACAAAGCCTTTTTAGAACATTATATTTGGGTTTTGTGGAACATAATTGGATTAGTCAAATCAGTTATAGAGTTCCAAACATTGCCCCTCATCTCTGAAGGGTTTGGATATTCACTGCACAATCAAAAGGCACATGAGATAAAAATCAAAGCTTGCTCTTACCGAGTGTGTCTGCTGCTGCTGAGTGAGGTGCTGAATGAGGTCCAGGCTGCTCGGCTCCCTCAATTTAACACAGACCAGCCTCGCTGCTCCCACTCTGGTTACTGATTAACCAAAGCAGCATTGAGTCAGGGGCTCTGCTGTCATGACTTCTACCCCGCTTTGTACTGACGCACTGCTACTGCTATAGAGAAATAGGTCTGACAGAGAGAGACAACACAATGTCCCTCTTCATGTTGACTTAAGGAAGATGATGCAAACTCATCCTGGAGGGGGAGAAAGCAGGGATAAACTTTCCAATAAAGACAGATAGGAAGCACGGGGACAGCCAGGCTTGTTTTTGTTTGAGATTGACTCACGGGGTCAAACACGTCTCAAACATGACTCACTTAAATCTATACAGTACAGGCAAAAGTAGGGCTATGCGATTATGGCAAAAATCATAATCACGATTATTTGGGTCAATAATTGATATCACGATTATTAAAGGAAACCTATCGTGCTATATTTAAATGATATATTGTAGGGCCATACCTATATAAGGTATATTTAATACGTTTCTGTTTTCGAAATACCAAACAGATCATGCATTTTAGCCATGCCTCATTTCGCTCTGTGTGTTGTTTGCTGTCTACGGGTCTGATTTTGTGAGCTGCAGCTGACCACGTCCCCCTGCAGGAGAGGGGAGCCGCTCTGATCAGCTGCTGGGCTGTCAGAAGAGGGGGAGAAAAAGAGATCTCCGTCCTCCGTGTTTTATTATAGCCTATATAGAGTCGTTATTCATTTGTTTTAAAGCTCAATAAATAACAAAGAAGACCTTTGACCGGCACTTTTCTAATTTTGTCCGGAAGATTTAAACTTTAACGGACATTTTGACCGGCGAAAGAAACTGAAACTGAAACTCTGCCGCACGGTCCCCTCGTTCCTCGAAGAGGCGGAGAGGTGGGTGTTTGTCATCTGCTGGTGGACTAACCGGAGAGAATTACAGTGCTTGCCTCGACGGGGAGGGATTGCATTGAATTAAAGCAGCAGAAGGAGCAAACGCTTGCCTCAGGGAGGGAGAAAGAAAGCCACAGCGGAGAATAAACAGAAGGGTAACCATGGTAACCAAGTCTTCTTCGCTGCTTTTGTGGCAGACTACAGCGCCACTTACAGGCCTGGCATATGTACTACAGCGTCTCCAGCGCTTTCGAACGGCAATGGCCGTGGCTGTCTCCTCCTGATTGGTGGAGTTGGCCCAATAGCCGTAGCGCCACCGTCCTGACGTCAGGACAGTGTTCAAATCTGGATCAGTTTTTATCAGATCCGTTGCAGCCCCTTTTTTAGAGATTTGGGTATGGAGGAAAATAGAGAGGGTTGTGTTTTCTGACACTTGGTGAGTTCCCTGGAACACCGGGGACACATATTCATGTATAAAAGACGTACAAAAGTGCATTTTGCATGATAGGTTGGCTTTGAAAAAATCCATTTATTGAACTTTAAAACAAATACAAATAATAATTTGAACAGTATCTTTTTAACTGTTGATTACCCTGAATGTATAATTCAACTGAAAAACCAATACAAAAATAAATAAAATAAATTATACATTTAAAGGTGGGGTAGGTAAGATTGAGAAACCGGCTCGAGATACCCTTTTTGTTATATTCCATGGAATGCTCTTAACATCCCGATAGCAATGAATATCTTAAGTGCTTTGACAAAAAATCTGTGGAAGCCGTAATACTGTAAAAAGCACGACCAATCATTTTAGCCGGCCCGGCTAAAATAACTGGATGGCCTACCTGCCTGTCAGCCTTCCACCTGTGCACAAACTTATCTCGTGCCCTCATTGGTCATGTGCGCGTTCGTGTGTGTTGGAGGAGGGGCTCTGTAAGGAAGTGGCAGATTTTTTCCGGCTGTGTATTTTCAAATTCTAGCACACTCGAGCTGGTTTCTCCAAAATTACCTACCCCACCTTTAAATAAATAATATCAAAATAATAAATACCAATAAACAAGATCAACAAATATTTTGGAGCGCACTTCCCAAAGCTACTAAACATATATAAATATGATAAATACAAATAAATGAGACCAAAATTAATTAGATCAAATATGTTGCAGTGCACTGTCATAACCTAGCAAAGCAAATTAATAGTTTTTTTCGATTATGTTGTTTTTCGTAATTGTGGCAGGCCAAAATCGTAATTGCGATTAAAATACGATTAATTGCACAGCCCTAGGCAAAAGTAGGACATCTTTATTTCCTGTCGAATTATTTTATTCTGCTATCATTCTCTGTAACTCATACTCTTTCTCTAAGTCCAGATAAAATCCATATGAATCTTCTTTCACATTATTTATTCCATGCCATTAGTGCAAATTGCAGAAATGCTTATTTAAACCACAATAGCTGATTGAATCATGACAAATGTTATGGCACCCCACATTTTTTATACTTAATAAGCATCTGCAACTGCGAGAATTGCATCGGATTTGATGCAAATGTACAAATAAAAAAGTACTGAGTCTCTTTATTGTGTGAAGCTGTAAGATAGATAATAAGCCCAACTAGTTCTAGTGAAAGCACCTCTCAGATTTTCTTTATAGGCAGATAAACATGTTTATTAAGCTGATTTCTAATAGATTAGCTAATATTTAGCTAATGTTCAATATTACAAGGCCACATCCGTGACTCAAATAAGGAGAATCCTGCACACACAGCTGATTCAACAGGACAGGGTTCACTGTTTTTTCTCACCAGAAAGAGAAACACTGGTTACGTTTAGTGTTTTACAGCCCCGTTTTATCCTTTTTAAACATTGTAAATTATAACGGGAAGTTAGGAGTCTATAAAGCAAACATGAACGACTTTCTTGTAAGCTGACAATTTGACAGATAAGCATTCAAGGTCACTCAACTAACTGTTCACAATGTCAAACTGATAAAGAACATTCATGCTTCTTCTTCTTCTGTCCTCGTGTCAACCAATGACACATCGCTATGTTGCACGTTCACCACACAGTGTGTTTTTGTGTAGCAACTCATTGATACAAATATTAAGTCCAATATTACCAAACAAATACATAAAGAAAATGTATGACAATGATCAGATTGTTTTTAATAGTTTTTTAGGTTTATACTTGAAGAATAAAATTGATGATCATAGATGAAAGCAAAGTATGACATGGCTGTACATTTTAAAAGGTCATTTATAATATTTGATTTATACAACCACAAATATAATATATAACTAAATTAGATGTTTCATATGTGTTTGAGATACGCCTTATAATTGGATAATATATACAATCCAACCCATAAGAGATGAATACAATGTTGCATTAAACAAATGCAACATGATTTTAAAATATTGACTTTCAGCAAATAACAGGTATTTTTACTTTGATCACCATCTTTGTTCAGCAAGTCAGCATGCTAACAATTGCCAATTCATTAACATTTGCTATTTATACGGCTAAGGCCTTCTGCTGAAATGATTTGCCAGAAAACATATGTTGATAAAGTGAAATTACTTGTGTTACATGTGTGCATGTAAAGGACAGGACAAATATACCTCCTACATTTGCACATACATGTGTCAAAGAGAAAGTCTATATGGCCTGCGCTCCCAAGATTTTATTCAGATGCTGGTTCCTACAGTGAGAACAAAACTGGGTAAAATATTTTTTACCCAGATAGAGATTTTTAATAGTTTGTTTTATTTTGCATATTGACTGGCTAATGTGCCATTTTATTTGTGTTTTACAGCTGTATTTGTCTGCCTGTCTTGTCTGTGCTTTATCTGTTGTAACTTTGTTCATGCTGCCCTTCTTGGCCAGGTCACTCTTGAAAAAGAGATTTTAATCTCAATGAGTCTTTTTACCTGGTTAAATAAAGGATATATATATACATTTCTGTAAAGATTTAACATAAATGAAACAACATCAGTATTTTACTATCATTTTTATTAAAATGTTTTAACATCTCCAGTTACATTAAAAGCAATGCAACTGATGCAGCAGGATTTGAGTTACACACACATGTAAGGTCATACTTGATATTTTATTATCTGCCCATCTGTAAGTTCCCAAAAGCCCTTGTGAAGTTGAAAGGTATTTTTACATTACATTGCATTTAGCTGACACTTTTATCCAAAGCGACTTACAATAAGTGCATTCGACCAAGAAGATACAAACTTGAAGAAAACAGAATCATATAAGTACATCAGGTTTCACAGAGCCAACCCATTTTAAGTGACTATTTCCACTCCATTTCCACACACCCCCCTTTCCAGCAGTGTCATCTCAGGCCACCGTTTCCACTGCTAGAAACTTTTCTTCTTCGCTGATGCCGCTGATGCCTGCCATCTCGCTCTCTGGCGCCACCCAACGACTATTTCTGTTTTAACCAACATTCACAGAAGGTTGGTGACTCAGGTTGGAAAAAGAAAGTCCAAAAGGATCTGTTTGAGTTTGTCGTGCTCCACGGTCTATCACGGAAGGTCAGAGTGATAGTATATCAAACACATTTAAACTGGCTCTATTAAATGTCAGGTCTTTAGCAGGTAAATCATTTTTAATCAATGATTTTATCACCCAGCACAATCTGGATTTTATGTTTTTAACTGAAACTTGGTTAGACCAAAACAACAGCACAGCTGTTCTTATAGAATCAACCCCTCCCAACTTTAGTTTTATGAGTCAGGCAAGACTGAATGGGTGGAGTAGCTATTTTGTTTAATGATTTATTTCAATGCAAGCAGACTATGTATGGAAACTTTGCTTCTTTTGAATATGTGGCCCTTCAGTTGAAATGCTCCTCTCGAGCTCTTTTCCTAAACATCTACAGACCACCCAAATACTGTGCAAGCTTTTTTGATGATTTTACCGAGTTGTTGTCTATAGTGTGTATTGACTTTGACCGTTTAATCATCGTTGGTGATTTTAATATCGATGTTGACAATCCCCAGGACAGAGGGGCTAAAGAACTGTTTTGGGTTATCGACAATTTTGGACTGACTCAGCATGTCAAGGGTCCGACGCACAATAAGGGGCACACTCTGGACTTAATTGTATCAAAGGGTCTGAACATTTCTAAGCTTGTGGTGACTGATGTAGCGCTCTCCGACCATTCCTGTGTTTTCTTTGAGAGCTCTATTACCGTCCATACAATTGCTAAGAAAGAGGTAACCACTAGACGTCACTTAACTGAAAATGCAGAGGAAATGTTTGCTCCGATTTTTAGTCCCTCAATTGCCCATGCTAACTTCTCAGTAAATGAGCTAGTTGATCATTTTAATTCTAAAATAACAAATGTCATGGATACCATTGCTCCCATTAAAACAAAGGAAGTATCTAGCAAGAAAAAATCTCCATGGAGAAAAGCCATGACTGTGAGAACAGCAAAAACTGAGTGCAGCAAAGCTGAACGCAGGTGGAGAAAAACAAGTTTACTTCGAAATATATAAAGAGAGACTCTGCGTCTATAATCAGGAAATAAAAAAGGCACGACAGTCTTTCTTTTCTGACATCATTACCAAAAATAAAAACAACTCACGTACTTTGTTTGCTACCGTCGACAGACTAACAAACCCCCCAGTGTCAGTAGCTTCAGAATTTCTATCCACCAGGGCCTGCAATGAATTTGCCTCCTTCTTCACTGACAAAATTATGAAAATTAGACAGGCAGTCAGTGCCTCTGCATCAGGTACAGCAAATGTTTTGTCCCTGTGTCCACCTAAAGTCAATCCAGACATCATGACACAATTCCGTCTGAAAAATGCTAATGACCTGGAAGACATTATTCAACATCTGAAATCCTCCTCCTGTAGCCTCGATATTATTCCGACAGGATTTTTCAAAACTGTTTTTCACTGCATGGCCTCAGATATACTACACATACTAAACAAGTCTATTCAATCAGGTGTATTTCCGCAGGCCCTGAAAACTGCAGTAATTAAACCGCTCCTAAAAAAGCATAACTTAGACACAACCGTAATGAATAATTACAGGCCAATATCAAACCTTCCTTTTTTAAGCAACTTGATTGAAAAAGTTGTTTTTCAACAGTTGAGTCATTTCATGTTTTTAAATGACGGTTTTGATGTGTTTCAGTCAGGCTTTAGACCTAACCACAGCACTGAAACTGCACTTGTAAAGGTCTTAAATGACATTCATTTAAACACAGACAGTGGCAGAATATCAGTTTTAGTATTATTAGATCTCAGCGCTGCATTTGACACTGTTGACCACAACATATTGCTAGACCGTTTAGAAAACTGGGTGGGAGTTTCAGGAACAGCTCTAAATTGGTTTAGTACCTACTTAAAGGACAGAAAAAACGTTGTCTCAATAGGCAACTACACATCAACTTTGACAAATATGTCATGCGGGGTTCCTCAAGGCTCCATCTTAGGACCTTTGCTTTTTAATATTTATATGCTACCTCTGGCTGAAATTATTAAAAAGAGCGATCTAAGCTATCACATCTATGCAGACGACACCCAGATTTATTTTAAAATCACACCAGGAGACTATTCTCCGATTAGAACACTGAGCAAGTGCATTGAGCACATCACTGACTGGATGACTCAGAACTTTCTCCAACTGAACAAACAAAAAACTAAGATCATTGTTTTTGGAGCAAAGAAGGACCGATTAAAAGTAATCGCAGAGCTTCAGTCGGCAGACTACAAAACCACTAATAAAGCAAGAAATCTAGGTGTAGTGATGGACTCAGACCTGAATTTCAACAGCCACATTACAACAGTCATTAGGTCTGCTTACTATCACCTGAAGAATATATCGAGGATTATAAAACTAATGTCACAACAGGACTTAGAAAAGCTTGTCCATGCTTTTATTTTCAGTAGACTCGACTACTGCAATAGTGTATTCACAGGGCTGACAAAAAAATCCATCAGAAAGCTGCAGCTGATTCAGAACGCTGCTGCACATGTCCTCACTAACACTAAAAGAGTGGATCACATCAGTCCGGTTCTGAAATCTTTACATTGGCTTCCAGTCTGCCGAAGAATTGATTTTAAAGTACTATTGCTAGTTTTTAAATCATTACATGGTTTAGGACCAAAGTATATTGTTGAACTCCCACATAAATACGAGCCATCAAGGTGCCTCAGGTCTTCTGGGACGGGTCTGCTATCGGTTCCGAGAGTAACAACAAAACATGGAGAGCCAGCATTTAGCTATTATGCCCCGACACTCTGGAACAAACTACCCAAATCATGCACGTCCGCAGAAACGCTTACTATTTCTAAATCGAGACTAAAAACATATCTCTTTGCCGCTGCTTTTAATTGAGCTGCTCATATTCGCACTACAGTATTGTATACCTGTGGTGAATATTTTTATTATTTTATTATCTTTGCTTTGTAATGCCTGTTGTAAAATGCCATTATATTATAATGTGTTTTTACTGTATTTATTCCTAAAAAGTATTTTAATTTGTTTTGTAAAGCACTTTGAATTGTCGTGTACAGAAAAGTGCTATATAAATAAACTTGCCTTGCCTTGCCTTGCTACTCAACTGGCTTTAGATAAGCCAGTGCATTGTTAGAATATAAGTGCTTAGTTTTTCTAATGCAAACATCCTTAAGCACACCCTGAAACCAAATGTGAACAATCTTTGTGTACGCTTTATGATAGTTAACCAAGTGCTGCCTTTCCCAGGAATGAGTAATCAATCAGTATCAATGTTGGTGGTTTCAGACACTTTAAGGGTGCCACGTCAAGGTGTCTGCCTATATAAGCTGCAGTGTTCAGCATGTGAAGCAGGTTGGAAGGTAAAGGAATTCACCATGTGGACTCTTGTGGTTCTTTGCAGCGTGATTGCCTCACTTGGAGTACAAGGTATTGTGCACCATTTTCTTATTGTTGTTTGTGTCTCTTTGGTTTTGGATTAAGGGTTTATGGATGTTGTTGAGGAGGCTGTGGCTCAGTGGATAGTATGATGGACTTCGAATCAGGGGATAGCAAGTTCGAGTCCCACTGCAGTCAGCATGTCGTTGTATCCCTGGGCAAGAGACTTCACCCCAAATTGCTCCTGTGGGGATTGTCCACAGTACTGAATGTATGTAAGTCGCTTTGGATAAAAGCGTCTAACAAATGACATGTAATGTAATGTTAATCATTCCTTTATGTGTTTTTCTCATCAGGTGCTGATCAGCTCCAAAAAAGTGAGGAAAAGAATCTGGCAACAGGTTCTCCAGGTAAAAAATTAAAATCAATAATTTAAAACCAAAATAAGCAGCATAACGTCAGATCATGGTTCTGATTTATACCTAAAAAATAACTGATTTAATATATAGTTCTGAATAACTTGCAGGTACACAGGTAACTGTTTACTAGGAGGATGCACTAATGAAGCAGCAAAGTGTTGCTTTCCAAATCATTTAAGAATTAACTAGGCTACAAACTGAAAGCATTTTTAATGTTTAGTTTTTGTCTGTAGAAGAATGACACAGATCACATGTTATAACCCTTATGGTTCCAAAATGTAAAAAATGAAACATAACATTATGTTGAGAGCCTAACTGTGTGTTTTCAGTGATGGTGATTGTTCCGTCTGCTCTTTCCGCAGATTCCTGCCTAAACAGCTGTGGCAACCATGTTGGAAACTGCTCTTGCTCTTCAAGCTGTGGAACCAATGGGGACTGCTGTCCAGACTATTATGGTAAGCCCCTTATTGGAACTTTTATTTATAACATAGGTTTATTTAATTTTTTATACTTGTACTTTTTTGCTTGAGTTAGGATCTAAATACCTTTTCTATCACTGGGGTGAACCAGCAAAACAATCATTGATATATTTAATAAGAGAGAAAAAAAAAGGGTTTAGGTTCATAAGTATATGTAAGTGTATGTGTTAACTCCATCGCACCATTGTCCTATCTCTACAAAACGTTTCATTTGTGATTTTTAATATTTACATTTTATATTAATATATTTACGTGTGTACATATAGTCAACTGTTTATACTTACCTTGTTTATATGTGTTGTCCTTGTTTTACCTGCAAAACAAAGACCTGTATTTCTTTGTTTGCACATTGATAGCAACAGAAATGAGGAGTCAAATTCCTTGTACACACATTGGCCAATAAAGCTGAATCTGATTCTGATACACCAACCAATCTAATATTTCTGCTTTACAGATTACTGCTCTTCTACAGCTAAACTAGCAGCATATACAGGTATTGTTCATTTCACTCAGGTAAAGTTTTATTTCCAAAAAATGTCAAGTTATCACTCTTTAAAGTACATGTTGTTTCCCATAGCTCGGCCCTCATGTCGTTACAACTGCGGCTGGAACATGGGAACCTGTTCCTGCGCAAGCTCTTGTCAATACTATGGCAACTGTTGCTATGACTACAACTGTAAGTGCCAAGTCTAACAAATCAATGGGTAAACGACCTTTAGCAGCCGAGGAGAAATCACTCTGTCAAAACCAACTGAAATGATGTGCAGAGAATGACACATTTCCCCTTTTGTTTAAGAGCTATAGGTGTATTCCAGAAGTGTAAAGTACATTCAATCAAGTATTGACTTAAGTCGGGTACTTTTACTTCAATTGAGTATTTTTATAATATGCTGCTTTATACTTCTACTCTACTACGATTTGGGAGCTAATATTATACTTTTTACTCCTGACAAGTAACTGACAAAATCAGTTACTTTTCAAATTCAGATTATTATCCTAAAACAAATTATAAATAAAGGAATAAATAAAACATGATCAATAATTATATGTTCATATATCCAGCAGCAGAATAACTGAAAGTAGCTCCATTTTAACAGCTGTGATTAATACATAAATGCATTAACACAAATAATCCAGTATTTTAATATATATGATTCGGGACACTACTATAGTACACACAGTAAATACTTTTACTTTTGGTACTTTTGGATTTTTGGATTTTATACTTTTACTTAAGTAAGATTTTATATGCAGGACTTTAACATCACTGTAGTATTTCTACTTTACTTAAGTACGATATATGACTACTTCTTACAACACTGGTGTTTTCTAATGAATTATGCAGTAAAACAAAGATTAAAGTTTGTTATTCTCTCTCTTTCTCTCTATCTAGATTACTGCCCTGCAAGCACTACCCAGGACCCTTACGTGACACGTATGTACAACTCTTCAAGCTACTAAGAAAGAAAAAGAAAGAAAGACAGACTTTTATTACAAAAGTTATTATCTCCAGCTACCAGTCCACACTCCAGACCCTACAGACTGAGCTACTGCCGCCTCTTTACTCACTTTTACCCATTTACCTTCAGCTACTTTATATGTAACATTTCCTTTATACTGTACTGTTAACGTCACCCTGTCTCTCCTACAGCTCGGCCCTCGTGTCGTAACAACTGTGGCAATTACATGGGAAGCTGCTCCTGCTCAAGCTCTTGTCAAAACTATGGAAACTGCTGCTACGACTATTACTGTAAGTGCCAAGACTCACAAATCAGAGCAGGATCTGCATCCCTCTCTTAGTGAGGGAGGTCTATTCATATACATGTTGGGATACAATGTTTTGTTTAGTTGTTTTTGAGTCTGTTTGTATGGGACTTGATGGACCTGTAGCATTGAGCTCTTCTGCCCTCCGGTAGATCCTACAGGTCCATCAAGTCTCGTACAAACAGAATCAAATACCGTATTTACATGAGAGCCATACAAGAACTCATTACTGTCTAAAAATTATCTAGCACCACAACACATACAGTTACAGACAATTTACAACTGCACTGCACTACAACACATATATTTATTTATTCCCATGTTAATGAATTTATTAAGTGAAAGACTCAATGATTGCAAAATCTCAATACCTGTGTTTTTTCCTGTATAGTAAATTGTATTTATTGTATGCGTACGTATGCGTGTGTATGCGTGCGTATGTATGTATATATACATAAATGTATGTATGTGTAAATACATATTATTATTTTAAGAATGATTAGAGGTGTGAACGATTCTAATCACTTTACTGTCTTTTTTGTGTAGCCACCTGCCGGCCAACTACAGTAGCACCTACACAGACCCCAACAGGTATAAAACGCTCTCAACAACCTACATTTGGAATAGTAAATATATATTATCAATTACTGATATGTTGAAATACTCTCTACCCTGCTACAACACCCTCAGGTATGAAAACATTCCCGAAACATATACAGTATGCGGGAAAAAACAAGCCTATAATTTATTCCGTTTACAGGAGATATTACTGATATGTTTTATTACTTCCCCTGTGTCTCAAAGCTCGGCCCTCGTGTCGTTACAACTGTGGCCAACACATGGGAAGCTGCTCCTGCTCAAGCTCTTGTCAATACTATGGAAACTGCTGCTACGACTATTACTGTAAGTGCCAAGACTCACAAATCAGAGCAGGATTTGCACTGCACTACAACACATATTTATTTATTCCCATGTTAATGAATTTGACTAAGTGATAGACTCAATGATTTCTAAATTCCATTTTTTTTTCCTATATTGTAAATTGTATTTATTGTATTCGTGCGTATGTATGCATGTTCTTATGTATGTATGTGTAAATACATATTATTATTTTAAGAATTATTAGAGGTGTGAACGATTGTAATCACTTTACTGTCTTTTTTGTGTAGCCACCTGCCCGCAAACTACAGCCGCACCTACCCCAACAGGTATAAAACGCTGTGAACAACCTACATTTGGAATAGTAAATATTTATTATCAGTTACTGATACGTTGAAATACTCTCTATAAGGTCGGCAATCATGTCGTAACTACTGTGGCTACTACCTGACAACCTGCTCCTGCACAACCTCTTGTCGAGGCCAAGGAAACTGTTGTTATGATTACAACTGTAAGTATAATTTACCACAAAGATGCTCGGGGAAGTCTCTGTACACTACGATCACCATTTCTGCAGAAAAGCATGTTGCATCATCTTCTGTATTTACTGAATTATTATCATGAAAATGACTTTGAAGTGGTGTCATTATTTGTTTCCTCTCAATAGGATGTACTGTATTTCCCATTGAAACAGGATGTTACCTGTTGGAGATCTTTATGAACTCTCAACCAAAGAGATACTAGTTAAAGAAGAGCAAAGCGTAATAATTTATTGCAGATTTACCTACTGTGAACGATTACAGATTCACAGTTTTCCAGACATTTATGTTTCATGTGGTTAATGTCTCCTCAGTTCCTGTTTTTTCAGTTTTGGCATGTCCCTTCTGTATCTTCTTTAATGCCTAACCATGCTGGAAACAAAAAAAGCTTGTATGATGTGCTATATGACCATGTTGGTGACCAAAAGTATTAATTGTGATTTAAAAGATTGTAATAATTGTGTACTCTCTTTGTCATGTAGCACAATGCCTTGCATCTGGCACAACACCCTCAGGTATGAACATTTTTCAGAAACGTATGTGGGCCTATAATTTATTCCGTTTACAGGAGAGATTACTGATATGTTTTATTACTCCCCTGTGTCTCTAAGCTCAACCCTCCTGTCGTTACAACTGTGGCCGACACATGGGAAGCTGCTCCTGCTCAAGCTCTTGTCAATACAATGGAAACTGCTGCAATGACTACTATTGTAAGTGCCAAGATTCACAAAGCTACTGAATTGTCATCCCAAGTTTCCATATAAATCGACTGTATTACAAACTTGCATAATTTCCTTTTAACATGATGTGTTACCTGTAGTAACAGGATGTTGGGGTAGGACACAATGAGGGATCTTTCTGTACTCTAAGCAAAACAGGAATCTATGAAGGAAGAGAAAAACTGTATAAATTGATTTGAAAGTACTAAAAAACAATTTAAATGATTTGGTTTCTACAGCTATTCCACCACCCGACAAGCCTTTCTGATTGAGTATACTTGCACCTTTACCACTCTTTGAATATAACCCTGACTAAAACAATTACCCTGAAACTCAACAACAAAACAGCGGTATTAGTTATTGGTGTTCAAAGTCTCAAGAGTATGAACATGACGCTTTTTAGCCTGTCCATACAGAGACCTGACAGTAATCTCCACTTACAAAATATATCTTAACCAAGACGCTATCTATCACAGTGAGATGTTGAAATATAACCTACAGATCATATAAGTAGAATAGAATTTTGTAATTTCCTCATTACTGGTTTGCTTAAAATCAGTTCTGGCTGACTGGATCAAAAACATATTTTATGTTCACACTCTCAGAATAAACAACAGGTGTATTATAAGGTTTAAAAGATAATAATGATGTTCTCCTCTCTTTGTCATCTAGCATACTGCTACATGACTCCAACTGTCACACCCACACCAGGTATGACTACTTCTCAACAACCTATAGAGTATGGGAATAAACAAGCCCATCATTTATTCTGTTTACATGAGAAATTACTGATATGTTTTATTACTCCCCTGTGTCTCTAAGCTCAACCCTCCTGTCGTTACAACTGCGGCCGACACATGGGAAGCTGCTCCTGCTCAAGCTCTTGTCAATACAATGGAAACTGTTGTAATGACTACTACTGTAAGTATCATGTCCCACACAATTGGCACAGTTTCCACGCAAAAACTGAAACCCACGTTGTTTTTGTCAACAGCCTACTGCCAAGTCACAACTGACATGCCAGCTACAGGTAGGACGCTTAGTGTGCAACATGAGCCTCTTGTACTGTATAGTTTACTCCAATGACACTTATGTTATGTTCTTCACGGTCAGCATCACCCTGTGGAGGCTCTCTGTACGGCTCTGGTTCCTTCTCCAGCCCGAACCATCCCAACCACTACCACGATAACGCCTACTGTGTGTGGCAGCTCAGGGCTGCACAAGACCAACGAATCTTCCTGTCTTTCGACTACCTGCAGTGAGTGAAGAAAACACTCCCTTTTGGAGAACATTCGTATATATTAGCAGCCTTAATGTTTTAGGAATATTTTAACTTGTGGGGAATTTGGCACTCAATGTGTTATCATCAACTCATTATGCAAGTCAATCATTTGTGGCTGTCATCTTAAAAACAGATTGGAGAACTGCTGCAGCTGTGACTATATTAACGTCTACGATGGGCCGTCTGTTAACTCAAGATTTCTGGGTAAAGTGTGCAACGACAGTCTGAGTACTTTCTACTCCACCTCCAACTACATGACGGTGCTCTTCCGGACTGATAGCTCTGTGGTTGGTAGAGGGTTCAATGCTGACTTCATTAGCTCTCTGCCAGCAAGCTCAGGTACTGTTATGGTAGTTTTTTAAAGTTTTTTTATTATGACATTATATTTGGGTTAAATGTTTCGTGTAGACATTGCAATCCGTGCAGTATATGTTAATGCATTTTATTTTAAACCACAAATGTGAACCTCAGGAAGAACTAGGGGATCACTGCAGTCAGAAGGTTCAACCTCTGGGGATCATGAACATCTGCACAAAAGTTCATACTAATCCTGTTAATTGTATTACAGATATTTCAGCGGACAAACCAACCATGTGTAATCTTAAACCTTTATTCTAAAAGTAATTCAAACTGTCGTAAATATCCCGTGAAAACGATTCCTTTGTCAGGTCGAGTGGACTGTTCCTCAGACAACATGAACATTGTGATCGAGAGGAGTTACCTCAACTCTCTCGGCTACGACGGCCATAGTTTGTATCTGAATGACCAGTACTGCAGACCCCAGGTTTCCAGTTACCAGGTGGTCTTCAACTTCCCCATTAACACCTGTGGCAATGTTCGAAAGGTACACAACTTAGGCTAACTTACTTAGCAACTTCCGAAAAAAATGAACAACATACAGTACTTCCTGACTCAAATAACTGTCATAATTAGAAGACTGTTTTCTAATATCTTCTGTTTACCAGTTTGAGAATGGCAGAATTGTGTACACCAACTCTCTCCGAGCCTACGCCTCCACCTCTGGCGAGATCACCCGCCAGTCTCACTTTAAGATGAACGTGGGCTGTCGGATGGAGCCGGATTCAGTGTCCCAGATCATGTACGTTGTCCGTCACAATGATAACAGCAGCATTACCGGAACAGGAAGATTCAATACCAGCATGGCGTTCTACACATCCTATAACTTCTACTATCAGGTGTGTTAAAAAAAAATGAAATTCCTTCTGTAAATACCTAGATACAAAGCTGACGTTTTGCTTTTACACTTTTAGGTGACTGAGGTTCCATACATGGTGACGCTCAACCAGTACATGTATGTCCAAGTGGACCTGAGGAGGGGGGACAACTCCCTGGTCCTCTATCTGGACACCTGTGTGACCTCACCATCGCCCCATGATTTCCAGAACAGATCTTACTACCTGGTCCGCAACGGGTGAGATGACAGTATGCTGTGTTTCAGTGAAGATTGAGTAAAACCTGCATTTTGTTCAAAGGACAGGCAGAGCTGTGTGATTTGTGACATTTGAAAATCAAGTGAAGTACATCAAACATCAGTAATGGAAAGTTACTGAACACATTTAGTCAATTATTGTTCTTTGACGTACTTTTCTTATACATTTCTGACAGAAATATTGTAACATGTAACACTTGATATGTCAATTTTTTGCAGAATGAGGAAATTTTTATATATACAGTAAACATAAGCACAATTCTGAATGTAGGACTTTTCTTGCAATGGAATATTTTTGAATTGTGTGACTGGTCTATTTTATATAGAAACTAAATAAACATATTTTCTATAACCAGTGTTAAAATACAGAAATACTTACCGGACCTAGCTTTTTATGATAACCGGACATAGTAATATTCTCCAGTAACACTGTCTGTTTCTCCTGTAGCTGTCCTGTGGATAACACCTACTATGCCTACGTCAGTGGCACCCGTCCCTATGCCCGCTTCAGATTTCAGGCCTTCCAATTCCTGCGAGCCACAGAGTCGGTGTACATCCAGTGCAAGGTCCTGATATGCCCCGCCTCTGACAACAATTCCCGCTGCCGCCGTGGATGCTACAACCGTGCCGCCAGAGATGTGGGGTCAAAACACGACAGCCAAACTCTGGTCCTGGGTCCCATCCAATTCAAAGGTCTGTAGTCATCTGTACTTGGTTTTGGTTGGGATGTCATAACCTTAAGAAAACTGTACAATAAAACACAAGTCACTTTCTCTTTGACAGAACCAGAGAAACAGGAGGAAGAGACTCCTAAGCAGGAGAAGGCCTAACTTGATTCTGCGGCTTCAATCATCTTCACTGTTCTTTCTGTTCATTGTGACAATGAATCATACTCAGCACTTCTTTCCTTTCTTCATTAACTGATTAAAAGCATCATCAAAAGACAATCTGTGTTTGTATATTTCATCATGACATACTCTCAAGTGAACTTTAAATATTTTAAACCCATGATAAAAATATCACTGTTATTAATTTCCGTTCTTGAACACAAATAAGATGAAGAAAAAGGATGACAGAAGACACAGTGCAGTAAGTTAGAAAACACTTTACTTATAAATTAGTAAGATTAATCCATCTCACAATGAAATGATTTGCAGGCAGTCATTACTGGATGCTCCCAGTACTGGTAAGCATGGCAACAAGGAGGTGGTCCTAGAAACAGTAACTATGTTCTTCACACATGTTGCTAAGCAACAAACAACAGTACCCAAGACAAAGAATAATCTTGCTGATGTAGCAGTCTCACTGCAACATTTGCTTTTTTGGACACTAGCCTTGGCCTCTAATCAATATAACCATTGCACTCAAATGTTCTTATAAACAACCAGTACACCTGTGTACCCAGTGACTTAATGACAACATGCCTTCATGTTTTCTGCCAAATTCAGAATCTTTGACCATAAAACGTTTTGTCCAAGAGAGTTGGACAAAGCCTTTTTAGAACATTATATTTGGGTTTTGTGGAACATAATTGGATTATTCCAATCAGTTATAGAGTTCCAAACATTGCCCCTCATCTCTGAAGGGTTTGGATATTCACTGCACAATCAAAAGGCAAATGAGATCAAATCAAAGCTTGCTCTTACCGAGTGTGTCTGCTGCTGCTGAGTGAGGTGCTGAATGAGGTCCAGGCTGATCGGCTCCCTCAATTTAACACAGGCCAGCCTCGCTGCTCCCACTCTGGTTACTGATTAACCAAAGCAGCATTGAGTCAGGGGCTCTGCTGTCATTACTTATACCCCGCTTTGTACTGACGTACTGCTACTGCTATAGAGAAATAGGTCTGACAGAGAGAGACCACTGTGGCGACCCCTCCACACCACGTGGGGTGCCGTCGAGGGCAGAGTGTGTTTGTGGGTGTTTACAGGTTCCAGTGCCTGATGAGCTGCCGGATGAGGATACCTGCCTGATGAGCTACACCTGCGGAATCAATAGAAGAGGCCCCAAGCCGGATACGTCTCACACTCCTCTGGGCACTCTCTCCGTGCCAGCCTCGGGGACCTGTGGCTGGTTCTTTTCACTATATTGTTTATTAAGAATAAACAATTGTTATATTCTTACCCCTTGTCTCGCCTCCCTGCTTTTTGTTGCAGCCCAGGAGCCGGGTTGTAACATCACACAATGTCGCTTCATTTCGACTTAAGGAAGATGATGCAAACTCATCCTGGAGGGGGAGAAAGCAGGGATACACTTTCCACAAAAGACAGATAGGAAGCACGGGGACAGCCAGGCTTGTTTTTGTTTGAGATTGACTCACTGAAACGTCATCACATTGTTGGGTCTTTTTTTTGTGAAACGGGAAATGTGGTATTCCAAATGTTGCTCATACTCGGGGTCAAACACAATGCAAATTATTTTATTCTGCTATCATTCTCTCTATGTAAATCATACTCTTTCTCTCCAGATACGATCCATATGAATCTTCTCTCACATTATTTATTCCATACCATTAGTGCAAATTGCAGAAATGCTTATTTAAAACACGACAACTGATTGAATCATGACAAATTTTATAGGCATTTTTTATACTTAAAGGTGGGGTATGTAATTTATTTCAGAAACACTTTTTGTTATATTCCATGGAATACTCTTAACATCCCGATAGCAATGAATATATTAAATGCTTTGACAATAAATCCATACAAACAATTAATCTGTGGAAGCCGTAGCGCTGTAAAAAGCACAACCGGAAAAAAAGATTTTTTCCGGTTGTGTATTTTCAAATTTGAGCGCACTCGAGCTGGTTTCTCTAAAATTACATACCCCACCTTTAATAAGCATCTGCAACTGAGAGAACACATTGGATTTGATGCAAATGTACAAATAAAAAGTTCTGTGTCTCTTTATCGTGTGAAGATAATAAGCCCAACTAGTTATTGTAAAAGTGAAAGCACCTCTCAGAGGTTCTTTATAGGCTGATAAACATGTTTATTAACCCTTGTGTTGTGTTCAAAAGCTGTTACCGTTCATGGTCTTCGCGGATCAATTTTGACCCATGATTTATCTCAGTCCAAAACACTCAATAATATCATCCAATATTGTTTTAACTACATCATAACTAACTTATAATGCATTCATAACCGTACAATCCTGTTGTAAATGTATTTGATGGCCCCAAAAAACATTACACCACATATTTAAGTAAAACATATGATTCAATTCACTCATTATATTTCCCATGGTGAAGACAATGGATCATTACGTTATCTGACTATAATAGACTAATATTAGAATACAA